AAACATGGAAAGGGAGCCAAGACCCAATAGAATTGATTGACCGCTAAAAAAAAAAAAATCCCACAAGATTACCCTTTAAGGGGCGGAGCTTAATATCGGTAACGGAATTACGGACGGAGGACAAGCATATTTGAGTTCTTGCATAAATTAATAAAACTCTCTGAAGTTTTGAAATTTTAAAATTGGACACTACCTGTTATTTATAGAGTTCAGGGGTGTTGTTAACTACAATGCAGAACAAAGTTGAAAAAATAATCAGTCTTTTCATAATTTGCATTTTAATCACGGTAACGGAATTACGCCTGGGCGGTAACGGAATTACGCCATAGGTTTACATGTAATAGGTAAATGCAATACTTTTACATTGAATTCAACATGAACTCATCACAATACAAATTTTAGAAGTTTATAAAATGCCACAAGGGGAAAGCTAAGTGAAAATTAGCAGATCAAAATGTAAATGTAGGCCTAAACATGTCTGGGCTTCATTTTTTAGGTCAAAGGTCAAGGTCAAATGAAAGCAATATGTATATGTATATTTTTTTTTACCGAAAATCTAATTTTACTATGAACAATTGTATTATCGTATTTCACTAGTTTATCGTGGAAAATACAATAAAACTGCACTGGTTGGCATCTCTGAGCAAGGGAAGATGTTAAGTTATGCCAAGTAGAAGTACAAGTACAGTCTGGTACTCAACTTTCATATATACTTGTTGTGGAATATATTTTCTGTGGGTACCAGACAACGGCTTTGGCAACACATATTTAAAGGGAATGTACATCATTGGCTTTTGCTGTAATTTTAAGAAATGAACTATTTGAGGGGTTAGTATAATAGATCAAATATTGTTACACTGACATTTTTGAAGTTTTGCGTTCAAAAATGCTGGAAAAACCAAGAAAAACAAAACTGTTCAAGTAGTCTGGTTCCCTGACTCCACTAAAGGTAAAATGGATCAATTTATAGATGCCGGAAAATTGGAGGATAAGGGAACCAGACTAGCTGGCCTGCACCCGTTCATGAACATGTAACAAATAGCAAACAAAATTTGGACTGGAAAGAGTGTAAAGTTGGAGCAGTAGTTGAAAAATAGGTTTTTCCAACGGTGGTTGGCCGACCACCGTTGGAAATGTATACAAAAATATCATTTTCTTGAAAATTACTTCACACCAGGTGCCATAATTTTACAGGATGCTTTAGACTGTCATTTACCAACATCCTAGTAAGGTATTTTGTAAAAACTTGGTAGTTTTATTTTCTGATGTTTGCAAATGTTGTATATTCCCTTTAAGCATCCAAACAACTATTAGCATTTTTTAAATAGTAAAAAAGAAAACGTAAAAGTAAAAAATATCAATGGAACACCTGATTATTTTTAATTATATAATAGCAAATTAAAGAGGGAAATGATTTAACAAGTAATTTAGTATTTAAAGTTATTGTCCAAGGTTACAAGCAAATCTCCAATTTAATAATATGTCATGTACATAATCTGGAGGAAATGTGCATACTTTGTGCATGCGTAATTCCGTTACCGTAATTCCGTTACCATTTCGTAATTCCGTTACCACTTGGAAAAATGCCAAGAAATTACTATTTTAAAGTTTTTATTTTTCATTTATGTTTATAGTAGGGTCTTTTCTCAACATACATGATTTGAAGAAAAAAAACAAGAAAATTTGTGAAATAAGTAACTTTTGCCATTTTTTCGGTAACGGAATTACGTGCTAATTTTGACATTTTTAAATGAAGGCCTACACTATATATATATATATATTTATATTTTTAGAATTTTTTTTAATGACCCTGAGTAATGTTAGTAACTTGTAACATCATAAAATAAATCAAATCTTTTCTCTATAATTCAGAAAGTAATACATACACTAAATTTTATTTTTTTTACCAAATCTGAACATTTTTAATCATAAATTGCAAAAATCACTGTTTTTACCAGAAATATGTAATTTTTTTCAATTTCATTTTTTGAACTGAATTCCCCATTTAATCGAGGTCTGGAAAAAGTATAAAAAAGGTTTAATATGTAAATATTTAATTTTGACATTTTTTGCTCTCCCATGGAGAATTGCCCATATATTACCAACCCCCACTCCATCCATTTCTGAAAATTACAGCAAAAGCAAATGATGTACATATTCCCTTTAAACACAAGGAATTAGGAGACATATAAAGCCCATGTAGATTGGCATATTTACATGTATTGCACCATGTACATGTATAACTATAAACAGTTAAAACTAGATTATCATTTAATCTAAAAAATATTTGGTTAAAAGATAAGGAGAAAAATTACTTATGATGTTTTTTATGCAAACCGGAACTTTAAGCCTCAAAAAGTATCAATGTATATTAGTTCCTCTAGTTCCTCTTGTGCCTGCTCTGTGATCACGTTGTGAAATAAAAGGTAAAAGGTGGAAATTTATTGAAACTGTTAACCAATACTATTGCATTAATACTTAAAGTCCACCAATGTTTGCAATAATTTTTCAAAAAAACCACAAATTTCCTGCTTCACAATTTTTTTTTTTTTTTACAAATTTGAAGCTCACCCCTCGATAGTATGATGTCTGTTTTTAATGGTGACATTGTGCTTTGAGATATTATTGAAAATTATTACATGTAGGTGTCTCGCGCACCTTGTCTACTGGTAATCTTCATATTGACATGACGTTTGTGCAGATGGTACGTAGACTTTGTATGCAGACTAAAAGGCTATTGAAATCTCTCGCTATTTTATCGGTAGAACACGTTTCTGTGAAATTTGATAACCAGGGAAAAAAATGGGTCTAATTGCGCACATATTTTATGGCTGTGAAAATCCCCCAAAATCTCCCCATAAAGTTATGGCAGCATGATATTGCAAAATGTTTATTTGTGTAAAGTGTGTACATTATACATGTTTTTTTTTAAGTCATAAAGCTTAAATTTTGTGGTACATACTATGCAAACATCATTTGTATATTTACCCTGTTTTTTTTTTTGGTATCTAGTGTTCTTTTCAGTTCTGTTTATTTGTACAACTACCCATTTTGTATCGGTATTTGCATAGTGTGCATGTGCGTATGTTGCAGCACACAATTTGCACTCCAGACTTTGACTTTGACCCGGATTTGCGGCACCCTGTTGTCATAGTAACCATGACATAGTTCATAATTTACTGTCTGTTGAGTTACCAAATAGATGAAGTGGGGACATTTTGATCATCAAAACCAGCTATCGAAATTCTAGAATGTTGGCAAAAAAACAAAAACAAAAAAGGGCAAAGAAGTTATCCATCATAGATGAAGTTGACATTTTTCAGTCATTAACTGACATTTTATTAGAGACTATTTTTCCCCTTTGGAAAAAGGGACTTTTTGGGGGGGGGGGGAATAAAGTAAAGTTTTAAACCAAAACTAACAAGAGGAACTTATCTTAGATTGTCCACATCGGACTCATAATTGTAAACTTTTGTCTCAGTTTTCTCCCTCAAAATGCCGATTGAATCCAGCTCTTTAATCCTTAAAGGAAATGTACAACATTGGCTTTTGCTGCCAGTTTCAGAAATGAATGGATTGGAGGATAAGTAAGTTACATAAAATATTGTTAAACTGACTTGTTTCATGTTTTGGGCTTGAAGATGCTGGAAAAACCAAGAAAACCTATCATGTTCTTGTAGTCTGGTTCCCTGACCCCACTTAAGATGAAACAAAGCAATTAATACACTTTGGGGAATTGTAAGGTCAGAGAATCAGTCTAGCAGGCTTGTATCCCTTCACAGGTGTGTGATCAATTGCAAAGAAAAGTCAGAATAACTAAATATGAAAAATTAAGAACAGTTTTTGAAAAAAGCCAGTTTTCTCCAACGCTGGTCGGCCGACCAGCGTTGGAAAAATACAGTTTTTCTTGAAAATGTCAGCCCACCAGGAGCCACGATTTTAAAGGATGTTTTATTCCCTAACAATTTAGTAAGGTATTTCGTGATAATTTGACCATTTCGTTTTTTGATGTTTGCAAATGTTGTATTTTCCCTTTAACCGTAACCCCCTTGAGTAATACAGTGTAGAGTCTTTTCTCACTCTTTACATGTACATGTACATTGTATATGGCAACTCAATGCCCAAACTGTTGCACTTCGATAAAGGTGGTATGCCTGACCCCTTGCAAAGCATAAACAGTTCACTAGTGCAGTCCTCACTCCAACAGATTCCAACAAAACATGCAGTTGGATTTTAAAGGGTTGGGGTGGTTAGGATTAATCCTTCCATATCTTTCAAAATCAGTCTGGAGATTTCAAGGATTTTGTAGGATTGAGGCAGTTGGAGCTTGCACTATCAATTTACTTGGGGCTTGACACCCCTGATTTAACCCTCCCTCTGGCTGTCAAATTTAACACAGCTATCCCCGCAGTCATTATCAACCAAGTTACAAAAAATGTATACTGTAGATGATTTTTGCCATCAGACTCGTAGAAAATGCGCTTACGTTGTTCATGTATGTTGTACTTACATGTGTGTATGCGTGGCATTTAGAGTACATTATTCAAAATTCATTCCATCAAACATGTCCAATTTAATTACTTCTACGAACACTACGCACATGATTTTAAAAAGCCTCAGCTCAGGGCAGCTTCAAAACTCTCTCCTTTAGTAATTTTTCTATGGCTCTATGGGCAAGAACTAAAGAAAGACTTGTACAAACACACACACAAACAATCACCAAGGACAGACTGATGAACAAGCAATTGGACCCCGTTCCCACTAGATCCACCAATTGGGGGATCTGATCCACCTTTTGCCAGATTGGTGGATCAGATCCCCCAATTGGTGGATCAGATCAGAGCAAAAAGATGGCGGATAAATTTGTGTTATAGGAAGCATTGCAGCATGGTATGTGACTGAGAGAGATCCTGTCTCCTGCTGTCCACTTTACATTGAAATATTATAATTTGAACTGAAGGCCATTTTTGTTTCATTTTGTTTGTTTTTTTGTTTCACAGGCCATTTTACTACCAATCAAATGTGTGGGCCAGACTTCAAATTCAACAACTCCTTTGATGTCTGAAACAACTGAAGGTAATGGAGTGTTTGAGAGTGACCAGCTGGTTTGAATAATTTTAATTGCCTCGTTGATTGACCTTGTAAGACCCTGTCAGGATATCTCTTAATGACACCTCTGAGAATTCAACAATCAAAATTAGAACAAGGCTATTTTACTGATGAATTTAGTAAATGCAACAGAGATTTCCATCGTTGATTGCATGTTCAATATTGTGTATTCACATGTTTTGTCTTAACAACTTTGTATGCCTCTTTTTTTTTGGGTAGAGCAACTTAAAAAAAATAAATCTTGAAATTGAATCCCTTAATTTTTAGAATGAGATTTAATGCCCAATGTGACAAAATAGATCTGTGATGAAAAATATATGAAATAATTAGGATGTTTAATTAATTTGAAAAATAAAAAAGGGAGGAAATATGCAAGAATTAGGTTTTCGCCCCACTTTTAAAATTTGGGCTTCATTTAAACACTTAGGAAAATCAGGAACCAACTCAATTTTCCTCTGTTTGAAGTTAAAACATGTAAATTTGTCTTAATAGCCATAATAAACAAGTTTTAAATTTGGGGAGCATCTTGATCATGATTTTAACGGTAGTAATGCATTTTAATATTCACCAAAAATTTATACAATATTTTCTGTAAATCAGATAGAAAGTTGATGTTGTAATTTATTTTTCAAGAATACAATTTTCCATATGTAGTACTCCAGGCAAGTAACATTTCTCAGCTGGGCACAGATGTAAATCTACAAACTTTAATGAAGCAATTCATAGGCACAATACATGTATTTGTCTGTACTTTCTATCATCGCAGCTACGACTACCCCACCATTGATGACTACCCAACTAGTGACGACCACCCCACCATTGATGACTACCCAACCTGTGACGACCACCCCACCAGTGATGACTACCCAACCAGTGACGCTTGCGTGTCCAGACAACATTTTGTCAAATGCTACAGAAGTCTTGTACACAGTACCGACCGCTTCGGATGGCACCTCAACCGTTTCATGTTCACCACCGCCAGGAAAGTTTGAAGAAGGGGAGACCATGGTCGTTTGCGATGTTTTAGATTCACTAAATGCCACAGTTGCAAACTGCACTTTCAGTGTGACCGTTCTTGGTAAGTTGTATACCCTATCTATTCCTATGGCCTCATGAAAATGGGCTGATTGCTTTTAAAGATATAGTCCATATTATTTTTTATTTGTGCATTTTGTTCGTTTGAAGCAACAAAAGTGGGCAAGATCTAAAGAAGGGCATGATGCTTACAAGCGCGGGAGTCACATTACGCGCGTATAGCAGGCGCCCACTGTTTTTTGTCAGTTTCTGGAGGTGATATGCAGTATAGTTGCATAATAAATCGCCCAATCTGCTCGCATATAATAGACCCTTGCTGCTGTGCAAGGTCATATTAAATAGACTAGGCGGTGCTAGACGAATCCGGACACGTGATGACTGCACATACACAAGGCCCCTTCAATGGAGAAACCATTTATGCATGCTATTGTACAAGGCAACTACCATGTGGCGGATTATCTGAACAGTAGCTAGCACAATGCTGTTGCCATTGAAGGGGGCCTTCGTGATAAATTTGTTAGCGGGATTTGTCTATATGACTACCCTTCAACACCAATGAATAGGCTAAATTTGGCCGGTTGTGTAGACTGAGGTGTGGAAAGAATATAACCATTGTGAATCAATTGGATAGAATATTTTGGGTTCTTGGGTTCTAGCACAAGTGTCCGCCGGCGGGCTCGAACCCACGTCAGTGTTGCCTCTGTAACACCAGAACGTGAGTCCGGTGTTCTTAACCTCTAGGCCATCACACTCCGGGACGAGCACTCTGGGACGAGCTCTCCTAGGCTTATCTCTGTTTGGTTTTGAGGTGGCTAGTTTCTCTTTACTTGAGTGGTTTTGTGTCACCAGTCACTGAGGTACATGTGCTAATTTCCTGACAGAAGTGAATGATCAATTATTGAAAACTTCCCTTGCCCACTTCATTTATTGTTAGCAATGGACAAAAAAATGTTTTAATTTATCAAAAACGTAATGAAACTCAAGTCTTAAGCATGGCTACATCCTGTTGAAAGAATGACTAGTTAAGTATTTATGAAACAAAAACGATTCACTGTTGACTTTATTACGGAACAAAAGTGAAACTTGGAAGCTAATAAAACATGGAAACCGGAGTTTTTGTGGAAGTGGCCACTTGAATTGGCATTCACCATGCAAACATTACCAGTCGCCCTAATAATAAGTCTCTCCGATGTGTGACAAATCATGTGAAAATTGGAGGATTCAGCATTGTTAGGGTTACCTTCACATTTTTTCTCAAATTTTTGTTCAATTTTTTGTTCAGATTTCTTTCCACATGGTGTTACCCGCAATTGTTCTATTTAGAAAAATTATTATAATAATCATCATTGAAGATTGATTATGCTGCAAAGTTAGCTTTTTTTTGTAATTATCTGTTTATCAAATTGTTTTTTTATACAGATACCACCCCTCCCAATGCCACCTTCTTCAATTGTTCTGCGGACATTCTATCAAATAAGACAAACGTTGATTACGTGGAACCAGTGGCTTTGGATGGCCAAGAGAGCTTGACAGTCACATGTCGGCCGTATCCCCCTGGCTCCTCCTTCCCCGAGGGTAATACGAATGTCGTTTGCACAGCATCGGACCAAGCGGGCAATGTTGCCGCTAAAAATTGTACATTTACTGTGACTGTCGGTGAGTGACTAGATATGATACCAGTATTTTTTAGCTTAAAGAGGTTGTGGAATGCTCGAAGACATTTCCGTCATTTTTTGGTTATATGTAGCCTAAGGTGTGATGAAATAAAAACGACAATTGTTTCTGTCATGAAATGAGTACAAACGGTACTTTTGAGAGCTGTTTTTCAGGTCCTGTTTCGACCCGAACGTGCAATTTATGTAAAAGTCGTCGTTGGGGGCAGCAAACAAAACGTAGTAAATTGTGACGTAATAAACAGGACTCCCGATGCAGCGTATGTACGGATCGGTAACCAGACTGCTTGCTAGGCAGATGTGGCTGTGCCCCCCAAACAACTTTTTTTTCGGAGGGTTAGATGTAAAAAAAACCCCCAAAAAACCATGGTTTTTGGTTGGAATAAAACATGAAAAATTAATTGAGAGAGAAAAAAAAATCAAGTTTCTGTTCTCCAGCAATGATAAAAGCTGTGAAGTTTGTTCAACTTAAAACGTTTTGTTAATGATCTAGATTTAGTTCAGAAATTGATTGCCATTGCTTAATCTCATTGGCTTCATGAAATGTCATCATAACTTAAACGATTGTAACTTAAAAGATATTTGCTTCAATTTTCTGAATAAAGTTTTTTCAACTTCATTCTGTTATTCCAGATACAACTCCTCCAAATGCTACATTTACTAATTGTTCCGGGGACATGCTGACCAATAATGCAATAGTGGACTACGATGAACCAACTGCCTCCGAAGGAGATGTCAGTCTGAGTGTGTCATGTGACCCACCATCAGGATCTAAATTCCCAGAAAACCAAGATACAACTGTCGTTTGTACTGCTTCAGACGCTGCTGGAAATGTTGCTGATCAAAATTGTACCTTCGTCGTCACTGTTGGTAAGATAAAATCTGATAACTAACACAAAATGAGGCAATGGCAGCAATTAATGAGATAAATTAATGTTTACATAATCCTGCAGCAAAGTAAGATTGGATCTGTTTGAGTTGTCATTTTGAAATTTTGATTGAATAGAAGGGAATTCTTGTCAAGAAACAATTGATTAGTGCAAAGGACATCGTTGTTGATAGGTCTGGAAAGAAAAAATCAATGAATAAAAAAGTGGAAAGTGAAGAGCAAAACCTAACATTGATTTACATCACCCTGATGCAACAATTCCATCTTATGAAAAGTTATAGGCAGTACCCGCTGCGATGTACATCAGATTCGAACCAGCCAACCGATCCCGTAAGCTCGGTGGTCTAGTGGTAAGACATCTGCACTAGAAAGCAGGAGGTCGTGGGTTCGAGTCCCACCCCAGTGATTTTTTCCAACTTTCACTTCGGACGTAATACACTGAGTATACAGTGTTTATACGTCGGTGAAGGGCAAAACCTAATATGGAAAGTATTTAGTTCATCGAGTTGGGAGGAAAATCCCAAAATGATGTTGCTGGTACAACCCGAGACAACCTGCATAAAGATGGATTTAGTGGTTGAAAAAGGAATATTTTTTAAAAACTTTTTTTTTTCCACAAAACAACTTCATCCATTTTTCTTTCGTTTTTTTCCTCCCGCAGATACAACTCCTCCAGTTGCAACATTTACTAATTGTTCTGAGGGCATGTTGACCAATAATGCAACAGTGGACTACGATGATCCAACTGCTTCCGAAGGAGATGTCAGTCTGAGTGTGTCATGTGACCCACCATCAGGATCTGAATTCCCAGAAAACCAAGATACAACCGTCGTTTGTACTGCTTCAGACGCTGCTGGAAATGTTGCTGATCAAAACTGTACCTTCGTCGTCACTGTTGGTAAGATAAAATCTTAAGATGAAACCTGTTCCTTTAATGTTACTGTCGGTGAGATGATATAGAAAACACAAAAATATACGTGTGATCCTGCGGTTATTGAACGTGCACATTTTCAACTTTCTCGCACTGTGAATTTGTTTTTGCATTCAAGAGTTATTAAAGGAAACATGCAATAGAATGTTATGACTTGAATACATTTATAACAGCTTTGTTGCCAATACTATGACTTTCCACCTCCTTTGTTGCAGTAAAAGGGAGAAATTTCAACTTTTTAGTTTTTATGCTATTTTTTTTCCACAACACAACTTCATCCATTTTTCTTTCGTAAAGGAAAGCTTTTGAAATTGGCTTTCCAGTCATTATTTTTTGTGCTACATATTTTTTTAAATATGAAATATAATTTTTGGGGTTTGGGTTCCGCTTTTTGACTCACCCTTTATTTGACATTTTCAAATGCATTTGATTTTTTAAGGCTCTGCATGTAAACAAAAATAGGTGAGTACTAAAGAATAAACATGTTGACAGTTGATGCTGAAAACCTGCATTTCTAAGGCTAATGCTCAGCGGCGTACTGTATCATGAGGTGCTCGTATTCCCAAATTTCATTGTGAGTAATTTTTGCAAACCTGTTTGTCTTTATTCAGATACATTATCCCCTGTTCTGGACCAAAACACCTGCCCGTCTAACACCTCCCATTACGCTGACTACGCCACTAACTCCACATACGTGACATGGGAGTACCCTAGGGCTACTGACAATCTGGACCCCGAACCCACGGTCACCTGCTCGCCCCAATCCAACACCAAATTTGAAATTGGTGAGAGTACAGTCACGTGCATAGCAACGGACGCTGCGGAGAATGTAGCAACGCCGCCCTGTACTTTTCAAGTCATTGTAACAGGTATGGACTAATACTGACTTCTGCTTTTTTCTTAAAGATGCTGAGCTTAGAAATATTGTATGAGGAAAAAAAAAATTACGGAATAAGAGGGAGTGCTGCAACACCACTATAGACTTTCTTTACGATTCCGCCACATTGAATTGAAAGCGAGGTAAACTCTTCATTTTTGGAACTGCGAGTGGAAATAACAATGAAATGAAAGTTCATTACAAATTAATACCAGTCTGCTCTGATTAATAAAATCAAATTTGTAATTAAACATACCCTTATGTTTTAAGCCTCATGTAAACAAAGATTTGAAAGTGAGGCTTGGTGCGCACTCCAATTATAAAATAGTCTGGCACAATCAAGAATGACTTCCTCATGAGTAAGTTCTATTTTCTGGGCAGGAACAGTAGAAACGTCATGTCCATTGAAGAAATTTAGCAGTTTATTTCAATCTTTAACTGAACGATTGTAAAGATGTAAATTGTTTACTAGAGCCTTAAGTGAACTTATGTCAACTTGGGATTTACACAAGTTTGTTTGTAAATGGTGTATTTAACATCGTCATTTGCTTAAAGAGGTTGTGGAATGCTCGAAGACATTTCCGTCATTTTTTGGGTATATGTAGCCCAAGGTGTGATGAAGTAAAAACAACTATTGTTTCTGTCATGAAATGAGTACAAAAGGTACTTTTGAGAGCTGTTTTTCAGGTCCTGTGTCGACCCGAGCGTGCAATTTGTGTAAAAGTCGTCGTTGCGGGCAGCAAACAAAACACAGTAAATCGTGACGTAATAAACAGGACTCATTTATGCTACTCTGCATCGGGAGTCCTGTTTATTACGTCACGATTTACTGTGTTTTGTTTGCTGCCCGCAACGACGACTTTTACACAAATTGCACGTTCGGGTCGAAACAGGCATAAACAGGACTGGAAAAACAGCTCTCAAAAGTACCTTTTGTACTCATTTTATGACAGAAACAATAGTCGTTTTTATTTCATCACACCTTAGGCTACATATACCCGAAAAATGACAAAAATGTCTTCGAGCATTCCACAAACTCTTTAAGACATGGTCAATTGACCTATTGCCGTTTGCGAGTTAGACACGCCCCTTAGACAACCCTCTGGAATTTGTACGTTATGTTTTGTTTGTCTCAGATTTTGCGCGTTCCGCATCCATTTGTACATGTGTATGATGTAATTGGACAATATTTCACAAGTTGCATTGACGCGATTCTACAGCGATAGATTAATTGCTGTAGACTGCTTGCAGCCATCTTAGAAATGTTTTTATTGTGAGTGCTTTAAAGGTTTAACCATGTTAGTACATCTCTGTGGAGTAAAAGCAATGTTCCCCCAATATGGCTACCTTGCAAAGGCTCTATAGTTGTTACCACATGTGATTTATTCATAAATCATTTTTTAACTAACAAAATTGTAACTAGCAAAAATACTTAACTGTTGTTTTGCCTCTACAGAACTGAGAGCCCCCACTATAGACAGCATCTCCAACATCACCAAAGAAACAATGCTCATCACGTGGTCCTCCCCTGATGTCGTTGAGAATTTTACCGTGGAATACTCCGGTACATTTCAAGATACCGAGACAAAAAATACAACCCTGCCCGGTACAGAAGACAGCTATGAACTGACTAGTCTGGTTCCGGGGGAGACCTACACCATCAAAGTGATTGCTGAAAGCGAACGTGCCTTCGCAGAGAGCGAAGAACGAAAAAGAACCACAAGTGAGATATTAACAAAAGAATCCTGACATTTTGGTGGAATGTTTGCATTGGCAGTTGATATTTTGATAATGGGATTTATTTTCCACCAATGTGGGTTTTATCAGGGCTATTTCAAATATTCGATCAATTATCAAATATTAGAACATTTGCTTTTGATTCAAATATTCGGAGGTGAAATGCAGTGAAATAAAAAGTGGAAAAAGTCACATTTTTGGCGAGCTGCGAAGCAGATGCGAGCCTATGTAATACCAATTTCCGTCCGTCTGTCCGGGCGCCCGTCCGTCCGTCCGTCCGGCCGTCCGCGTTCAGATAAAAATGTTGAAGTTTTTTTTTCTAGTTAACTTGGGGAAAAAAATTAAATGCAGTTGTCATGTATCATCTTTATAACTTCAGTTAGGTTCATATCATTGCAGTAAATTTTATGATTTTATTGAGGAACTTTAATTCAAGGAAATGTTAAAGTTTTTAATTGTTACATGTACATGTATACTGGTATAACATGTACTGTACGTGTGTGTATACCGGTATAACATGTACATGTACACGTTGCATTTTGGGGATGTGCATGAGCTTCTGGTTTGATCTGTTAGTTTATGGGGTTGGAGTAGGGATGGGGTATAGGGGAGGGTGGGGTGGGGTGGGTTGGGGGATAGGGTTGGAGTTAGGGTTTGTGTGAGTAGGATGAGTAGGGGAGCTAGGATGGGTGGGGCGGGGTGGGTTGGGGTGGGGTGGGGTGGGGAGAGGGGTTGGAATACTGGGTTTGGGTGGGGTGGGGATTTGTAGGGGTGGGGTGGGAACAGGTAGGGAGAGACAGGTAGGGGGAGACAGGTAGGGAGAGGATGGGCATGGATGTAGGAGTTGGATTAGGAGGGGGTTGGGCAGGGGGCGGGATATAGGATCGGAGTAGGGGTTGGGTTGGGGATGTGTAGGGATGGGTTGTTGTAGGGGTTGGATAAGGGGAGGGGGCAGTATATAGGGATCAGAGTAGGGGTTGCATGGGGTCAGTTGGGGATGTATGGTGGGGGAATGGGGTGGGCGGGATATTGGAATTCGAGTAAGGGTTGGGGTGGGGATGTGTAGGGTGGGTAAGGACAGATAAGGGAAGATAGGGTAGGTGGGTGTAGGGGGTTGGGGTAGGGGAGGGTACGGGTCAGGGGAGGGGGAAGGAGATAGGGATTGGAGTTTGGGTGGGGTTGGGATGTGTAGGTGATAGGGTGGGGATGGTTAGGGGAGGATGGAATGGGTGTGGGTAGGGGGTTGGGTGGGGGAGGGGGCGGGTTGGGGATGGGGTAAGGTTTTGGGATGGGGTAAGGTTTCGGGGAGGTGGTGATGGTGCTGTGTCTTCATGTACATGTATACCCATTCTTGTTCTGCATTTGTGGCGGCTACACAAGAGTTTTCCCATGGTAATACAAATATGGGGAGCAGAAGACACTGTTGGGGCTGCAAAAATCCACAACTGAGTCCTAATTACCCTAACAATGGAAAACTCCCCCATAATACAGTGACGGCTAACCTATACACATGTATTTATTAGGTAATCTGTTAACTTTTTATGTTGACATTTTAAAACTGACCCCTACACCTAGGCACATCAACAAGAATCCTGATCCCCTTCCATCATGCCCATCCCCAACCCTACCTTCAGCCTCCCTTCCTGCCTTGGACAGCGAGCCATGGCGGCTTCGCCGTTCTAGTTTTATAAAAAAATTGCTTCTGAAAGCTTACTTCAAGGTGTTGTTTGCTAGACACTTAAAGGAAGCCGATGTATATGCCCAACAATAAAATGTAGTTACTGTGTGGGACTCGAACCAAGGACCTCCTGCTTACTAGTGCAGATGTCTTAACAGATCAACCACCAAGCATGCAAAGGTTGGTTTGAATCTGACACAGCTGCAGGTACCACGGTCTATGATGTTTTATTTCACTCAGGCCCTGGTATAGGCTGACATTTTAAGCACTCTCATTGGACAATTGTTTTTGCATAATAAGTGTACCAGTTGTCAAGGTACATTGAAATGAAGATCCGCGCATAGGTAAATAAATATGCAATTTCTTCCAAACTCTCTACATATTTTTTTTTCTTACCAAGAACTGAATGCGCCAACAATCACTGATGCCACCTCGGTTGGCATGACATCAATAACCCTTCAGTGGGGAGCAGCCCCAAACAGCTTTGTGGAGAATTACACCGTGGAGTACACTGGGATTGAGGAGGACATGGTTTTGAAAAATATGACATTGGGTGGCACAGAGTTGAGTACAACGCTTGATGAGCTGCTGCCTGGGGAGACATACACGCTGAGAGTGGTGGCTAGTAGTGGGTCGGTAGAGAGTGGAGAAGTCTTCGCTGAAAGCCAAGAAGAACAGGAAACTACAGGTATGGACACTGTGCATTAACAGTAGAGGGCGCTTTGGTACCACAAGTGGGTGAGACACACTGCGTGCGCGCGCATGGTCATATCTTACCATTGTGCAATTCCACACAAAAGCGGCCATTTTGTTATACCGTAACGAACCTCATTGTTATTCCTTATTCGTAAACGAAAAAGAAGCTTTTTCTTTTCTATTAAAATAAAATATAGTACTGTGTTTTCACTGTCATCTTATGTGTTTTCACTTTCATCTTTTGAAAAACTTCTTTTAGTTTATGAGTTACGAATAATAATAACGTCTGTTACGGAATGACAAGATGTCCGATTTAGCATGGGATTGCCCCATTATGTGTGAGGACAAGGCATTGGGTTTCCCCTCTTTATTCCTATGATATAACACTCTCCCATAGCACACAGACTTACGTCCGAGGACCGTTTTCAACGAAAGATGTACGTTCAGGGACAGCAAATAATCTGTTCTCTCTTTGTGTTGCTGTCCTTTGGATGTACGTAATATTAGAATGCACTGGCTTCCACATGCCTTGCGTGAAATTCGCACGGCGACTTATTCTCCGACTATGCACAAACCTGTAACGTCTTCGCGTGAGTGTTTCAAATTGTTAAATTCGATTCCTGTTGCAGAGAGTCTGTAAGGGAGCGGTCTTAAATTGTAGGATGCTCGTAGCACTGTAGGAAAGGAACTGTTCCAATACTGGAATAGGAACGCAACAGTATGCGTGCATACTTAAAAACTGGGAAATTTCCCCTGCCAGTTAAAAAGAATGATACAAACAAGGCACATTTGTAATGGGTGGATATTCCATTCGCGAAGGCGTGTTTCTTCTTTAAAATCTGTCAAATGTAATCAACCGCTACATGTTGTTTATATTGTTTCAGCAAGCATGACAAGTGCAGGTGCATGCAAATCCGGATCAGCAACAACATTAGGCTGGCGCTTGTTTCAATTGACCACTGTCCAATATTCCACTATTCGATCACATCCAAGTTGGAATAATCAAATACATGTACTAAATTATTTGAAAATTCTCAACCCTTCTGTAAACAAACAATAAAAGCAGAAAATTGTTAACTTACAGGTTTAAGTAACCACTTTATCATTTAATGACAATTCATAAATACCTCAGACAGTTTAGCTATTCCTATTGGTCGAGAGCCCGTCACGTGGCCGGTATTAAACGGATGATAAAGACATGGCTAGCTGGTCTTAAACACTTTTCCAGTGTCACAATAAAATGTGGACTCCTAAAAATCCAGTGCCTCTTACCGTTTCATTGGTTGAACGTTCACAATCCTCACGTAGGCATGCGCAACACTACAAGCGAGTCAGAATTTTATAGTTCTAAATTTAAAACGCAGCGCCCCAGGTGCGTTCTGCGTGACATCGCGCAGAACATGTTACGCGCGCGTCAATCTCCATAAAAGGGTTGTTTACATCTTACTCGCCAGCTGAACACTCCATTATTTTGCTAGAGGGATGTTTCAAAAAGCATGAAGTGAACTTGTTGAACAAAATCGGGATTTTTTGAACGAATTATTTGAAATTTTTTTACGGATAAGGTATTTATGAATGGGAATAAATATGTGCTCGGTCGGTATTTATCACTCGTTTAATACCGCTTAGAGTCTGGGTGCTGATAATTACCCTCGCCTCCGGCTCGGGTAATTATCAGCACCCAGACTCTAAGCGGTATTAAACGAGTGATAAAAACCTCCGGAGCACACATTTATTCCCTTATTAACGTATAAAATTGTGCTCCTTTTTGGCAGTGCCTATGCAGGTGACTCTCGAAGAGATTGATTCCACAGTGAGTTCCATCACGGCCCAATGGCCAGCACCGACTGACCCACAGTCACCACTCACTCCAGTCATCGAGTATTACATCATCAAATGCCCAGAAGGAAAACCTGAGCCTGAGCGAGTCGATTACTCTGAGAATGTCGAGCAAGCTTCTTGTGTTAACCTCCCCATGGCTGGCAAAAAGTACACCATGACCGTGGAATCCCACAGCGGCGATAAAAATTCCTCAAGGTCTATCCAGATAATTGCACGTGAGTGTGTGTCCCTTGTAAAAGTGAAATTACATGTCTTCATTAGAATTATGACTCGGTGGCTAGGGGGTAAAGTGCTTGCCTCTCACTGCTGTGGCCATGGTTCGATTCCTGGCTTTGAACATACGTGAGTAGAGTTGTGCGTTGGTTCTCTCTGGTGCTACAACGGTTTTTCTCCGGGCACTCTGGTTTCCTCCCTCTGCCAATATAAAACAGTTTCGATCTTTGGCTGTGCTTCGTGGTTATACATGGTCATATGGTGGCTGCCAGAGGCGCCTTTACGTGCCATCGGCACAACCACGTTGCAGTCGTGTTTTTCGCAATTCAGCTTCTTAGCTGCTTGTAAGGATGATTAGACCACCCCCCCCCCAAATTAATTATTATTATTATTATTATTACGTTACAAGCAGAAAGCAGAAAGTGAATTTGATTCTGTACGGATATGGGGGGGGGGGTGGCCTTGCATTGATAAGCGCCTAATGAGTAACGTACGTTAATATCCATTCTAATCAGTTTGCGATTGACCTACCATTATCATGATTTTACTCGGAATTGAAGTAAGTCTTAGATACCTTTAATATTCTTTCATGATTCTTTTTTTTTTTTTAACGACTCATTATAATTGGTCTTCTTTCAGCTCAGAAATTTGTGGCCATGATTCTGTGGCCTATCTTTCAATTAAAGTAAGTGGTCATACCCTTCCCTTCCCTCCCCTCCCCCCACCCCAACCCCAGAATGGTTGAAAGATGGTCTGAAGAGGGCTGCAGCCCTCTTCAGCCCTCTGCAGCCAGCTGGGTAGCTTTAGTTAGGAAAGCAACAGAATGGGTGTTCCAGAGGGTCAAAGGTTCAACTCTGTCTTTGGGTTTTATCCATAGTACCTAACGGCGTCAAGCTCACTGAAGGAGTCTCAACCACATCATCTGTCAGTGCCTCCTGGGTCTTCCCAGGAGGCCAAGCAGATGGCTTCAACATCTCCTGCTCAGAAGGAACTCCCGATCCAGAAGAGATCCTCATTGGGACTACCACCCCATCACCGAGCTACGAAGCGTCTTGCATCAATCTACCAACGCCTGGTGGTACATATACGATGACCGTCTATGTTGAGAGCGGAGGGAGACAGAGCAACTCTTCCCACATCCAACTGACTGCCTGTAAGTTAAACAAAGTCAGTTAAAGATATAGTCCATCATTTGTAATTTCTGCATTTTGTTCGTTTGAAGCAACAAAAGTGCTCAAAATCTAAAGAAGGGTACTGAACAACTATAACCTGATGAAATTTCAGCTCAGCTTCAGCTGTTTATTCCGAGAAAAACAGCATTCTAGGATCTCAATTTCAAATCAAAAGTTGCTGAATCATGTTTTAAATTGGGCCTGAATTTAGCGTCCAAGACACGTTCTCACTGAGCCGATTGCAGCTGCGTCATGCCAATGCTTGCGCGCGCTTCGCCGAAAAACAAAACGAACTACCAATTTAAATTTAAGAAGCACCGTTGGAAAGGCCTTCTTTTGTTGATTACTTCAAAATGACAGCTTGCCAGAAAGAATAATTTCACAGGGAGTTTAGTCCCCTTACTATCTTTCAACCAAGTATGTTTTCCAACAATAATTACGACAGTTACTTTTGGGATAGCTGCAAATGATGGACCATAGCTTTAATACAAACTGAGCCTGACCTTGCCAAAACGTTTGTTATATCCAAAATTTGAATGAATCAGAGCAGCAGTCCTATTCGTTGTACAAGAAGATTTACGTTCACTATACCAGAATGTTGTTGTATCCGAGTCTGCATTAACATGAATCAAACCAGCCATCCTATCCCCAAGCTCGGTGGTTGAGTGGTAAGACGTCTGCGCTAGAAAGCAGGAGGTCATGGGTTCAAGTCCTACCCAACATTTAGTTCGAGACTAAACTTTATTAAGTTTTCAAATTTTTATGGCCTGGCCGTAAGACAATTCTCCATGGTAGACCGTTTCCTATGCCTACCCGAATCGATCAGTTAAGGACCAGAAACCAGTCTAATTGCATGACGTATCTGTTTGGGGGCGAAGACAATCCAAAATAAAAAACTGTTTTTTCCTAGAGTTGTATTTTATTAAACAAAAAAAATGAAAATTGAATATTTAATTTGTTGAAAAGCAAGGAATGTACATTTTAGACATAGATTCAGCTACATTTAACATTCTGTTTCCACAATTTTCTTCATGCAGTGCCAGAGGCAGTTGATACTCTCATTATTGAAAGAGTCTTCACTACTGAAGTAATAATTTCCTGGAATGTTCCGTCGAGTGGAGTCTTCATGTCTTTCAATGCGTCCTACTCCGGAGGAGTACCTAAACCTATCGAGCATGAAAACGGACAGACAAGCTACGAAACGAGCTTTACTGGTCTGGTTCCCGGAACAGAGTACACTTTTAGAGTGGTAACCCTGAGTGGGGATAAAGAGAGTGCGGAGGAGACTGTCATCCAGAGAACAAGTGAGATTGAACTGCCAAATAAGGGCCGATAAGGTTGTCTGTAACGTAACACAAACACATTGTTTTCACACATTCCAGGGGTAAAGGAAAATGATCTGTTTATGTAGTTTTTTGTTTTGTCTGAAAATTACCCTTTTTTAAGTGGGCGGGGAACAAGCCCATATGCATTGCAGCTAGAAATATATGTGATGCGATCAAGCTAAATGAGTCGTTTGTCGATCCCAGTCAAAATTTGGTTTATTACAGATTTGAAAAGAGCAAAATCTCAGCATTACTGCTGTGAAAAACGCATCCCGATACCATCTTTATCTCCAAATGAAAATTCCCGACAAACGACTCACGTAGCTTAATCACACCACATATGATGTTATGATGTCAATCCCTAAAGAAAACTTGAGGAAGAGGACAATAAAGAAATGTTGAGTTGAAATTCCTTCATACAGCCAATTAAATAGATGGATCCTATACGATGACGGATAACTTCAAGGCCATAATTACAAAATGGCCTCCATTTTGAGACAGAGATCAGTTGTGATTGCCTCAATGACAAATTTTACCTGTGTACATTTTGAAGGCCATGATCAGGAAGTGGCAAATATTTTTAGGCAGTAATAAGAAAACACTAACTTCTTTCAAGCAACTAGATTGCTCCAATTGCAGTTGCAGGCTTTCAGGCCAAAACCAAAGGTGGCCTCGGCTTTTAAACAATCAGCGTGGCACGCGGTGCAAGAATCATATGAAAGAAATATATTTATTTGTGGGCAGCCGCCAACTTGAAGGCCATGAGCCGAAGATGGCTTCTGTTTGGAACTCAGCCAAAAAGAGGTTAAATCCTCCTTAATGAAAGAATACGATTGGTGTGTGCACTGTGGCCATTTTGAAGGCCATAAGCCCACAGGATGGCCTCTGTTTTCAGCCAGATACCAGCTATGAATTCTCCTCACAGGTAGAGAGTTAGGCCAGGCAGAGAATTACTTGGCTACGGCTTGCAATTACACATGTATCTATGGAAGTGGCTGCAGCCATTTCCCATAGACAGTGCGTTACCACTAGCCATAGCTGGGTTATTATGGGGTTGCCCTAGACTTGGAGCCCATGGTAAGGAGGTGCATTCATAGGAAATATAAATAATAGAACCTTACTTAAAAACAATTATAGTTCCAATGAAATTGGTTTGTGGTTGTGACATGGCAACCCCGTAAAGTTGTTATTATTACTTAATCTTCACCTTTAACCCTTGGCCTTTCCTTATAATTAGCTTTACCAACCCGTGATCACTCTTTACCTGAAAACGAGAAGTTTATTCCAACCTATTTTCATAGAGTTGAGATATCCCACCGTGCAAAAAGTTCAGTAGCCTCTCATGTTATATTTCAGTTATATCTTTGTTTATTTTTCAGTTCCCTCTGCGATAATAAAGTTTGTCTCAAGCACCCTGACTAAAACCACCATCACGGTTACCTGGGCTGAGGTCGATGGCAACAAAGATGGATACACTGTCTCAATCGATCCATCTGAAGGGACCTTGGATCCCAGAGAACCCTTAGATGAGAATGCAACATTCTCTGGTCTTACTCCTGGAAAGATGTACAGCATTTCTGTAGTAACATTAAGTGGCAACTCTGAAAGTGCCTCTTTTGGAGAAATTTTGACAACTAGACCAGATTGTGAGTAACGTTTCATTATATCTTCCCAGTTCAAGCTGACATTTTTAGTCAATGTCTAAAATAATTTGCGTAAGTTACGCCATAATTTTTCTTTCCTTTTTTTTTTCTTTTCAATTCCGGAACTTTCGTGAAATTTGTCGTCACTGAAATGTTGTGCAGGGTGAAATGTTATGCAACTTGCACAATGAATTGTGGTGCAAGTGGAGTTAGGCCATTGTGTAAGAGCAAACACTTCAGACGTGTGTCCGCAATTTGGCCTTTGGCCGTTAGGTGACCATTAATACACCAATTCAATTCAATTCAATGTTGACCATGGAATTCAATTTAAACAACTTTATTTCACAGATGGAGACTGTTTATGTCAATAAACTTATTTTGGGCACTCGCATTAACATTTTTTTCTACTCTCATTTGAAGATAACATTGTGAGCATTAAAAACACATCCTTTTTTGATAATGCTATACACTATTTTGGCCAACAAAGCGATTTTTGAGGAGGAACTATGTTCGCAGGCATGCCGCACACGTTCTTAAAGATGAGGCACTTGTGCATTGTGGTAACCCTATTGGTCAAGTGCCTGCGTGTGTCCTGAGCACAAGCCTGGTTTTACCTCGGAAATGGCTTCTACTTTAGGATGGCGAATTAGTCACGACAGTTAAGGCCCCCCCCAAAAAAATGCTCTGGTTTCTGGTATGTGCGCGCGTCGCCGTAGCCATGCGCGTCGGCAAAATGAAAAAGGTTTTTTTCAATGAAAAATGATGTCTCAAAACCGCCAAACTCACTGGTTTGACTGGAATCCTGCTGCTGCACAATTTTAGCGTGTTTTTAGATTGGGTTATGGTCAAGAATAAGCTTTATGTGGCCTCTCTGGACACCCATATATTTGCATTAAGTTTAGTCGGGCACCATTTGCAGTCATCAGCCGACATTTGATGCAAAAAAATCAGGTAAAAAAAAAAGTCGCGTCGCCGCACCACTTTTTGGGCAAGCTCCATACCAGAAACCGGAGACTTTTTTTTTTGGCCTAAGCAGTATAGTCATTTTTCTATCTTATTATTTTGGGAAGTTTGAAATGGTTTGTCTTCTTTTCAGTCCCTGGGCCAGTGAGTAATTTGGTCATCAACGATGTAAAGTTACACAGTGCGAGAGTCAATTTTGAGGAACCAACGGAGCCCAACGGCATCATCACTAACTATCTCATTACATACAGCGGCAAATGGAAGGTATTAAAATCCCCACTATCAACATCAAAATAATTCAAGATTATCAAAAGTGAAAGTACCATTTTTGGATGAAGATCTTTCACTCAAGACCACTGGTACTTCATTGTACTACACTGTAGTTATCCTTTGAGGTTAGGGTGGTAATAGGCTGGGCGGTTCGGGGCAGTACCGGGTTTAATGGTTATTCATAAATACCACAGACAGTTAAGCTATTCCTATTGGTCGAGAGCCCGTCAGGTGGCCGGTCTTAAACGGATGATAAAGACATGGCTAGCTGGTCTTAAACACTTTTGTAGTGTCACAATAAAATGTGGACTCCTAAAAATCCAGTGCCTCTTACCGTTTCATTGGTTGAACGTTCACAATCCTCACGTAGGCATGCGCAACACTACCAGCGAGTCAGAATTTTATAGTTCTAAATTCAAAACGCAACGCCCCAGGAGCGTTCTGCGCGACATCGCGCAGAACATGCTACGTGCGCGTCAATCTCCATAAAAGGGTTGTTTACATCTTACTCGCCAGCTGAACACTCCATTATTTTGCTAGAGGGATGTTTCAAAAGGCATGAAGTGAACTTGTTGAACAAAATCGGGATTTTTTGAACAAATTATTTGATATTTTTTTACCGAAAAGGTATTTATGAGTGGGAATAAATATGTGCTCGGTTGGTATTTATCACTCTGTTTAAGACCGCTTAGAGTCTGGCAGCTAATAATTACCCTCGCCTCCGGCTCGGGTAATTATCAGCACCCAGACTCTAAGCGGTCTTAAACAGAGTGATAAAAACCTCCGGAGCACACATTTATTCCCTTAATATTAATGAATATGATATATTTTAAATTGAGAGTGACTATTTTGGGGCACAAATGTTGCCAAATGTTCACGTTTGAGATCTAGATATTCTCTGTTTGTATTATTTTTCTTGTACATGCAGTGGTTCTTTTGGGCACTTTTTCACAAGTGAAAAAACTGGTTACGTGAGAACTGAAACTACAATTCTAAACATTTTTTGAAAGTTTCAAAGCTTTGAAATCATTCTTTTATTTCCAACAGTTTGACTTTGGACTGAGTCATGAATTCTAAACATCTGATTGAATCCATTCACTTAATTTTTTGGGGTGTTTTTGCAGGAGGAGACAGATCCTGAGAAAAATCAAGAGGTGACCTTTGAGCAGATTCCATTCGATGTAACAAACCTTCTCGCTGGATACACCTATACATTCACAGTAAGTCACTCTCTGAACATCTGTAGTAATAATTATGACTTCCACTTGTATAACTGCTACTGCTGTACAATATAATTAGGAATCTCCAAAAATTCTCCCTCTTACTGTTGCATTTGGTTGCACTTCGTTCCAGAGTTGTAGAATGCCATGGTCCAGTGGTTACGGTGTTCATATACGATGGTGCGTGGGTTCAGACCCTGCCAGGAACATGGTGTTGTGCCCTTGGGCAAGACACTTACGTAACTACAATTGCCTCTCTCTGCCCATGAGTGTGAATGGGTAATTGTGAGGGTAGAGGACCAAATGTGCGCTGATATCGGCTGCCACCGTGGTCTCATAGTCTGATGAACTGGGAATAACTGTAAAGCGCATTGAGATTGTTGATACGATGGAAAGCGCTATAATCATAAGCATTACAATTACTTGAGTTTTTTTTGCTGAATCGGCCAAGAATACTTAAATAAATGGTGTTTACGTGGAAATTATTAAACTAAATTCAATGACAACAGGTAAGATTCAAGTATTTTAGTAATAATAACTATTAAGGAAACATCTAAATGTAACGCATGAAGATTTTGATACAATTTTCATTTTATTTTGTTTTGCTTAAAAGTTATCTTTTTCTCTATTGGCAGGTCCAAGCAAGAAATGAAGCAGGTCTGGGTGAATCTACACCACCGAAGTCAATCACAACTCCAACAATACGTAAGTATCGCAAAGATGGATACAATCAGATCTGCTTAATTATGTTATATGAGCCCGTATTATGCATGAGAGATGAAACTCTTATATTCAAACAAAACTTGCAACAACCAAAAAGAGATAGCTGTATGTAAATCTTGAAAGATTTGTTGCTATTGGGTTTGAATTTTGGATTACCAGAACAGATTACGAGAACACATTGTGTGAGCATATTAATTCGTGCGTGTATGGCACGAAGTACGCACGATTCATTTTTATCAAAATCTGCACAAAGCCGTAGCGTCTTCATGTGAGCGTAAAGAGCTGTCGGTAATGCGTTCCAATGTTCCTTCTGTGGTCTCCCCCCCCCCCCCACTCTTTCCTCGTAACTGTGGAGGGGTTACTTGTGCAACAAGTCTTCAGGGTGTTAAAGATATAGTTCATCATTTGTAAATTGTGCATTTTGTTTGTTTGAAGCAACAAAAGTGCTCAAAATCTAAAGAAGGGTACTGAACAACTAACCTGTTGAAATTTCAGCTCAGCTTCAGCTGTATGTTCGGAGAAAAACGGCATTCTAGGATCTCAATTTCAAATCAAAAGTTGCTGAATCATGTTTTGAATTGGGCCTGAATTCAGCGACCGAGACACGTTCTCACTGAGCCGATTGCAGTTGCGCGATGTCGTGCACTGATCCGACGAATTATAGCCACCACGCGCGCGCTTGCCGAATAAAAAAAACGAACTACTAACGGAAATTTCCAATGGTGCATCTTAAGACGCACCGTTGGAAAGGCCTTCTTTCGTTGATTACTTCTAAATGACAGCTTGCCAGAAAGAATAATTTCACAGGGAGTTTAGTCCCCTTACTATTTTTTAACCATGGACTATAGCTTTAAATGTTCCACAGGTCAGGTCAAAAATGTTTCATGGTTTTCTTCACTTGTAGCGCCACCATCGACAAACCCGGCCAAGCCTGATGATCAGAATGCGTCCACGAAACCAACGACGACGTCAATCACAGCGCGGTTCTTGGACACTTACTTCAGTCACAGCAACGGAGAGCTGATCAATTATACAGTTATCATTGCTCAGGAAGGTACATTTGACTTTTTTATGTGTTTTTTTTTTAGTGTGTGTGTTTGTTTTGACGTTTGTTTTTGCTGCTTTCAAATGAGTGCGTTTTCTGTTTCTGTCTTTCTCTTTGCACTGTTCCTTGTTTTGTTTCTGTTTTGAAATTATGTTATTGCCAGTTTCATGTACATTTGAAAGAATTTTCTTGACATTATTATCATTGCATTGTAATTTTTAAGTCAGTGGGAGACTTTTGAGATGTTGGTGGCAGCAAAGAAACTGGTCTTTTTCAATTGTTTGCGCTTATGTTCAAAAGGACGCAAACAGTAGAAAGGACCGGTGCGTTTACGACCACCAAGCCTCTGAAAACCTCCCATTGAGTGGCAGTGCACGGTGTGTACTACAAGACTACTTTGTGAGATCTTACAGGTTTATTCAGGAGTAAAGTAAGAAACTGTTTTAGTAGATGTCCCATGGTTGAACTCTGTTATGAGGCCAAGTCACCTTTTAAGTGAAAGGGAAAACAACACAAATGTCATGACATAGCTAAGTAAGGTTTCGTTGTTACGTTTGGCATTATCTTAAAGGGAAGATACAACACTTGCAAACATAAAAAAATGAAATAATCAAATTATCACGAAATACCTTACTGGATTGTTAGGGAATGACAGTCTAAAGCATCCTGTAAAGTTGTGGCTCCTGGTGTGCTGACAAGTTCAAGAGAAACTGTATTTTTTCCAACGCTGGTAGGCCGACCAGCGTTGGAAAAAATGTTTTTTTTCTCAAAAACTGCTTCTCTTTTTTCATATTTAGTTATTCCGCATTTTCTTTGCAATAGATTACACACAAGTGAAGGGGTGCAAACCTGCTAGAGTGATTCTTTGACTTTACAATTCCCAAAAGTCTTTATGTTTCTCTATTTCATCTGAAGTGGGGTCGGGGAACCAGTCTACAAGAAAATGATTGGTTTTCTTTGCTTTTCCAGCATAAACAAGCCCAAAACGTGAAACAAGTCAGTTTAACAATATTTGCTATAACATACTAATCCTCTAAATCCATTTATTTCTGAAAATTGCAGCAAAAGCAAATGTTGTACATTCCCTTTCACAAATTTGCTCCACACTCAAATTTTGGTGAAGTGTTAATTAGCCTAAACGCAGCAATGCTTTTATTGTAACAAAAATACTGGAATCTGTCAGACTTCAGCAAATAAACCTGAAAATGTTTTTTTCAAATCCTACGCTTCTATCATCTTGTAGTGGTCAAAGAGATGGCACTGTTATTTTTGGATCATTTCTCTGAATTGTTCATTAGATATCACAATTGGTTCTGTAACAGACATTGAACTTCCTTTCATAAAGCTGGAATTGCCCTTCTAGCTTCTTCGTTTTTGTAAATCTTGTTTTTGTAATCCCCTAGGAGCTGACGCCAACGACGTCAAAGATTCTCCCCAGGCCTGGTCAGAAGTCAAGGATATGGCAACAATCCCGCCATATCAGGCATTTTCACCCAGATCATATCCCTTCTCACCAGGTACAGCTATCTTTAAGCTCGACTCTAGGCGACTTCGCTGAGTCTAGGAAAATCAAGCAACAGTCAAATGAACAGGCTGGTAAATTCACCAAAAAGCCAAATCAAGCAAATTGTAGTAAGCCACAGGAATCAAGTGAGTTTCGCTACACTCAGATTCTTAGCTCTGATTGTATTAAATTATTTATTGCATGTTACTGTTCAGTTGTGTTTCTTGTTCTTCTATAAATGTTCCCCTAACATTCATTTCAGAGGCTGTGAAACGCTTTAATATGGAGATATGAAAGCCAAAAGCAAAAAAATGAGATTAACCGCACTTAAATAAAAAAGAGAGTTGCTGAAAGTTTAGGCCAAGTTTGCGCAAGGACTATAGTTGACCAATGGTTAACTAACGTTTGCCCGAACTCTGTCTAGTCAACGGTGGTTGACTACGTTAGTCGACTATTTGGAACCAGCCTACTGGGGTTGCTTGCTTCGCTGGTAACCAATAGCTGCGCGCATTCATAACGCTAGCAGAGAGCCAGGATCCAGAAGTTTTGCGATGACATTTTGACCAGCGTTTGACTAGAGACGTTCGCACGTTGCTATCAGTGCGCAGGCGTAAGATACGTCACAAATCAACCACTAGTCGACTAATGGTCCTTGCTAGAACTTGGCCTTAGTGTCAAGGTTCTTGGACTTTTCTTTCAGAATTGCAAACTATGAAAGATTTAGTGTTGGTAGTTTTCTTTTAATTGATTGATTTTGTAAAATACAATATACAATTTGAATTTGTTTTTGTTTTGGTATCCGTAGTTCGATCTGGACGAAGGAAACGTCAAGCCTCACCTCGAGAAGAGCAAGTTGTGTTGGGAATTGATAAGTGTCAGTCACCATCCAGTGGGTACTGCAATGGACCACTCAGAGATGATACTAGCTATGTGTAAGGGAAAACAAAAAAAATGTAGTGCGTCAGTGTTCCAAATGCCACTCTGCCTTTGGCCTTGTGGCATTTGGGACACATAGACGCACTGCGTTACTCTGTATCCAACTCAAGCTCATGGGATAAAAATGGAATTGAAATAGATAAACATTTACATGTCTTCAAAGGTTTAAACACAGGGGAGGGGGGATCGTTGCTCACTGTAGTGCACAGACGATTGTGCCGGAGAAACTGGAGATCTTGAATCAGTCTTTTGCACGTTTTGTCTTGCAGATATCTGTTCCGAGTTTGGAATGAAGCTGGCTATGCAGATACTGTCTTCTCAAATCCTGTCAAAACTCGTAAGTAAATCTTAATGTTTGTCTTTGAATTGGAAAACTATTTTGCTCACATGATTTGATGTACCTTTAATAGACATAACAGTTTTTATGATCACATATGAAGTGATGCGTTGAAGCAATCCTATTTTGGCTTGAATCTCCAAATGAAAATTCCCGACAAACGACTCATTTAGTGTGATCGCATCACATATATCGTAGAATGAAATTGTAGTTTTCAAGGGATAAATTTAATGCAGAAATCAAAATTTCTACATTTTTATTGAAGTGGTAACTTTCTGTCTGGAAGACATATTGGGGTGGTACCTTGACTCCTAAGCTCGACGTATAAGTTGAATGGAAAGTGGGCTGTTTTTTTTTTAGTAGACTGGTACCTTTATGTTGAGGGTGCCAATATCCACACAGATCTTCATTGTGTTGCATGGGTACCTTTCCAAGATTGTTCAAGAATTATTTGTACATTTTTGTGATGTTTGTTCTCCACCAGTGAATGACAATTCCTTGGAGCTTGGTTTGGGCCTGGGTCTGACGTTTGGTATTTTGTTCATCGTTCTCATCGTAGTGGTTCTTCTTGTCATCAGGCGTAGACGGCAGCTTTCGTAAGTCGTACAAAATTGTTTTGATGTGAGAGGTCTCACGTTCATGATTTGTCGCAATACTGAGTTTTGTCTGTACATTATGCCATGAAAATGTTGAAAGTTTGGATAAAAAAAAGATAAATCCGTTGACAGAAAAAAGGTGTATTTAACAAGCATTTGGCATTGCATGTGATTTATTTAAGCCCATTAATAGATGCATTTCATTGAACGGGGTGTGAGTAGGCAAATACAACAGGATTTTAAAAGGAAATAAAGTTCACCGTGAAATTTGTTAGAGTTGAATGTGGTGAAACTTTTGTGAATTGGAAAGACAATTATTTCCTTGTCAAATTTATAGGCGCACACATTCACATTTGAACTGCCCGAGTATTGGCCTGTCCTGATTTCACACATTTTATTCATGGATCATTTTTCTATTTTCCAAAGTAAATGGGAAATGAAAACATTAAATTGAAAATATTCAAATTATGCTGATTTAGAACTGCTGCGGAAAACTGTTATCATGGCTTGATAGATAGGGGTAAGAATTGTGAACAGTCAAGTGCTTTGAGACCTTGGTATGAAATGCTACACAAATCAACACATTATCATTATTATCCCTAACTCCCTAGGGCTTTTAGCTACGATGTAGCCTCAATCCTGCAAAATCCTCCAATTGGCCTCATTGAAAAATAGTGTATAGCCTCAATCCTGCAAATTCATCCATCATTTCTTGAATTTGGTCCGTGGATGGGGTGAGCACTGCCTGAATCCTGCAATATCTTGCAGCAGTGACTGTCAATATGTTGAGGCTTGGCCAGTGACATCCTGGAGCAGTACGGAGGATTTCAAGCATAATCCAGGCCTATATTATGCATGGCTGAGCAAAAACAACACAAGGTCCGGCCCAAGACCTTGACAAAGTGCATCCTACGAAATCAGTAATGTACTTTTGCCATGTAACCTCAATCCTCCAAATTCCTCCACTTTGGCAATGAAGGATTTTGAAGGATTCAGGGCGGTTAGGGTTAAAATTTTAAAATGCTCCATCTACAACTTTAATTGTAAATGTTCATGACGGTATCTCCAGAAAGGGAAGATCCAGCTCCAATTACCAGAACGAAGGCTTTGAACACGACCTGATTCCGGTGCGCAGAAAGGGAAACACGCGGCCCGTACGCGTGGAGCACTTCCCTGAACATTACAGGCTTATGAAAGCTGACTCGGACTATCTCTTCTCTGAAGAATACGAGGTATGTCACTGCGATGAGGTCTCCAAGTTTCATTTTCAATGATGTAAAAATCAGCTCGTAATTATCCAATCACATTTATTTCACCCTTCATGTTTCATACTTGAAAAACTATGTTTGACTTTTTTTCTTACCCTGTGCTAAGTAATATGCCCACCAAAAAATGTTTAAGGCAGATTCACCCTAATTCTTGCATTGTTTGCCAAATATGGTCTTAAAGATGCGTTTCCCGTAATCTTCAACACATTCAATTTTACTTCTATTAAAGTTTAAAAATAAAACTTGCATGTTTTATTCCAACCAATCATTTTTTCTTTTTTTTTGACATCTGCAATCCTCTGAAAAAAAAGTTGTTTGGTTTTTTTGGCACAAACCGCTTTGTGAACAGACTGGCTCCCAGCCCACACTTTATCGATACTGATTGTGGGATGGGAACCAGTCTACCCCGAGAGAAAAGAATTATTGTCTGGCAGCCAACAATTCGAGAATTTTAAGTAATAATTCATTAACTGAACATGCAGTGGCGTACCCAAAGGGCGGGGGGTCGGGGGGCTTGAGCCCCAGCCCCCAAGAGGTTGTCTATTAAAAAATTTGGGGTTTTTTTGGTAATTCTTTTTTTTTTTAGTCCCACAATTTGACCTTGATGGAATGTGGCCTATTTTTGAGTAGTATAATAGGGGTGTAAGTGGCACCACCAATGTTCTGCGGCCAAAATTTTTGGGCAAATTTTTCTAAAACAATTTAACTTCTAAATGATTTTGGAAAAACATTGTCAGACCCCCCCCCCCCAGCCAAAACCTGGGTGTGCTACTGTGAACACGGGCCGATTATTTGGGTCATTGTCATATTCAAAGGTGAATAATTAAAGTTGTATTGCTAGAATTATGGGATTCAAGAAAAGAAATCAATTTTTCAGGATGAAACTCTAAACTAGCACGGGCAACGCAACTTTTGTACATTTTTTATAACAGTGTTATGCCTTAGAAGTAAATATTGAGTGATTGTGACTGACTCTGAGATCTAAGTACAACGGTGCATGTGACACATTATTATGCATTGAACTTTGACCTTTGTCTCTGGGTAGGAACTGCGACCGATTGGTCGAGATCAGGCAGCCGAGGGCGCCGTCTTAGATGTCAACCGTAGTAAGAATCGTTTCACCAACATCCTCCCTTGTAAGTTGGGTCAACTGCCCTTCAAATTTTTTTTTTAAGTTGTAAATTCAAATATGAAGTTTTTTCTTTATAAAACTCTTTGAGGGTTTTCCCTTATTGATGAGTTTTTATTCACTCTGTGTTGTCTATTATTGAGGCACAATTTATCTTGTGTGGGACTCGAACCCACGACCACCTGTCTACTAGTGCAACTGTCTAATACTGCCCAACAGGAATTTGAATACTGGATTTTTCCCTTTGTTAGGATTTTTGAGGGTTTGCGATGGACTTGACCACAATACTGGTTTCGATTGATCCTTGACCCTTAACCTTTGACCTTTTGCAGATGACCACACCCGCGTCAAAATGAAGCAGGTTGATGATGAAGAAGGGTCAGATTACATCAATGCCAACTTCATGCCTGTAAGTCTATCTTATTGCGCTGACTTTTGGCCTGACAATTTTCTTGTGGTGAAACTTTCCTTCTCTGTGTTTCAAGATTTTCAAAGAGGTCATCTAGTCCTACATTTGTAGTTGCATTTTTTTTTAAATCAAGATGTTTCTCCTGTACCCTATTAAAGGCATATACGATCATTTGCTTTTCATGCAGTTTGTTTGTTTCCAATAACAGCACCACTCAAATTCCAAAAAAGAAAGTTCAAAACCTAAATGGTTGAAGTTTCAGCTCATATTACACTTTTCGAGAAAACAATTGGGGAAAAAAACATGCGCAACCTTTTGATCACGAAACACAATTTCGTCAGCCCTCTACGTTTCCAAAAATCAGTCAATTGACTGATCGTTGGAAAGCAGCTACATTTCTTGATCTCTTTTAAATGACAGCAAGCCAGGGGGAATTATTTCACTGGGTGTTTAGTACCAGTACAATCTTTAATCCAAGTAAGCGTTTTGATAATATTTCGGTAGGTTACTTTTGGGATAAATGCCAAATTGTCAAGAGTTCATCTCTTGTCACTTGAATTGAGAATGGTAATGGACATTTGACAGAATTTTATTCCACGCAAATTATATTGTACACCTCAATCAAAAACCTTGAACGATCCAAATACATGTATGTCATTTTGTAGCTTGTTATCTGTATTTTATTGGAACAATGTTCAAAAGGTCAGATGTTATTTATTTGTCTGAGTATGTCTGACACCATGGTGTTTTGAGCCGTTATCTGCCCCAGGAAAAAAGTTGGATGAGTAATTCCTTTTTTAAAGGGAAGATACAACATTTACAAACATATCACGAAATACCTTATTGGATTGTTAGGGAATGACAGTCTAAAGCATCCTGTAAGATTGTGGCTCCTGGTGTGCTGACAGTTTCAAGAAGTATTGTATTTTTCCAACGCTGGTCTGCTGGTTGGCCGACCAGCGATCGAGAAAACAGCCTATTTTTAAAAACTACTCCATATTTCTTATATTTAGTTATTCCACATTTTCTTTGCAATTGATTACACACCTGTAAACGGGTACAAGTCAGCTAAGGTGATACTCTGACTGACTGTAGAATTCCCCAAAGTCTATAAATTGCTCCATTTTCATCTTGCTTGGTTTTTCAAGCATCTACAAGCCAAAAACGTGAAACAAGTCAGTTTAACAATATTTGCTACAACATACTTATCCTCCAAATCCATTTATTTCTGAAAATTGCAGTAAAAGCCAATATTGTACATCCCCTTTCATGAAATCATTGTAATATAAACTAAATAATACGTTTTATCAGAATTAAAATCCCTTTTATGATTATAACTTTTGTTATGCACTCTGTTGAATTGTCCAAAATGTACATCTGACACCGGACTTCAGTTTTTTTTGATAGAAATTCTCATCAAATTTGCCTACTAAAAAATTACTGCAATATTACAACAAGTTGTCGAGAAATTGATGTAGATCTTTTTTGTAAATTTTTTGTGTTCCTGGTTTTGTCACCAATTAGGGATACAACTCACCGCGGGAATTCATTGCTTGCCAGGGCCCACTGCCTGGCACCGAGGATGACATGTGGCGCTTGGTATGGGAACAAAAAGTATCCACCGTCGTCATGGTGACACAGCTGGTGGAAAAAGGCAGGGTAAGCTGTCAAACTATTCAAGAAAATTCAAGTGTATTGGTGTCAAACTTTCCCCTTATCCTACTCCTTGAGAAAGTACTTGGCTTGATTCCTACAGGTAAATGTGTTCAAGGCATTAAAGGGAATATACAACATTTGCAAACATTGAAAAATAAAACTACCAAGTTTTTAGAAATACCTTACTAGGATGTTGGTAAATGACAGTCTAAAGCATCTTGTAAAATTATGGCACCTGGTGTGAAGTCATTTTCAAGAAAATGATATTTTTGTATACATTTCCAACGGTCGGCCGACCACCATTGGAAAACCCTAACTATTTTTCAGCTACTGCTCCAACTTTATCTTCTTTTTTTTTCAGTCCAAATTTTGTTTGCTATTGGTTATATGTTCATGAACAGGTGCAGGCCAGCTAGACTGATTCACTTACCTTACAATTTTCCGGCATCTATAAATTCATCCAGTTTATCTTTAGTGGAGTCAGGGAACCAGACTACTTGAACATTTTTGTTTTTCTTGGTTTTTACAGCATTTTCGAACACAAAACTTCAAACATGTCTGTGAAACAATATTTGATCTATTATACTAACCCCTCAAATAGTTCATTTCTGAAAATAACAGCAAAAACCAATGATGTACATTCCCTTCAACTCTCTAGTTTTAATGATTATTCCAGCTTAATTTGGGCTCCTTTATTTAACGGGTGCTTGTGTGTGGTTTTACAAATGTAAATGAAGCTCAATTCAATTTTGTTTCTGTTTATTGTCAGGTGAAATGTCACAAGTACTGGCCGAGTCAGGACAAGCCGGTGTACTTTGGCGAAATATTGGTCACCCTCTCGGTAGAGAAGAAACTTCAGTTGTGGACCATTCGTGAATTTCAGCTTCAAAAGGTAACTTCATTTTTTTCTTGGCCAAAGAGACGGGACTTTTCTTCAGTTGTTGGTTCTGCCTTTCACAGATGTTATTTCACAATCACTGTTCAGTGGTGGTGTAGGCATTCGGACGATTCACAATGCAGTGCGCCACCAAGAGTTTGCCATGGAGAGTTAATCTTTCCCAATGCATTGTGGGAGATGGTCGACAAATTTGCAAAGCGGAACGTTTGAAATTCTTAGTTTTTCCGGTCAGTACTTTCGTAAGTGTATGATTCAAGTATCTGTTGGCCCTTTTGGTTCCTTTTTATCAATACGGTGTTTTTTGTAAGGCGGCAGAAAGTAATGCCCCAATCTTCAACAAATTAGCTCAAGTTTGTCTACTGACACTCAAATGGGCCATGTTTTGTCGACCTTGAACCTAAAATATGGACTCTCCATGGCAAACTCTTGGTGGCGCACTGCATTGTGAATCACCCGAATTGCCTGTGTACTGCCTATGAAATTACATTAGAAAACCCAATATTAAATTTACTCCCCCCAGCGATGAAATTTCCATTGTTAAAAATGGTAAGGATACTTCCTGTTTCAGAAAATTGCGATTGTTAATTCGGTTGAAGGATGATTAAGTAAATGCAATCTGACATTGGTTTGCTCTTTCCTTTCAGGGTGAAAAGATACGCAAAGTACATCACTACAACTTCACCGCCTGGCCAGATCACGGCGTGCCGGAGAACACCGACGGTATCCTGCGATTTGTGCGCAACGTCCGGAACCAGATTCTGCAGGATGGACGGCCGACATTAGTTCACTGCAGGTCGGGTGACATTTGTGTTTGCTTTGCACTTTTATAAAATTAGGTCCCGGTTGTTTCTCTTACGAATTGTCATTTTAGTCTTTTACCAAGTCAAACAAGTAAATTGATACCCAACATGGTTTGAACTGATCGTAGGAACCGAGCCTGAAAAAAAGACATGGAGTCTGAATAATTGGGCTTTGATTGTTGGTAGGGATGTGATTTTGAGACCTTCGCAAATAGTTTGGACCGAAAGTCACGTTGAAAAGGCCAAGTTATTGGGACCAAAAGTAATATATGAAGACTTGGACTCTAAATCATTTGCAAATAATGCATCATATCTTCAAACAAACTTGAATCTCAATCCTGATTGGTTGATCCATGGCAACAACAGTGTGATATGAGGCTGTATTGTGCAGTCCATATTGCACCCTGCATATTACGCTATTTCAAGATGCGAGCGATATTCCAGCTGCATGCGCTATTAAAACTGCTGAAATGTTCAATGTATAGTGAGCTTGTCTAACTGCCGGCACTGCGCGTCAAGTTTGCTTGAAGATAAATTCGTTATCACGCTCGTGCTCTTGGAACACGGAAATGTAGTGCGTCTATGTCCCACATACCACTCGGCCTGTGGGACACAGACGCACTACATTATTCAGTGTTCCACTCGTGCTCGTGGGATAACTTACGTTATATATCACAATTACACCATTTATATTAAAATTATTTGGGACATTGAACATAACTTTACTGTAATACTGCTACTTGACCTAATTATCTTCATAGATGCCACGCATTTTTTACCCACACAATTAATTGTTATTTTGACTTATTGTCTTGGCTTTCAGTGCTGGTGTTGGACGTACTGGGACCTTCATCTGCCTGGACCGTCTGATGCTTCACCTTAAAGAACATGACTATGTGGATGTGTTTGGAATCGTCAACGAGATGAGGATGCATCGAAACTTCATGGTTCAGACAGAGGTGAGAAGAAAAGAAAAGGGTCAGGGTTCACAGGGTCACAGTTCACTGGTCAGGGGTCAGAGAGTCGGGGGTCAGAGTCAGGGGTCGAAGGATCACCGGTCTCAGGGTAAGGGATCACTGGGTCAGGAAATATTAGGTCAGAGAGTCAGGGGTCACAGAGACAGGGTCAGTATTGACAGGGATATAAGTCACAGGGTCAGGGGTCAGCGTCAGAGGTCACATTATCAGGGTTCTCAGGGTAAGGGTCACTGGGTCAGGAATTATTGGGGCAGAAAGTCAGGGGTCACAGGGTCAGGGGTCACAGACAGGGTCACAGGGTCAGGAGTGACGGGGATAGGAGTCACAGGGTCAGGAATCACTGGGTCAGGGGTCATAGGGGTCAGAGGATCAGGGTTCTCAGGGTAAGGGGTCAGTTAGGAATTACTGGGTCAGAGAGTCCGGGGGTCACATGGTCAGGGGTCAAAGAGACAGGGTCAGAGGGTCAGGGGGTTGCTGGGTCGGGATGTACTGGGTAAGATGGTGAGGGGTCAGAGAGATAGGGTCACAGGGTCAGGAGTCACAGGGTCAGGGGACACAGGGTAAGGAGTCACATGTCAAGGATACATTTGAAACACTGCAACCATTAGAAAGCAACATTCCATTTCGATGATTTCTTGATGCTATTGCCAACAGGACCAGTATGTCTTTATCCATGAGTGCCTCATGGACATACTCCAAGGCCGGCAGTCCAATGGATCCAGCCCAATCTATGAAAACATGGCGGTGTAGAGCCGGCAAGAAGTCTTGTGTTTATCATCTATGCAGCTCATACTTGGAAAATGCAATAAAAAGCAAGTGGATGCCTCATAAATAGCGTTGGTGTGCTGCTGTGTGGAGCAGTGGAGTTGGAACACCTTGAGGTATTGTCTTTTTTATACAACTCAGTAGGACCATTTGTGAAAAATGATTTTTATTTTATATTTTTTTTATTGAGAGATAAAGAGAGGAGATATTGATTGATTGAGTTTTATGGAGATGTGAATATACTGTGCTATTTTTAGAAAACCAAAGCCTGTAGATTCCTTGATTTTATATTCCTTTCAAAGTGGGAAAAAGAAGAATTTGGGTGATTTCTTTTTGAAAAACTATTTTTCAGTCTGATTCTTGGGTTAACATGTAAATGTCTAATATTTGGTTCCCGTTTCCGATGTAATGCCATAAGCAATACAGTGCTGCTGAAGAGCTCGGGAGAGGAATAAATACACATGCTTCCATGGGAGGGACTTAAATGTTACTCATGCTGAAGCCTTAGAAACTTGATTTATTACGAGCTGTTCAGGATCAGCTGGTGCTTTGGAATACGTAGGTGAAAGGATAAACACTAATACTGAAAATAACGTCACCCCAACATAAAACCTCCACCAGAAGTTGCCCAACTTTTTCATATGCACTTTTCCGTATTGAGAAGAAAATATTAAGTTATTTTGTATTGTGTTGAAAAAAAAAGTGCTTTTTGAGTAACTATAATCAATACTTTGTTAAATTCAAAGATATTCACCTTGACTTTTCTGTAAAAAAAACAAACAAATTAGGTTTCCTTATTGGACCACCTGTCTTGCTTGAAGTACTAATTAATATCGGCCAGATGTGTGGAACAAACAATTTGCATGTTAATTGCCATTCCATACTTTCCTGGAATAATCGTTACAAGCAGTTTCGGTGCTAAGCCGCTTCGTACTGGATTTACCCTGACATGTGGATTACATGTAATTGGAATCAGTGATACAAACAGGCTAAAATGAAAAAGCTGTTGTGAATTGGCCGTACCCCATGACTTGTGGTTGTGGGCAGGCCTTTTTCTTAGAAGAGGTGCTTAAAAAAAAAATCATCTTGTCTAATTGTGTAATTAGAGAGGATGGACATTTTGTCATCCTAAATCGGCGTCTAATGACATAGTACATTAGTCACCTAATCACCAGATGGCTGGATTTTATGTATCAACAAAGACTCATTTCGTATTTGTGCAGTTTTATTTTTCATTTGAAGCCACAAAATTGCTCAAAATCTAAAGTAAGGTGAATAACAATTAATTTCAGCTCAGTGGATACTGTACATTTTGAGAAAACATGTGCACGTTTGTTTTGATTCAGTTGCTAACGCACGTAAAAAAACTTTAGACATAGAAGCAGTTTCAGATACATGTATTATTGCCATGATATACAACACAAGTTATATAGGGCGAGTCAATAAAAGCGAAACCCAAATGTCGGGACCATTGTTTTAGTGAAGTTCTGCATGTAGCCCTTTCAAAATCTAGGATATGAAAGCCCAATTCATAAGCTTTCTTTTAGTACAAGAATCATTCAAATCACTCGTGTAGTTTTCAAGTTACGGAATTTTAAACACAGCCACCGTTTTAAAGTTCTGTCCATGGACCACAAGAACGTAAACTTCTTTCAGCAAAACGAAAAACGAATCGCATAGGGATGTGTGTGAACAGTTTTCGTTTTGCTGAAAGAACGCACATCTTTTTTGTGATCTGTGGACAAAACTTTAAAACGATGGTTGTGTTTAAAATTCCGTAACTTAAAAACATACATGAGTGATTTGAATGATTCTGATACTCAAAGAAAGCTTACAAATAGGGCTTTCATATCTACATTTTGAAAGGGCTACATGCAGAACTTCACTGAAACAATGGTCCCAACATTTGGGCTTCGCTTTTTTGACTCGCCCTGTATGGCTACCTAGAGCATAGTTATGAGTTAGCTTTTATACCAAGAAGTACTATTTTTATTAGAAAAACCATATTTAGTCCTTGACTTTTGTCTTATTTTCTTAGTGGAAAAAAATTGGAAAAATAGTTTTGAAAAAAAAATTTACCCTCAAAAAGTTCTACTCCTGTTAGGTGTGCTTATAAAGTGTGCATAATTGTTTATGTTAGCGTATTTTTGTGTGTGCATGTAATATTACTGTAATTGAAATCAGGGAATATATTGATTGATCACTAATTATGTATCTAATCTCACCCAAAAATCATTCTTTAATTTATTGTGAAGGGAACCTAATACATTTGTAGTTTTAGTAAAATTTACAATTAATTAATGTGAAATATCATTTTTAAAAAGTGCCTGATAAATTATTTATATATTGCATCAGATGTTTATTGTACTTTTTTTAATCGGCGATAATCCGAAGAGATTCCCAGTTGTTATCTTGGGCAAATATTTATTTTAAAACAATTCAATGAAATATTTAATGCTCAATCCTCTTAAATGGTATCTCTCTATATACTACTGAAACTTTACGAGAAGTATTCCTGATTTTTAGAATGTACAGCTAGACTTTGTTCAAAGAGCAGCTTTTTTTGGCAGGTCATTAATTTCTAACAGCCAGTGGGCTGGCCAGATTTGTAAATGAAGTTCAGTGGGCAACCTGTTCTGAATGAGCAATCTCCCCGGACATGTACATTTTTAGACATGTACATCATTTTTTAGAAGGCTATAGAAGCATTGCTTACAAGCGAGCAGGCCACATTGATCCAAGACACGTGTACTAATTAGTCACCTTTTCTTATTGTTTTGCCCAATGGGCAATTGGGCTGCATCATTATGTGATGTGTTTGTGAATACCTGGCTTATATGCCACCTTCTATCAGATTGCTAGCATTGCTGTGTCACAACAGATTGATGACACATTAAAAACAAATTCCCTAATTTTCCTTTGGGAACGTCATTATCTTTATAATGATGTAGGCCCTTGAGCACCAATACTGGTGGATATGTGCGCTTTATAAATACACATCACAAACAAGCATTACTCTTGAAAACACTTTTTAGTTGTTTGTGTATCATTCCACCAGAATATCTTGACAAAACAGAAAAGGAGATTGGAGGGTGGCTGTTACACTTGATGACAAGTCGTTAGATAGTTGTATTTTGTCCGTGAACTTCAGTCGGAACTCCATCGGTGCGGCTGGTGTAAGACTAGTACGTAATCGGCCGGGTTGCGACATATCCTTAAACGACTTGACGATTACGTTCTCGCACCGTTATTTATATATGCATATTCACTGCATTTACATATGCAGTGAATTTTTGCGGTGAGATTCAATGGCGCACGGCTATGCAAATGAGGACTCATTTATTCCGTTACGTGGAGAGTTCTCAATACGTCAGGGACATGTTTGCAGATCTGGCGACGGTTTAAAACGACCAAATACACTCAGCTAGGTCAATTGTGTATAGAAATAAAATGTATCAACACAAAGTACAACTCCTTGAAGTAATTAAAATGATCTTTCGTGGCGGCCTAGAAAACACACTGGAATCTGAACCAATCAGAGTGCTCGCATAGAATTCGCTAGTGATTCAAAGTACTCCCATATGTTGTGCACACAATTGAAAACGTATTCGCCAAGTCGGTTATGATTTAACTCCAGCATCATTTGGTCTGGGAACCAGACTACGCGCATTGCAGCGATATTTTGCGTGCGTGGAGCTAGTAACCGGTACTGTATGCAAAACAATTACCGACTTGGCACCAAGTCTAGGTGACTTTTGAATACTGTAATTTTCAATGATTTTCAGTCATGCTCCTCAAACGCGGTACAAAATTGCACAGATGTTGAAAAAAAAAAGAACACTAAAAATGTAGATCTCAGACATAGCACACTCAAATCGATGAATATTGTTTATTCTTAGTTCAAATGATAGAGTTGGAAAAGTACACTTCATTATTTTATTACCCACCAGCTCAAACGCAGTTATAGCTTATTATGTAAACTACAGTTTTAAGATTTAAACATCTTTAATATGGAAATTGTTTAATTTAAGCCAAATAGATCATTAGGATTTAAAAATGAGGCTACACATGACAAGGAATCACAGGTTACGTTATAATTTAAGTTGATTTCAGTACAGATTTCAATATATAATATCCAAAGCTAGCTTCTTACTTTTTTTTACAACTTTCAACAACTTTACCCAGAACAGGGCAGCAAGCCCTATCTACATATTGATAGTATAGATAGTTATACAGAACAGCGTTTAAAACATTTATGTAAGATTTTGAATTTTGATCTATAATATTGTTTCACGCTCCATTCAACCCACAACGTGAAACCTTGAATATTTTAACCTAATCCTTGATAAGGCTTCGAAATAAGATTATGATTTATAAATTATGAATTACAGGTCTACAAGAAAGATGAAATGTTCAAGTGTTTTTCCAAAACAATTATAAGTGGCTTTTTAAAAAAAAATCATTCAATGAAAGTTAGATATGTGAGTTCTGTCTGTAATTTTATAATAATTTATTGGTATAATATGTATATACATGCATGCTGATCTTTCAAATTGTATAATCAGTACTAGAATATTTATATATTTTTTTGTGCTATTCCAATGAATGCGTATTTTGCATGAGTATATTGTAATTAAACAGCCTTGTGTGCTTGATTGTTTTGACCATATTTTTTTTACTACACTTCGGGAAAGTAATTTTGTATTACATTTGATTTGAATCACATATATATTTGCACAAAATAAAATGATTCTAAATAGTCTTCGCTGTTCAAATTTTGTCCATTTGTCAGAAGGGAAACATACGTTGTGCTTAAAAAAAAGTGCTTTTATCTTAAAATTATGCTTCTTGCAAAGTGACAGACGAGGTTTGATCATTTTACTTGCTTATACTCTTTCTCCCTCTGCCTAACATGTTTGTTCTTTTTCAGAGATCTAGCTTACAGGATGCTTGACGATTTGCTGTTTGTTTTGGGCGTGGCCATGGAGTCCATGCATTAGGAGCTCCCTCACTTGTACACGTCCAGCATCAACACGAAGATGCCTCAGGATTGTGTGCATTCAGAGTAAACGAGAGCATATGGGCAATTCCACGATTACGTTACATTTTTGATGTACTTTTGAGTTTCATTGGGTTGTAATTACCTTACTGAAAAGGTTTAATAACTGTTATCCCCATAGTAGATAGAGTAGACCTAGACTTACCTAAGCACCAAAGATGACATCCAGAAAAATGTGTTATGTATGATAAACAAGACCCACGAAATCGGTTACTCACGTTACATTTTCGTAACGTGAGTAACCGATTTTGTGCAACTTGTTTATCAAATTACCATACATAACACATTTTTCTGGATGTCATCTTTGGTGCTTAGGTAGGTCTAGGTCTACTCTATCTACCATGGGGATAACAGTTATTAAACCTTTTCAGTAAGGTAATTACAACCCAAGGAAACTCAAAAGTACATCAAAAATGTAACGTGAGTAACCGTGGAATTGCCCATATTAATTTGTGGCATGGGTGAACCCATGCATGCATGCAGTGTGTCTTTACAGGGCGAGTCCAAAAGAAAGTGACCAAATTAGAAAACAAGTAGTTTTAATTAGGTGGCTTGCTCCATTTCATAAAAAATATTAACAGGCATATAGTACATGTTGTTGACTGGTACCTGCACATTTTATTAAAAAGATCACAAAATCAGCTGTCCACCACTGATCATTTAACGTTTTACGAACTGACAAATACCCATGAAATACAATGGAACATGGACGTTTTCCAACCTCCATGGATGAACGAGAAATATCGGAAAACATACACAAATCACCTTTAATATGTCAAGGAAAAGAAATTAATTGTTCCTCATTCAAAACAAGCTGACAGTAAAAAGAATGTTTTATTCTTGATTTAAATGATAGAAATCTCATTTGCAATTTAACACTTGTGTGTCATGTAATTCTCACTTTCAATGACTTTCAATGGACAGCTATGAAAATAGGTTCTTTTAGTAAAACATCATAACTTCTGATAGCATGGATCAATTTCGGTAATCCTTTTTTTTCCAGATGAGCGGAAGAACATGCTCTCTTAAGACATACATCATTTGTGTATCAAATTTTAAATGCTTTTTAAGGATAAAATATAATCAGGGTCACTTTCTTTTGACTCGCCCTGTGTACAGTTCTTGTGGGTAGCCACACAACATATCACTTCAAGTAACACGGAGTGTTTTAACTAAGGTTGGGGTGGGCGGCCTACTTTGAGATCTCCCATCCCCTCCCCTCCAGATCCCCGCCCCCCTCTCAGACTTTGGGGTGGGCAAAAAAATAGCCTTTTACTGTTAAAAATGCATTGAGTGCCCCCCCCCCCCACCACCACCTAAGTGTCCTCCCTACAAATTGAACCCCAGTTTACGCCACTTGTTGGTAACACCCTCTAAAATAAAGTGAGCTCTTGAATAATATACAAATATTTGATCATACAATAAAAATCATGACGATCGTTAAACCGCTAAGACTCTAAAGCCCTGTCCGAGTTAATTGGCTATGGCTCGCAATCAGACAAGTGCCTGTGTGAGTAGCTGAAGCCACTTCCCATATAAGCCTACGTGTGTTTTCTGGTAGCCATAGCCGTAGGCATTTGGACACGGCCTAGTTATCAGTGATGATGGTTAGTCTGACTCGAGGCTCTTCCCTTCCCTGTCATCGGACACCACAACCTTGGCCAAGATGCTGCTCAGAAGGCTGAGATCATCCTTCAGCTCATCGATGACACTGTTGATCTGCTCAGCAGACTGAAGTATCTCCACTGACTGGGTGTAAGGGTTGTAGCGGATGGAGAAGGGGCGACGGATCATGCTGGCGTAATCCCTAGTCAGGATTGAAGAAAAGAGAATGGTGCAAAGTGAGAAATTGCAACAATTAAGTCAAATTTAAAGGGACCAAAGCCTTTACGCATTGTACCCGACTTTGCAATGCTGTATCATTTTTATGTCGGGAAGGAAAGTTTGGGAAATAAAGTAACGTCGGTCTGAAGTATTGGCGTGTGTTTACTCGCCAAAACAACCGCTCAACTTCCAAGCCCACCCTTGTGTGGGTAGTTGTTGTTGAGGTCAAAGTTAAGGTTAGGGTTGATTGGAAGAGGTTGTACAGGAAATAACCAGGTAACTATATATCACAAGACTGGGCTAGTCGAGCTGGACCAGAAAGTCTAAATTCAGGACATTAGGTATACTCAGTGACTTGGGGAGTCAGTCAGTCAGTGACTCGGTGAATTAATTAGTCCGTCAGTGACTCAAGCAGGGACAATCGGTTGGCCTTTTTTGGGTTGCCTTAATAGATTCAAGTATCAGGCAAGAATACCTTATCATTTCTTTAGCTTCTTCAAAGCTCTCAGAAACAAAGTACGCATCTTGGTATGTAGTGATACGACATTCCTGCTTCGTAGCTGCTATTGGGGAGAATGGTAGCATCTTGGCTTCGCTGGACATAGCATGCTGGGATTGGCAACAAGAGAAAAAAAAATGGTTGAAAGTTTTGATTAAATGTAAAAATTTAATTGATCGTTCATTTTGTGAAGATATAAGTGTATGATCAATGCACTTGTTGGGTTGGCAGGTGTTTTCTTTTGGTAGGTCTGTCGGTTGGTCTGTTAGTTAATCTGTTGGTTTTTCACTTTGTCTGTTGGTCTGTCAGTTCGTATGTTGGTGCGTCGGTTAATCGCACAGTTGATTTGTCAGTTGGTATTTTATTTGGTCTGTTGGTTGTCTGTTGCTGGGTATGTTGGATAGGTTATCGGTTGATCTTCTGGTTGGCCTGTTGCCAGGTAAGTTGGTTGGTCTGTCGGTTGATCTGTTGTTTGGTTTGTGGGTGGTCTGTCAGTCTGTTTGTATGTTGCTGGGCTCTCAGTTTGTCTGTGGGATGGTCAGGATACGAATCATATGATCAACTAAGGCCTGAACAAGTAGCATCTGTACCACATTACACAATTCAATGTTATTTTTCGTTTTAAATAGTATTTATTACATACCTGTAGTTCTCCACTTGATGACAGCAAACCAGCACCGTAGACCTTGAGCTGGCCCTGCTGTTTACAGAGACCAAACTCAATCGTGAAGAAATAACACTGCGAAGAAAATAATGAGTATAAATCTGCATAATATAATCAGTGTGATTAATTGGGTCGTTTGTCAATTATTTTTGTTAATTGGTCAAGTAGGCATAATGTAATAAGTCAGTATAGGTGGGTCTGATATTTGAACACATACCTAATTTTGATTTTCAAGATATGTAATTTGTTCTCAAATCTATATCGCTCTCTGTTATTTGTGATATAAAAATTATTAAAATGCTGTACAGATATTAAGGCCAAAAAAATTGTTCTGCTTCCGATTACATGGCATTTGAAAATAGGGTAGGTAGGTAGGGAAATAATTTTTGTTTGCCAATTTTTTTTTGTGCGATCATATGGAGGTGTCTGTGTGTAGTCAAGGGTAAAAGATAGAAATTGATGGTTTTGGGTGTTTTTTTCTCATTTTTCCCATAAAAAAATAGGGTAGGGGCTGTCAGAATAGGGTAGGTAGGGAAACCGGAAGCAGAACTATTGTGGCCTAAATATGAATTGGATTGTTCAATCTATTTGTTAATGGCGAATAATACATTAATATTTTAAGGGCTGACAACTCATTTCGATCTTTAGGAACTCGAGCAGTTTACCTACCGACGCTAATTTCTTGATATCCTCATCAGATGCCCCAAGGGATGCTAGTCCAATTTCCTGCGGGAATGAGGAAAAAAGATCAATCAGTTAAAAGGTGCAAAAAGTAACTTGATGAATCCTATTTTTTCCTCAATAAAACAACTAATCGCGTTTATTTCTTTATACAAACCTTAGTTTTTTAGGTTTTTTTTTTCAAATTAATGTTAAAGGGAAAATACAACATTTGCAAACATCAAAAAATAAACTACCAAATCATTTTGAAATACCTTGCTGGACTGTTAGTGAATGACAGTGTAAAGCATCCTGTAAAATCATGGCACCTGGTATACTGTCATTTTCAAGAAAAGTGGTATTTTTGTATCAATTTCCAACGCTGGTCGGCCGATCAGCGTTGGAAAAAAACTGGCTTTTTTTCAAATACTGGCCCCAATTGACCATCGCACTTGTTTGCAATCGATTACACACCTATGAACGGGTACAAGCCATCTAGACTGGTTCCCTGACCTTACAATTCCCCAATGTATGTAAACTGCTCTGTTTCTTCTTATATGGAGTCAGGGAACCAGATTACAGGAAAATGATTGTTTTTCTTGGTTTTTATAGCATTTTCAAACCCAAAGCCTCAAAAAAGTCAGAGTAACTATATTTGCTATATATTTCCAACCCCCCAATTCCATCCATTTCTGAAAATTACAGCAAAAGCAAATGATGTATATTCCCTTTAAAACATTTTCATCCAGGAAACAATTGCTCTATCAAGACGCATGGGTTCCCAGGTGAGTATTTCAACGTGTAAAATTCCATTTGAGAGCTGGTCTAGCAGAATCGATCACAAAAATATCAACAATTTTCAAGAATGTACTTGTGACACTGTCGGATTGTCCATTTTAATTATTATTTCATCGATCAAAATGACGCACTACTCCTCTATTATCTTACCTGTGAAAACTGCGCGAAGCTTTTGTCCGCCAGCATCGGCACGTGACCAAATAACTCGTGGCAGCAATCACTGGTATGGAAGAAAACAGTTGATTACAGAGTTTTTGGTTCAATCAATATAATTTTTTTTTTATTTGTTGAAATTTGTGGGCTTTAAGATGCATAACGTACGGTTCTGGTGTGTAGAACGGGTTGGAGGCATGACGAATGTACTGAGTGCAGTGAAACACTCGAAACGCCAATCCCGCTAAAAAGTCACGTGATGACAGATAGCCAGCTACCGGCCTGAGCAGAAAACCCGAGCGTTCTGAAATATTATTAAAAAAATAAATAAATACATAAAACAAAATATATCACAAGTAAGGACTTTGATTACAGAACGGTTGTGGAAATGTGACAGTTGTTTAGCAAGCAAGTCACGTGTTTTTCATTTCATTTCGTAATTTTTAAATCAGTCAAATTTATTCAAAGTTCTTTTTCGAGTAGGCCTAGAACTATCATTTTGAAAATCACCTTTTAAGAAGACCGAAACATCTTCAAGTTGTGGTATGTTGTCCTCTCTGCAGGAGAAAAAAAATTGCAGTGATGATTTTTAAAATATTGGTTTTTATAACTAATGAAAACCGATCAGAGGCCTGATTATGCAAATGTTATGCATGAATTGACGACTGAAAAGTATCGCGTCAACTTTGGACCAATCAGGAAATGCCTTGGCTCAGTTTCAACCAATCATGGAGTTGTTTTTACCTGAAGCCGAAATGATCGCGTAGAATCTGTAGATTCTCGTTATATTCCCTGCAGGCATAGAGCGGGTAAAGACCTGTCACATCGGAAAATACACGTCCCCTTGAAAAAAAAATGAAAACCGTAAGAATTATCTGAAATGAAAAAACTGATTAGATCAGGAAATAGAGTCCAATCATCTTAGATTTTTATCGTTGGCTACTTCTGTGGAATACAAGCTGGCGCTAACGTGTCTCGTTAAAGAAATCTTGTGTTGTTTTAGCCTGTTTTCATCGGCGTTTCCCTTTCCCAACCAATTCGTATTCAAAGTTTGACATCGCCTCGCAGAACCGATTGGTGTTGTCATTTTTAAGGAGTAAACAAAAATCGTTAAATAATATTAAAAATTGTAAAATCATTGTGAAAGAATATTATTTCACAGTATTATCAACACAAAAAGATACAAAATGATGTGGCAAGTTATTTGCAGAAATTTGCACCAACATTAGGCCCACGGTGGTTTTAACAATTAGAATATATTCGATGGACTTATGTCATTCCTAGCTCTCTCGAAAATATAATGTTCCTACCATGTTTTTGTTTCCTCTTCGGTGTATTTAACACGAGGGATTGGCTGACCACTGTATGGTGAAACAAAGAAGCACAATTCAATTGCATTGCTGTTTGGAAGTTCATAATACTTACATTTTAAACCGATTATCCACAGACTTTAAAACCAATTATTTTTTTTTAGATTGACTGCTGAGATTCCTGCCATTTTCATAAATTCCACAAAACGAATACTTACTGACGATACTGATAAGCGATGTCGGCGAATACTTTCCGTCGTTGTCGGTACTGGCTGTCTTTAAACCCCTGTTGAAGATCAAGAATAATCAGCCCTTTTAACATTTTGGTCACATATGTTTTAAACATGTAGGCCTACACAGTTTGTTCTTTAATCCTTTGTAGTTATTTTTTTATGTTATAAGCACGCACCACGTAAAATAAGTAACCAAGATTTTAGGTCCTTTGATTGGTAGGCTCGTTATTGGACTAGCACTCATGCATATTCATCAACCGGCATGCCAAGTGCTTTGTATTGTACGTTTGATAGTACATGCGTGGCACGCGAAAGCGAATAGTGCATTTGAAAATGGCGGTTTTGTCGTGCGGCCACATTGTTTGTCACGTCATGGTCACGTGCAGTGTAGCAGGACTGATTTGGAAACGTTATTCGAGTCAGTTCATACTTCGTGGCAATCTTTAACATCTAGCGAGGCACAAGAGTCAAGTCGTAAATTGTACGGTGAGTGCTTCAAAAAATGTCTTGGTTTTGTACAGAGGCTATGAATAGTGTTCATCCTTAATCCCTATAGCCAGGTGCAATTAATGTATAGGTTGACATCAAATTACGTACATGTACATGTATTTGAAAGTCCTTTTATAGGCACGTCCCTGCTTTGAGGATATAGAATCATGTCTCCGTTTCTGAATTAAATCTGAAAATTATTTCAGACCATAAAATGCAGATTGCTTAATGCATGCCTTGGAAGGATCTGTGCAGGATGCCGCCATGCTTGTAGAATCATGAGTAATTCATTAAAAATACACATTTTTATATTTATCATGTCTACATTTCTAAACTTAATACCGCTCAATCGTGTCAATGTTTTAAAATAATAAAATCATTATTCATAATTTTTAAACTGAACTGAGAAACTCTTTTAGAAAAAAGAAAACCTGTTTTCTGTTTTGCACCAAATATTTTGAGGATTTAATATGTGCACTGGTGCTCATGCGAATCAAAGTTGCGTAAGCCGTGCTTTGCGGTACTGACAACAAACGACATAACGAGGTACGTCTCATAAAGTGCAGAACAACGCCCCAGAGAGAAAACAAATTGGCAATTTTCCACACTTGCAGATGATTCAAAAGAATGTAAAATGCACCAGGGGCCAATTACCAAGCGGAGTGTTTACACTTGACGTCAGTGACTCGTTATATTGGCCAATTATAAAAGGAAAAAAAATAGCCCCAGTGATAGAAGTCGATTGAGAAGCTTGTCTCTGATTATGTGCTTGAAAAGGTGAGAAACTCGTCGCCATATTGATTAATGACGTCCTGGAACGGCGTCTATACGCGTTGCATCATGATGGGATGACACACCCGTATTTTGAATGATAAATTGCCGATCAACAGCGATCAACAAGTGATCAACATAATATGTGCACCAAGAACGGTTCTCTTTCAATCAAAATAAAAGAAGAGGATGTTGGGTCCATTGTAGTTTTGTTTGCTGTTGAGTCTTCAACGGGGGGGGGGGGGGGGGGGGGGGATCACGCTGGGGACGGCTGTTGGCTGTCAGCATCCGTCAACCCCCCCCCCCCAAGTAATTGGCCCTCGTCAATGAAGTGTTTCGAATTGTGTTTACTCGCCAAATACATTTTCTGTAGGCCAGACAAAATTTAATATACACACAGAGGCAATTCGGCTACCTTTGTCCCAATGCCTAGAATTAAATTTGACCTCTCTTGGAAAATTACTCATTGGCCTAACTCTGTACAAAATTATCAGATTCTGACATTCAATGTCGCATTTTAAAGTGGAAAGGCGTATCTTTCAAACCATACTATATTTCTATGTTGGTTACACATTCTAAGTCTGGCATAGTGGCATTCCGTTATATTTAGTTTGCATTTTTTTTTGACACACTGTTTATCACAACATAATCTGACATCAAATGGTGAATTGTTTTGGAACGATTTAAGGGTAGATTTGAAAGGGTCTTTCCCGCTACATTCTTTCTCAAGGAAACTGAATCATTTTCTTTGAAGCATTTACGTTAAACATGGAGACTTCCTCAACGTTGATGGTTTTCATTGTTTTACAAACATCGATGTAACCTTGTCTGGCCTTATAGCGTCTTGTGTTCCAGGTAGGTAATGTACTTGTGTTTTGCTTATTTTTTGTGGGTGTTTTTTTTTGGTATGCCATGTAGGGGTAAGTGTAAGAGCTTTTGCTTCACTTGAACCCTACCTGTCGGTAATTAGCAGATTAATCATTTACGTAAATAATTTGATTTATTGTAGTAAAATTATTATTATTTGTCTGTGTACATGTTTCTTTTCCCAGAACGAAACAAATGTTCATTATTGTACGTCCTTGCATAACTCGGGACGCGTCAGCGTCAGCGTTTATGTCAATTCGGGGCAACTCCGTAATCCAGTTCTCTGCGTATATACGTCCGACCAAAGTCGTGAAGGTGGTGGTAGCTTAGTTTGGTCTGTAATATTGTTTCTACTCATAAGATGTCACATATTAGCGATGTATCACGTTTACTTTCCCAACAGCAGCTCATTGAAGTGTCTGCGTCCGAAGTTACGGAATTGCCCTTTTACAAAAATCGCATTTACGATATTCACAAATACTGATACTGGGCCAAGTCGCAGATTTCGCTGCCGCGTCTGTGTTGAATACCGTAAAACCCAACAAAACAAAGCAAATTTCCTTTCTTTATAAAACAGCACTAAATGATATACCGGTAGGCCTAGATAAACTGTTAAAGTTATAAGATTGGTGTTCACGCTTGACATAGCCACTAAAAGCAGGCTATTACGATACATAGACCTAAGCTTATGTTGTAAGACAGTTCGATTTAGGTACGGTTCGATTGTAATTTGTAGGTGCCCTGGAATCCATGTTAAAAAAAAATAGTAGACATCAATCGAACGGGTGACAAATAATTTTTTATTTTGCAGTTTATTTTTTCTTTTGCAAGTTCTCATTTGCTTACCGGATGATCAGCATCAAGTTCCGCGCCGTACGTCAACACGCGGCACGCAGAGCGGTTCAGTTCGCTGATCTTACGGGGGAACCAAGGCCCGTCATCCACGTTGCCTGCGTATTCTGGACGGTAGAGAGAAAAGGAGACCAGTGCCATATAAATGAAAGATCGAAATCACGATTGTCTGTCTGTCTATTTGTCTGTCTGCCTGCCAGTGCCCATCGCCTATGGCCACCCGTACCTCTTGTCCTTTTTGCCATTATCCACTAGAGATGTGCTCGTCAATGAAGTCGATATTGTCAGGCGGTCAGGTCGCAAACAATAATACAATCATATTCAATAATTAAACGTTGCCGTTGCTTGTGTTTCGTTCAATATATTTCCCAACTTCTGTTATGCTAATAAATAGAAATTTGAAAAGGAACGTATCTTTCGAGGTAAAATTTAAAAAAGGACGGACAGTAAACAGACTTATTTATACCTTGTCATCTTATTTTCTGGGGGAGGAGGAGGAGGTTGCGAGATTTAAGATTATGTTGAAGCCTCACCTATGCCATCCTCCTGGCTGATGTGTTCTAGCGGTTCCTGCACGTAGCTCATTTGCTTCTGGAGTTGCTTGACGAGTTCCGTAAACAGTCCTCGCTCGCCTTCACAGTCCACGTACACCTCGAGCTCCGACTTACGACGCTGGGAGCGACGCGACTCGATGTGTAACACCTGGATCTCGTTCTCCTGAATAAAAAAAAATAGATTTTTGAAAAATAAAGTGTTTGTATATTGATTGGAACAAAAAGTTTGGATTTAAAAACAAAGTAATGATTTCCAAAAAAAGGGCCGGATCTTATTACGTTACCAAAAAAAATGGGCAATTTGTCGCATGGGTTCGGGAACGTTTGTCGATTTTAACTGCCTTTGGAGCAAATTCTTTTCACTCTTGGAAATTGTTGCGTGGAATAACATTTTCCACCATTTGTTCCACCAAACTAAGTGTACCAGATTTCGCTAACCATACGTTTGTGTCAGTTCAGAAACGACGCTCTTTTTTTTAGTAATTCATGTCATATTCATCCAGAAAAATAAGCAACTTTCATGGACAGGACAGGACCTATCCTAATGTGTCAATTCCTACCTTAAATGTCTTCAAAGCTCGAGCCAGAGCACCGACGTTGTTCTTGAGCGAGAACACGAGAGGTCTCCTGGTCAACAACTCAAAGGACACCCTGCGAACCAGACGGGAACGCCTCAACTTGGTCTGATTCTCAGCCTCACGTTTTGCCTTTAAAAACAAAACCCACAATGAACAAACATCTGGAAAATGTATTTATAGTATTGGCACTGATCATTTTTTTGTCAACTGTTTCACAGACCTATCAAGTCTCCGGCATCCGGCGTATGAATATGTCACATCACGCCCCAGAGTCAATTCACATTCTCACACCCACACGTTTGTTTTACATACCTAGTGTGGACATTCCTTTGTTTTCGTGTAGTTAAGAAAAACCAGTGAAAAAAACCCTCTTTTTTTCTCAAACTGTGAAAACTCTTTCAACCCAATTTTTTTTCTATGATTCCCTCTAGTGTTTCTCTTCATTTGGCCACTGATTAACCTACCCCAAAATGCTTCTAAACCTGTTTTTCAGAGAGGGGAAAACCTTATAAGGACGGGGCAAGTCCACACAACGTCGCTGCTACCTGGTTTAGGCCTATGTGGACATCTTTTGTTCGGAAGCCCACACAGTGAATGTAATGCTTGTCCACACCTGTACCTATAGCACGCTTGTTTATGGTGTAAATCACGGATTTTCTTTTGTTCCTCTTCCCTTTTCCTTTGCTTGTACTTAAACTGTTTCGCAACAGCGCTCATTGGTTTTGCACGCGTGTTCTAATCGAGGGCGTCCTCGATTCGGTTCCTGTCCTCGATTCACCGACGATGTTACACGTGTGTGTCCTCGATTTACACCATAAACAAACGCGTAATGGCACGCCTAAAGCTAAAATGTTGTTGTTGGGTGATCGGGCCGATCTTGTTCACCCTTTGTTTCTGTACAATTTATTCTGTGTCCATGCATGGTGTTTTTTTTGTTTTGTTAGTTGTTTCGGGTACATAGGCCCTACTCCGAAACAGCTCTTGTTTTCGATAAAGTTTTTTCTCCTTCTCCCCCCTTTCTTTTTCAGACTCCTCTCCATATGTTTTGTACAGGATTTTCTACCAGCCGCACACTTTGGCACTCTCGTAAATCAGATTGACTTCAGAGTTCAGACTTGGCACACACTTAGGCCACCACCTGAAGATGTATGCCGAAGTTTTCGTCACGATGACGTAATCAGGTGTCAAGGTACGTCACATTAGAGGTGCTCTTTTTTCTCCATAGATTTTGTACACGTTTTCTTCAAACCATACACTTTGGGACATTCGAACGTATGTGTTGATTGACTTTAGACTTGGCAGACACTTAAACCCTCAGCCGCAGATGGTCCCTGATGATTTTCGTTACCATGACATTACCAGGTGTCAAGTAACGTCACATTAAACGTGCATTTTTCAATGCCCTATATTTTCTTAAGTACAAGCCCGATTAGGCCAAAAAAAAAAAGTCTCCGGTTTCTGGTATGGAGCTTGCCCCAAAAGTGGTGCGGCGACGCGGCTTTTTTTTTTTTTACCTGTTTTTTTTTTTTTTTTGGCTTCAAATGTCGGCTGATGACTGCAAATGGTGCCCGACTAAACTTAGTGCAAATATATGGGAGTCCAGAGAGGCCACATAAATCTTATTCTCGATCATAACCCCATCTAAAAACACGTTAAAATTGTGCAGCAGCAGAATTCCAGTCAAACCAGTGGGTTTGGCGGTTTTGAAACATCATCTTGTATTGAAAAAAAAACTTTTTCATTTTACCGACGCGCATGGCTACGGCGACGCGCGCGCATACCAGAAACCGGAGACTTTTTTTTTTGGCCTTAGGTGGAATCTTTGTAAAATCTTTGCCACTAAAATGTAACATTTTCAGACCGTAAATATTACAGAGAATAGCGACAGGGCCAATCCAAACACTAATTCTTTTCCTGATAGGAGGCTTTACCGATTGTTAAACTGTAACTTGTTGTTACAGTTGTTACGATTGTTAAAAAGACAACGCTAAAAAATACAAATAGAGACAATATCTACATTAATTGTTGCTTTATTGACTTTAAACCAATTGGTAGCCTTGAATAAACTGAAAAAAAAAGTGATGGCGTCGTCGTTTGCGTCACAGTCGTCGTCCAAGCAATCACTCCATGACTATTGTCAAGGTGAATGTAATTCTCACTGTAAAACTAACAGTCATATTCTTCGTCCAGCGTCGCCGCCACTTATGTTGTGCACATTGTACCGGTCACAGTCACGATGATTGTACATTATCGTCTCCAACTTTATCTGTATTGTTGTCAGCCTCACGACAACTTCAAACACACCTCTACCTAGTGTAGTGGTAGTCTGTCGTTGTCACAGTTGTTCTAGATCCAGATACAAAGTTATGAACTTACCAATTCAATGGCATCATCTGCGCTGTGCTGGCGTAACGCTGTCTCACCTCCCCGCCTAGCAAGTATTTCCTTGCTTCTAAATTTCTCAGACATTATTAATTGCTTCAACTGAAAACCAAATAAAAAGCTATGGGCAATTTGGCCTTTTTCATTCGAATATCTAAGACGTCTAAGTGAATTAAGAGTGGTTCTTGTAAGACACTAAATCCAACTGCAAGGCATTGTGGTTTAAATACAGGTTCGAAAGCGTCCTTGATATCTATACCAAATGACGTAGACTCGATTGTTCGTTAGTGACCATACGTATGCGTATATACAATTTCGGAGAAACACCTTCATGTGGTTTGCCTCCCTAGAGAAAACTTAATTCAATGGAAGTGTTAGATAGGATGATGAGTTTCCGTTACCATGGAGACAAACACATCATTATCACAAATCGAGGCATCGCCACTCTAATTACGGATTTGGGATAATTACCACAGCGCCAGTCACAATGGAGATGTTTATTACGCGTACGCCATTCAGGGGGCAGATTCGTGATTTGAAAATGGAGGAAGAAGGTTTCTCGTTGTGGATCCAGGATTTCGCGGGGGAGGGGAAGGTAATGAAGTTAAGGGTTATTCAGATGTGGGGAGGTGATCATTAGGTGATGAATTTAACAGATACAGGGATCAAAGTCCTCGTGCAATAAATACAGTTATAAAATTGGTACGAAAGCCCTGTAGTGCCATCAAGTATATATTTAGTCCAAGTTCGTTTTTATGAGATATATTTTTCCCAAAGTTCGTTTTTACGAGATACATTTTGTCGAAGTTCGTTTATATGAGATACATTTTCTTGAAGTTCGTTTTTATGAGATACATTTTGTCGAAGTTCGTTTTTATGAGATACATTTTGTCGAAGTTCGAAGACAAAATGTATCTCATAAAAACGAACTTCGACAAAATGTATCTCATCAAAACGAACTTTGACAAAATGTATCTCATAAAAACGAACTTTGGGAAAAATGTATCTCATAAAAACGAACTTCGACAAAATGTATCTCATAAAAACGAACTTTGGGAAAAATATATCTCATAAAAACGAACTTGGACAAAATATATACTTGATGGCACTACAGGGCTTTCGTAAATTGGAAAGGAACGTTACATTTTTCCCCAAGGCCTTATAAAGGTCGGACATAAGCCACTCCAACCCGTCCCCCTCGCATTGCGTGACAGGGGGTACTAGAGGCATAAAGCTAGAAAGACGCTAATTTCGGAGCGGTTGGAAAGTTGATTTCCGTGAGACTAAGCGAGAAATGCATGCGATATAACACTGTGAACGGGTATATACATGTATGTGGTTTTGCATCCATACTGACGTGCACAGTCGTCATAACGTCAATTTCAACGTCATACGTTCAGAATCAAATCCGATTCCTCATTCCTCGTCTTTTTCAAATCTACATCTAGGATTAATCCAACAATCCAGAATCACTTTCTGTTATGCAATCTGTGATGTGAGTTTGGATCGTACTGAGTTTATACTCCAAACTTCTAAGGGAATTTGGATGCAAGTGTTTGTGTGCATGGAAATCGATATCCTTTTTACGACCCTGTTCGCTCTGAATGTAAATATCATAGTACATGTATTCCCAAAACTATGTAAGTGGCTACAGACAAACACATATGAATATTCCAATCGTACAAAGTAAAGGGAGGTTTTCGTCATTCATTTCCTAACGTTCTTTCCAAGATACTTTTTAACGGACTTGGTCAAGCATTCGGTTGTTTCATCTTGCAATAAAAGGAAGAACGTCTTTCAGTCTTCTATGTGTCTTGAATTTCTCCTTGGTGTGGGGGTTGGGGATGTCGTATAATCTCGCATTATGTTTTTTTCAAATCAGGGAAACCCGCTAGTCCGCCACGTACGCTTACAAATTGCATTTAAACCGGGAGCTAGGTTGAGTTTAATTAACAATTTGAGCAGAAAAGGTTTGATGGTACCAATCGATGGCCCGTCGGGGGGGGGGGGGTAGTTCCGAAATGGCCATTCTTAAGTTGCCCTAGGTCGGATTGGGGTCAGGGGACCAAGGTCAAATGTCAAAAATTTCGAGTTTAATTAACATGTCACGCACAAGCGCCGTTTTTGGACTTAAGTGTCGAGATTGACCCCCTGAAAAAGTCGGGTAAAGTTACTTAAGAATGATTAAAATATTGTATTTATACATGTGTATATGTTTTATATATACATGTATTACTGTAAACAAATGTACACGTATATATCCTGGTCAATAGTGGAGCTCTTTATGCCCATTATTTTTGCCCAAACCGTGCCCAAATATGTGATAAGAGCATGAAATATGGCGTGCAGATCCAAAACGGTCTGAGAATCATAGAGGTGGGCCCACCTTGAAACCTGCCAATTTGGGGGCGGAGCTTGATTTTTTTTTAAAGGGAGTGAAAGGAATAAAAACTCAGAAGAAGTGTATTAAACATTCATTTTCCTTCTTTTCCCATGCCTTGAAATAAATTTGGACATGACATTAAACATTCTAGCATTTTAAAGTCATATTTTTGGTTAGTTCAGACATTTGTCTGAACTAACCATATTATTCTGAGTGCCCTGGCAAGTGGCATTTTGGAGGGTTGAAAATGAGGTAAAAAAATGCAATTTTGCTAGTTGTAAACACATGCTGTATTGTAGTGCCTAAAAATAATATAAAAGTGATTTTTCAAAAGTGTTTCTATTTTTTTCTTGTAAGAATGATACTTTATTTCTGTACGAGTTCATCGGTGCAATAAGGCAGTCCCTTCATGAAAGAGGTTTTTGCCTGCTCCTTTTCTTTTAGAATTGTAAACATTGCATGGTAAATAAATGTAGGGCCCTCGTACCCCTTTTTGAAAATACCGCACTAATCTCATTCAATGAGCAACTGGGCTTGCTTTCAATTTCCATTGTTACATTCGAGTTCAATTTCCATTGTTGTTGCATAGTTGTTGCATTCTTAAGTCTTATTACGAAAGACAAAGGTAACCGTACACTAGGAGCTAGTTGATTGGCCAAGTTTTATTGAGTAGGCGCTCGTTTCAGCGAGGAATGTGATTGGACAGGACGACCGACATGATGAGTTGTCATGACAAACCGTCATGACTAACCTTCCAAAACGAAAGAACGCCAGTGAGACCTTTGGGTACATGTATACGGTATGGCATGGTCATTGAAGCTATAAGCAGATACCACAAACGTATCTAGCTCTATCTAAAGAAGTGTGTATCATAAGTTGCATAGTTTACACAAAACTTAAAAACGCAGCATCTTTTATGGGAAAGTTGGAAAGACGCACTTGTAGTGCTGCGGCCATAAAAAGTAACGTTGAATGTAATTCAACATAACGCACTTCGAGAATACTGTAGAAAATGTGCAATGAGTTCAAGCTGTTTAATTATTATTTAATGTCAACTGTTGGGCTAATACTGCACGGTCGTTTGTCTTGCGTATTTATCATAAATGTCTGGCAACTTCACGTCAGCATTCGAGCTTCCCACGTCATCTCGTGACGTGTTCAAACCTGATTCGCTAGTCCTCGTGGTTTTAGATTTCCTTTTCTTCTTTTTGATTCGTCCCATCGAGTTGTTTCTCTGTTCCTTAGACTGGCGCCGTAGTTTATGGATTCTATTCGTCACTTGATCCAAGTTGGAAGGGTTGGGAACCTTGACATTGGTATACTTGGTGATGGGATTACCGGTGACGTCATCGTAAACTTTGACCCCGTTGACGCCGAGTGCACTTTCTCTTGGTGGCGGGCAGGGAGTCTCGTAGCCAAAAGTGTCAACAGAGATTTCCTCTTCGTCTTCGGTGTAATAGTCCTCATCCTTAGATTCCTCGGTTAAGGAAGCTTCAAGTTCTTGTCTGCTTGCTACATGGATCTCCTCTGTTTGTTTTTGATATTTTGTTTGGGAGTCTTCGGGATCTTTGTTGACACTTTCCGTCTTTAAGGGCTTTCTTGTTTTGGGAATCCCAGACCTTTTGAAGGACCTCACAGGCGCAAAGTTAGGACTCCGGTTAGTGTGGAGATGAGTCCTTTGCGTCCTCAAGGTAGTTTTATGGGCGTGTTCCCTGTCTTTATCTTGTCTCACTGCGTCGCCGTTTACTGAATTAACGTCAGTAGTATCATCGCAAACACGTTGAGACGCGTTTGGCTGTTGTATGATTTTGATATTGTCCTTCATTCTCACGCTCAGTTCGTCCAGTCTGCGCCTCATCCCGTTCACATCCACTTCGTTGAGGCGTCGTCGAGGCTTCAGATCCTTGCGGAATTTCAACAGTTCGCTGGCGAGCTTCAGTCGCTTGTCGTCCTCATCTAGATCAACTGTACCAAACGGGGGCATAATTAACGATAACAAATTATTTCCAGCCTTTCTTTTGACTTATTTATTCTATATCTGACGACAATGTAAGGCAATATTTCTTTTGTTAATGCACCGTATACGCAAGGGCGGATCCAGGGGGGGGGGGGGGGGGGGCCAAAGGGGGCCATGCCCCCCCCCCAAAAAAAAACCGAAACCAACTTTTTTTTTTTTTTGATGTGACATCGTAATAAAGGCAGGCAATGAGTACACCACCATCTTTTCCTCAAAATAAATTGGTTAAAGTGGTCAGAAATTGCCTCAGATCGCACCACAGAGCATCTAGAATCCAAAAAAATTTCGGGGCCCTTAAGCGGGCCCCGAACCCCACGCCGTAATTTTTTAGACCCACTTTTTTGGGGGACCAAATTTTTTTTTGGCCCCCCCCAAAATTTGTGTTCTGGATCCGCCCTGTAAAGTGTAAATGGTAAAGCTTTGAAAGTAAGACTTTATTGTCTTCATGATAAATTCAATGGATTTGCGTTCACCAATAGCACTTTTTTTCCTGTTTCTCAACTGTCTTTTGTGACTTTGTGTGGTTCTGAGAACCAGTTGGTAACTCGACGTTTCGAACAGTATGCTCCGAGTCCGTCTTCAGGAGACTTGTGAAGTTTGCCAGCGCCATAAAATTACCTAGGTTGATTACTTGTAGTTATATTGAAAGATGATGTTCCCATGCCTGTAGTTCCCTTATAGAACATACATAAACACATGCATTACCAAATTTGTATGTTGGAGAACTGCCGAACTTTGCCTATTCCTTGGATTTGGACGAGAATGGACGAGCGCTTGGCGCGGGGTTTTCCGTCTAAACTCCGAAACAAGCCTTTACTTTTAACAAAACTATTTACCTTGATAGTGGTCGACGATGTCCACTCCCTTTCCCTTGTAGTCGTCCTGTCTGTCTGCCCTGAATTCCAAGACAATCTGGTACAAGTCGGGTCTGGCGATGTAGTACAGCAACGTCTGCAGGAAGTACAAGCTATTCTCTGCCAAGAGTCGTTGGTTCTCCAGTAAGGCGAAGAGATGGCGTGCATTGGTCACCTCGTCTACGATCTGCGGCGGTCGAACGTGATCTGCGACAGGCAAGAGAAATCTTGTTTGGAAATTCATTTGTTATCCTCCCCCTTGGCATTTCTTATAGAGAGCTTGCAGAAAGCGCCCTCGCTGTAGACATAAAAAAGACACTTAGTGTTTTCAGTGTCAATAAATATAAACATTTCAAGTCCGCAGTGATGGCGCCTGTATGATTTTGAGTGTATTTCGTACCATGGATCCTAGGAGTGAACCTTATGCATTCTTTGGACTTGTCAGTGACGAATAGGAGCTAAAATCTTTGACGAGACTGAGCTCGCCCAGACGCCTGTGTCCCTAATTCAGAATATGAATAAAAGAAATAGAGCTTTGTATTATTTGAATGGTGATTTAACCCATTGAATGTCGTCTCAAGAAAATTGAGGCCTAATGTCCCCAGCATCGGCGTTTCGGGTGTATGGAGGAGGGGGACCCCCCTTTTTTGTTCAAATTGCAGCCTACATTTGATTCGATAGCTCAGAATAGCTGATTCAATGGCTTCAAACTCGAAAATGATGTTTAAATGGTGATCTTTTGCTCAAATAAATTGGTTAAAGTGGTCAGAAATTGCCTCAGCTCGCACCACACAGCGTCTAGAATCCAAATGTTTCCGGGGCCCTTCAGCGGGCCCAAACCTAAGCTTGACGGAAACATTTTAGGGCTTTTCGTTTCGCGCTCGTATTAGTTCTGATCAAGGTATGCCCTGCCCCCCCCCCCCACCTTTGAGAAGCGATTGACGCCCTTGGTCCCCAGAATACTCGATACTGTTAATGCCTGTCCAATAGGCCTATGTACACAATTTTTTTTATAAATATTAACAGTTGTAAAAGGGTAAATGTTGAATTAGCATTATTTTGTTTATTTTAGCTTGTATTCCCAATGTTCAGCATTTCAATTGATAGATGAAACTCTGGATACTGGTATGAACTACATGTATTACACAAAGTTACAAAGCCAGAATCAAACACACCGATTAGTTATTATAATTACCTCTGCACAAGAACTTCATATCTGCGACATTGCCCAGCGTCAGGTAACTTGATAGTGTCGTCACCATCTTCCTGTATCTTGAATGTTGTCTGTCTCTACCACGCCCCCTCGTGCTAGTCTTTTTACAAGTCCCGTCGTCCTCCGGAAATGGTTGATGTGTAGCTCCGGTGGCGAGTTTAAGTGGCGGGAGGAAATGCAGCGGCTTTGACGGCCGGAAGTAACGACCACGGTGGAAGTACCGAATCTGTGGCATATTCATTGAATTCTGCAACAACAAAATAGTTAAGTGCTGTTATCAATACTGGTGTTGCATAACAGAGATTAGAGTGGGAAAAAGCTAATTTGGGTCATTAAAAAAAAAAGACAGCATCTGAGTTCTGTTTAGGAAGAAGGAAATAATGTACAATTGACTCTTATAATTTCGTCCATATACGGCAGGATCGTAATCATATTTTATTCATTACTAATAATCATTCATTGTTGATTATTTTTTGAATGATTCAAAGTCGGAATAACTTCATCAGTCTTAACTTACCAAGTACATGTAGTCAGGTTCCTCGTGCATAACACTTCCGCATTATGATACCAGAATCGCAAGCTCTAACTTTCTCCTCCAGCATTCCCTTGAATGATCGAACTTTCTTTAGCACTTATTCCATTCAGTCCTGGGTACATCCAACACGAATCTATGATGTCTGTGCATGTGTTGGAAAGTCTGAAAACGGGGTGGCAAGGAAAGACTGCAGAATTGTGTGACTATAAAGACGTCTCCCCCAAATTCGCCAGCATATATGCCAATGTACATGTATTGTAAATCGTCATATGGGTGAAATTACTGCATTATGCTGATGATCATGCTAACTACAGCTGTGTCGGTCCGACGATTCCTCCATAGTCCACAAGTCTGGCCACAATTAATCAGATCCAATGGTTCCAACAAGTGCCATAACCGAAGAATTCTACCGTTTTATCATTCGGCGTCCATGTCCCAGTTGACAGAGATCAAACAATATTTGCAGACATTTATCATGTATGATTATACACGTACACCCAGCGGGGCATAAGTGGTCGGTAATGGGTGCAGGTTTGTACCCATGGGTCCCCCACGCGCACTCTGTGCCTTGTTTGTTACTAAGTCTACATGACCTTCCTCGCGGTTTATGGAAGAGTCTATTGTTATTCTTGGGACTTACAGGTAATAGGATTGTTCCATTGGCTTTTTAGAGGGTGCTTGTTGTTTGTGAAGCACATCGTTCGAGTTGGTTTTCAGTATGGGGTAACTCAATACATGTAGATAATAGGCAGCCGTGCAAACATAATAGGATCAGCATCCGAAGACATGTGCGGAGGGAAAATGTGTTGTTTAATTGTTAGCCTTCTCAAAAATACTTGAAGAAATCTCTATGGCAAACTGAAATTATTATTTGTGCAATATGTCCACGAAATTTCCAGTACATTACAGGGATCGATTGAAGGTAATCTATTCCCACATCATTGATTAAAACTAATAACATAATTATTTTAAAAATGAACATTTTAATTAAAAAAGAAAGCATAGTAACTTAATATGCTTTTCCGATAGGAATTAGATAACGGGTAATATTTCACTACAGTAATATGAAGACGGGGTGGGACGTATTAACCTTAATTCGTCGGCCAAGTTAACTTTAATTAAGCCAACCCGGCCCCGCCGCATTCCCCCCACACTCCCCGTCCGCTTGATGAAAATATCCAGTAAATCATGTTACTTTTAAATTAATATTCGTAAAACTATGTTTTATTTTCTTCTTTATACTATGCCAATTTGCGATCATGAAGCTGCTTTGTCGACAACATGTCTGCAAGCGAATATCGATTTGTTGACAAGGCAATGAACAAAACACCAGCATTAAGGACAAACACTTCGGAGATCGAGAGGGCGACGGTCAATAATTTGTACAATAGATTCTTTAAAAAGATCTTGCACATATAAATTTAATATCATTCCAGCATTACTACTATCTGCCACTTTCTATGTGTATACATGTACTTGTAAGTTGTAGTCTTTGAAGAGCCATACGGCAAATCACACAAGTTTGAGAAATTCTTTAAATTTGGGAATTACGTTTTCCTTCCGAATTCATTTTTCGGCTCGTCAGCACACACACAGTACTTGTGGCTTTATAGTACACCTGCTTTTGTTGATATTTACCACCGTTTCGTAGCAACTAATTGATTGACCCGTACGGAAATACTACATTGTTATAATGTTGTTAAGGAATTGCATTAATAATTATTTGAAAGTTTTAAACAACAAAATTAATAATAAAGATTAGTTTTGAAATTATTCAGCAATAAAACATGGACTAAATTTGTTTAAAAAAATAATTTAAACAAAGAACATTTATGGAACATATTTATGAGCCTGTAAAGGGCAAAGGTCATACATGCCAAAACAGCAAAATTGTCAAGGATCGAAACGACGCTAAATCTACGCACATATTTCGGTCAATTTGTCAGCTAAGAGGTTGATTTTTTTTCTAGTCTTGGACTTGAAAAAGGTAAAAGACTTTATGCTGGATCTGTTTATCTTTCATGTCGTGCATCCAACTGCAGAAAGTTTAACTTGCAAGTGAAAACGAACGGACAACGGGAGAAGAAAGGTTTCCCGGACCAACGTCATTGCGTGCGAAATGAGCTGCGTGCCAAAATATGTTTTTGGCGGTGGATATTTGACCGTGAACCGGTCCCCAATTGTTTTTGTTGTTGAACCGATACTGCACTAAACATTCGCTAAACGTTTTTTTGAAAAAGGTATGAGTTCCTGTACGACTAGGAACCTTAACTTTGGAAATTTCTGTCCTGGATGAGAAGATAATCTCGATGAAAATCGGAAGCAAAATCGCTACATGAGAGTTTAGCGTTTAGGGGAGCATTGGCTGTCTGGCCGAACAGAGCTTGTGATAGTACTGTACGGCCAGATGCAGTCGGGCTATAAATCACCATATAAATGCACCGCAAGCGCATCGTGTTTAGCCAACATCACGTAAAATGCCACGGTAGATTGGTCCCCTATCCGTATACGTGCATTGTGCCACCCACCCCAAGACTTTTGGAAAAAAGGACGCTCACCAATTTTTTTTTAGTGGCCTTTCGGCATTGAAAAAACACCATTGCAAATCTATCACATTTATAACTACCTGTTCAACCAGAGCACTTTGGTAATGGTAGCCTGCTTGTTGTAGAAAGTGCAAGATTTGTTTGGTCTGAAGTGAAATGGAAGTAAAGTCCAAGAAGCAGTCAGTTGACACTGACGCACTGACGCATGGTCAGCTTGCATAAGAAATTAAATAGCAACGGCGTATTAATCTTTTTCTGAAGAATGAACTTTAAAAGAATGTAATGTCAGTGTGATGCAGATTGGATGGAGTCTAATCAACTGAACTGGCCAAGTCCTTTTCACTTCAATATACGGGTCCTACTAAAAAAGCGCGTCAACAAGCGTCAACAAGCCTTAACGGTCGTCAACGAGCATCAACAAATTTTGTATAGGCTTTTGAACATTAAAAACAGCTTTATATTGTAGAAAAAGCAATAAAGAACATCTTCTGCATATCAATTAAAGTTAAAATTATTTTAAAACTTGGTTTTTTGAACGCGAAATGTACGACGAATTTGTCGATAAAAGTTGGCCGCCATCGTGTTTGGATGTCAATGTACTGACGTTGGTTTTAATTGCATTATTTCAGGTGGTCACAATGCCATCAGCGGGTGGCATAGCGGCACCCAGTATCATCCCACTCAGGGTACCACAGCCGGGCAAAACAGCCAGTCAGATTGACACGAATACACTCATAGAAATCAAATCAGGTAAGACTTTAGAATCCATGTCTGTAGATAAATTATAGTAAAGCAGTTTTTAAAGGGAATGTACAACATTTGCTTTTGCTGTAATTTTCAGAAATAAATGGATTTGGAAGATTAGTATGTTATAGCAAATATTGTTAAACTGACTTGTTTCACTTTTTGGGCTTGTAGATGCTGGAAAATTCAAGAAAACCAGCCATGTTCTTGGAGTCTGGTCCCTGACCCCTTAAGATGAAACGGAGCAATTTATATATAGACTTTGGGAAATTGTAAGGTATAGAGAATCAGTCTAGAAGGCTTGTACCCCTTTACTACGTGTGTAATCAATTGCAAACAAAATGCGGGATAACTAAATATGAAAAATTGGGAGCAGTTTTTGAAAAAAGCCAGTTTTTTTTCCAACGCTGGTCGGCCGACCAGCATTGGAAAAACACAATTTTCTTGAAAATGTCAGCACACCAGGAGCCACGATTTTACAGGATGCTTTAGACTGTCATTCCCCATCAATTCAGTAAGGTATTCCATGATAGTTTGATTATTTCGTTTTTTGATGTTTGCAAATGTTGTATCTCCCCTTTAAGGGAATGTTTTTAATTATACAAATGGAAATCAGGGGGTTTTTTTTTGGGGGGGGGGGTGCTAGGATTGTCCACTGTTCATAAATTTCTTTTTCTGACAAGAAAACAAATTCTGTAAAAATCTGTCTTGATTATTTCACTCAAGCCTCTGTGTTCATTGTGTTCATTGTTCAATCAATTCACCTCATGAAGTTTTGATAGAAATTTATATCGGTCAGAATTCACATATTTTCCCCTAAGTATTGTATTTAAAATCATATGATTGGAGGACCATGATTATTCCAGTAATTTTACAATATTAGATCATTACCTCAAAAGTTTGTTTGACATTCAGGTAACCCCAAAAGAACAAAAACAATGTAACAAAAAATCTTTGTAATTGAGGTTTTTTTTAATTTCATTGCAGAAACTGGTGATGCAATCATTTATCTGACAACAAACGGCAGCCGACCTGATCCATACCGTAAGGCAGATAAGAGTACTATCAAATACAAAGGACCATTCCTTCTTAACGAGGGTAGGAGAACCATCAAAGCCATTGCTGTCTCCAGGTAAATGCAAAAACTACCACATTTGTTTTCTTTAGAATAGACCCGTAGCACCATGGGCGTCAATTCTGGGGGGGGGGGGGGATGTCCTCCCCCCACTTTTTGAAGGATGGGAGACACAATTATATCAAATGCCCCCCCCCCCCAGATTTTTGAAATCGTGTCTCATTTACAGGGCCCTATTATGCACTACAATGTATCTTTTGCTAAGAAAATATTGGTTAAAATGGTCAGAAATTGCCTCAGATCGCACCACAGAGCATCTAGAATCCAAAATTTTCAAGGCCCTTAAGTGGCCCCATGCCTTTAGCTCAGAATATAATAGCTGATTCAATGACTTCAGACCTCGATATGATGTTAATATTATTAGCTTTTGCTAAGAAAATATTGAATAAAGTGGCCAGAAATCGCCTCAGATCGCACCACAGAGCATCTAGAATCAACTTGTTTTTCGGGGCCCTTAAGCGGGCCGCGAACCCCACGCCGCATTGGTTCTGATGAAGGTATGTCTCCCCCCCCCCCCACTTTTGAGAAGCGATTGACGCCACTGGCTGGTTGCGTGGCAAACATCATTGCCACAGGCTTACATATGATTATACCTTTTTGTGCATTTGTTACTATAGTAAAATAACAAAAAAACTTCAAGATGGCTAAAGTTAACATTGGATATATGATGGACTTTGCGAATGAGTGTACCCGTAATGAAAAAATATGAGATTGAAGTTGAAGTACCACCAAACCTGGTATAGAAGAACTCTGACACGTGATCACTGTACACACATGAGGCCCCCTTCAATGGAGAAACCATTGTGCACGCAAAGCAACTGCCCCGTGATGGATCATCTGAACAATAGCTAGCACAGTGCTTACGCCATGGAAGGGGGCCTTCGTGATAGAATTGATAGTGTGCCCGAATTGGTCTTTACGTAGATAATGTAAATAGGGAACAGTTGGCATGATCTGGTGAAGAACAAGTACAAATGTCTGTCACACGGAACAGCGTTGGCTAACACAGGGCCCTTCTCGTTTTTAATCATGGAGTCCATAGTAAAGAAAAGACTACACAAAAATCCTAGAGATTAAACGTCTTTGGTTTTTTTTAATGAGCCAGTTCAGTATCTCAATGAAGTAATCCAGGTCAAAGGTCATTCGGGATAAAATCGCTGACGGGTGCAACAGTGCAAAAAAATTCCCATAGCCACTAGTGCTAAATGCCCATACTTCAAAATTCTTTTAAAAATACTCAGAACTCTCACAGGTATTTAAGCTATACAGAAAAATGATGATCGACATGTCATCTTTCAATTTCTTTTCATTTTTTGGTGGGTTGACCATTGACTTTTCGAGAAATTCTCGCCCAAAGAAGACGACCCCTATTTTCCCCACAGCAGAACGGTACCATCTTGAAAAACGATCCCTCCACAACATGGCAAAATAGCGCCACTTTCGAGCCCAATTGTTTTCAAAATGCTCAGAATTGGTAGCCCAGAGTCCGGGCCAGAGGTTCATTGCCATATCTCTTCAATTTCCCAATGTTATGGCTCTCAGAACTCTCTAATATAGAATATTTTGAGGGTATAACTTTTATTCATGAGCTTGGCGGATGGGTTTAGGCCTATCTGCTCGTAATTAACATGCAAGTGTTGTGCGCCCATCTCCCTCGGCGTTCATGCGCCTTCAATGAGCAAAAGAAATAATTGTGCTGTATTGAATTTTTTTTTAAATTTTAGCGACAGACGGAGTGAGAGCCATGTAGTCAGCAAGATGTTCAGTGTTGCCTATGCCGATCCTGAACCCGAACCTTATGAAGATGATGATGCTAGCTTTATCATGGACTCTAGGCCCAGGAGTGCACTCAGGGTAACTTCAAATTATACATTTCTGTTTTTGTTTACTAGTTAATATTCTTGATCTCATTGACCAGGGTTGCCTGTTGGTGTGTGAGGCCGAGGTGGCACCAAGAACTAACAGCGGACGTTAAACTGCTTGCGCTCACTTGTGCGGTTTAAGCGTACTTAAGCATACTTATGCTTACTTGCAAGATAAAACGACCCCTATGTGTGACTGTCTTGCCTAAATTTCATGCTTTGGCTAAAGGCCGGTTCATTCTTCAAGCGAATGTTGGTGTGAAGCAAATTCAGTAAGGTAAAGAAGAACGTCACAATTAAACTTCAGTTGTTGACGTCATGAAATTTGCTTTGCCTTCGCATGAAGTATGAACCGGTCTCTAGTCGGCATTTACATTTATGTCAGTCAGCTAAATCTAATGGTTGACTTGATAGTTTTCACTGTTGTTACAACTTGAGAACTCATAAAAACATGTTATCTGTAACATCAGATGTATCTCTATCAAGATTTCTGAAATTCGATATTCTTCCATTCATGTTGCCTCCTGTTAACAACTGAAGAATATATTTTTTTCTGCTCCAGAGGTCACATCAGTTCAGTGACATCGATGATGTCATTGATGTCACAAGATCAACCAACAACATAACCCTGTCCAAGTCATACGTAAGTACATCAAAGCATACTTATGCATACTCTCATAACCTAGTCACTCATGTTGAAACCAATACTTGGCAATAGATTGACCGGTCGGATGGTATATTTGGAATCTTGATATTGGGTTACGCTCTGACTAGGAGATGGTTGTGGCGTGCGGTGGCCTCATGGTCTGGAGCATTGAACTCGTGGTCTGTGGGTAATTCTGCAGGTTGTGGGTTCAAGTCCAGCCTGGGGTTATGGTGCTTGTGCCCTTGGGCAATGCACTTTGCCACTCATTGCTTCTCCAGGTAAATGGTGAACTGCGAGTGCAGAGATGGCTATTGTGATTGATTTTAGCTGCTCTGCACCAAAATGGCTGCATCAAGCTGTATACTCTGGTATTTGGAATGCTTCATTGGCCCAATGATCAGGAGTAATAATAATGTAAAGCGCTTTGATCTTAATTAAAAGCACTATATAAGTGCCCGCTATTATTAAGTCCTACCTAAGTAAACACCTTTTTGATACTGGTGTTCCAGATTTGCACTGAACCAAATAATACGAGCAACTCAGTAATGACTCAAGCAGACTTTAGTTTAGACAGCGGGACTTTATGTATTAATTTTCCTTCGATCAGACTTTAGAGTTGTTCCGAATGACTGCAACAGTTTGATGTAGTCATTCCCAACTGTTTCAAATCTCAAAAGTTTGTATAATCTGGAACGCCAGTCTGAAACGGCATTAAGTGATGACATTTTCTCAGTAGCTCTAGGGAAGGCATCGAGCATGGGCATATGGGCTCCGTGCACAAACAAGAGAGGGCGCTTGTGGGCGGCACACACTGCGTGCGCGTACTGGTTGGCCTTATGCTCAAAGCTGGGCATTGTTGGCAGTGCATTCAAATGTCTCTCCCATGGTCTCCCCAAACTCTCCCTTTCTTACCGCTGAGGGGGTACTTTGTGCCCGGAGCCCATCGTGCTTGTACCGTTACACCAGAGTGAGACAAAATTGGAGTTTTTGTTCTGAGGATGCAGTGGTAGTTACAGACAAGAAGATTTATGATGGTGACTTTGATTTTTCTTTTTGCAGCAAGGGATGGGCAACTCAGGCGTGACGATGCCATACAATGCATGGGGCTCCACCGCTCCACCTCAGACTCTGGCGACCTTACAGAAAAATCCTGATTACATGTTTCAGTAAGTTAGCATGTTCCTGTCTCCCTCCGCAACCCCCCTAAAACATACCACTCCTAACCCTAACTCAACCAAACCTCACAATCTTCACACAAGGCATGTTTTTGGTTCCTTGATTTTGTAAGTTTCTCCTTTTTATTCGTTGACATTCTGTTGACTTTTTTGGTGGTGCACATGGTTGAATCATAAAAACAGTTTTTGCTATGCTGGTGGGTAGAATTTTCTAGGACCCGGGGCTAAGTTTAAAATTTGGGTTGGAAACATAAAATAGCTTCTTGCTTGTTGTGATTTTTCCTACTTTTTTGAGATTTTGTAGAAATAATAACACAGCCACAGTTGTAGTCAAATCCTCACAAGACCATCTTAAGTCTTTCGGTCTTGAGTCAAATCACAAGCCATTCCAACAACTTGTGACAAAGGCATAACTTTGTTATTGTTCATCTCCTTGTAACTTGTGACCTTTCTTGTGATTGACTTTATGAATTGACTTGTGATGGCCTCGACTACAACTCTGACCACACCCACCACTCACACACCCTATCCTCTCACTATAATTGATTGACTTTTCCACCTGTTGCAGCTATCACATGCATCAGCAAACCAGCCCAAGGCAAAGCCAAGCACCTGTGCAGTACCGCCAGCCCCCTCCACCCCAGCCCCCACCACAGACTGTCCAACCGCCGGTCATTGTAGATGTGAGTCAATTGGCCAATTCTTGATTTAGCCATAATTAAGCCCCGCCCACTTTTGGTTTTGCATACATTTCTCACAGTGCATGTGACTAAAATTTTGATCTAATTTAGTATGCACTGTTTGATTGACATGCTGGAAGGATCCATTCTTGCATGCGGGCAAACCAGTTATTTCATATTTAAGCAATGATTTGCTTCTTTATCACTCAAACTGGCTCTCTTTCCTTGATTTGTTTTTCATCTGGTACAACAAACAACATGATACACTGAACGTATGAAGGTTAAATTTATCCTTCCAAAAAAAAGATGATTTTTTTTATTTTGGTCATAAATGCTCAGTAAGACTATAATAATTTAGTCTGGTTTTTGGTAAAAATACATTCTATATGAGTATTTCATTGATTATACATTTAAACGTCAACTTCCTAAACATTTTCGGTAGAATCTTCCTGAATCCTCCAAAATCCACCTCTGCACAGTAAATTGGTGCCAAAATTTTGGGGCTTTTAATGTGCTCTTAACCTCCGAAATGCCACAGCGGATTTATGAAAGTGCTAGAATGGTTAGGTTTAAGGAATGAAAACAGCCACACAAATCTGATAAACTGTAAGCAGCATGTTGTGGGCCAGGAGTCTCAAAAGCCTGGAATTTACTCTTAGATACATTCAGAAGCACCGAGTTGCTAGTACCGATTCCCATTAAAGTACATCCTTTTTTGAGAGGGAATGTTTACCAATGTCTCCTCAGCCCTATGCCAGTAGCTGGCGCCCCGTCAGCATTCCCCTACCGGCGGTCCTCAACCAGGAGATAGGAACGCAGACCGTGGGTCTGTTCTACCCGACCCACGAGCAGCTGGGCAGGAGAGAACGTGACGTGGAGGAGGTGCGGATGATGAGAGAGTCGTCGACGTCAATGTCGGCGTCGGCTAAGACTGAGAAGCCTAACTTGATGGAGACCAGCCCAGGCAAGGGGTACTGGAAGAAGCAGCTCGCCCACGTCGTGGCTCACCTGGAAGCCTTCACTCAGCGAGAGGCCGAGTTCAGAGCGGACGTGGGCAAACCAAAGATGGGAAAGGTAAATATAAATGCAGTGTTGTAGACAAGGCCATTACAAGTCCCCATCAATCCTTACAAGTCCATCACAAGTCCTCATAAATCCTTACAAGTCCATCACAAGTCCTCATAAATCCTTATTACAAGTCCATCACAAGTCAATCTTAAGTTAATCAAAAGTCATTCAGCCCCAAGTTAAGTCACAAGCTAACAGTCAAGTCGAAAGCAACAGTTCTTTTGTGACTGAACTTTTGGGAAAACTGATTTTCTGATGAATCAAAAGAACCATGCACTGACATGCAGTGCTTGGTCAGTTTCGGGCCCTACAAAGGCAGTAAAAGGCTGGATGGTTGGGATTGTACGGGTACTAATGAGTTGAATTATAAACTGTTAATCACCATAAGCTCAGTGTTCCATTTGCCATGGTATTCTTGTGGGTTTTTATTCCAGATTACATCTGCGAGTGTTGAAGACGACGGTGTGGATGTGACTATCACTATCAGCTTGGAGTCACAAACTGATACGCCTGCAGTCAGACCGAATCGGGCATCCATGGCCAGAAAGGGTGAGCAGTAGCTCTGTGTATTCATACCTGTCTGTCTGTCTGTCGGTCTATCTATCTGTCTGTTTATCAATCCAGTCAGTTGTCTGTGTGTCTGCCTAATCCCTCCTTTCTGATTTTTCTTCCACCCTTGCATGCTTGTGTGTCCCCTCCTAGTTTGTTTCTGTACCCCTGCCATTTTACCTTTGAGAGAGGTCCTGCCAGGTCCAAAACGTTCGGCCCGCTAATTGTTTTGATCTGTAGATTTCAGGTCAATCCAGTCAGTTATTAGTTTGCAGCAGGTTTATCCATTTTTCATTTTAATTTTTTAATTTGCCATTTTTTCTTGTCTTTTTGACAAATTAATTTATGTACCATTCCTTTTGTACGGCAAGCCATTTGCCAAATCTCGACTTTACTGCTAGCTTTGACCCTATCTCAGTATCATTTTCAAATCTTTCATCTCCAAACCAAATTGAAATAAAGCCAATTTCAGAGATTTAGAAAATCCCCTAATTAATAATTTTGTTTAATCATCTGAAATTGTTCTCCTTTTCACAGAAGCATTACTGGCCAAGTCTCTTGCAAAGGACAGTGAATCTGGTGAGGATTTTTTTTTTTATAATCCTGATCCCTTTTGACATTTCTGGTGCCTTTTTTAACAATTATTTGCTTATTTCTATCTATCCTGTTTGAGACTGCTTGACACATATAATAAACTGAAACCTCAATACTCAGAAGAATGAAATGGTTACTTACTACTTGTTATCAATTTTCCATATTTTATTGAAGTTACATAGTAAACTGTTCGAGAACTATTATCTTTACTATTATTGCAAGCAACAATTGTTTTGGTTTCAGATTCTCCGTACGGCAAATCAAAGAAGAAATCTATGACCAAGAAACTTGCTGCCAAGAAGAAAGCTGCAGAAGAAGAGAGGCTTTCAGTGAGTAGTTATCTTTCCTGCTCGTTGTCTGTACTGCTGATATACTTGCTAGTGAACTGTCTGGGTACTTGCATGGCTAAGGCAGGCCGGTTTGCAGGCTTTTTGGTTTCGTTGTTTGGATGGCTGTCTGGCTGGCTGGCTGGCTGGCTGGCTGGCTGGCTGGCTGGCTTGTATTTTCTTAAAAAGAAACATTACACATGGCTTATATTTAACCAGTTCGCGTCGGAGGCTGTGATAACACGCACTGGCTGATTTTGTACACATGCAGGCACAGCTGACGGATTAAGACGTCAAGATTGCCTCAACTCGCCTCCGGGTGACGTCTAAACATGCTAATCCCTCGTGCCTTTTGTACACACACACACAAAGTCCGTGTAGTCTGTGGAGGTTGACCGTGTGCTGAGCATTGTGTAGGCTGTTGTGCACAGCCTAATGTACAATTTACGCTCCAGTGCACACCCCGGAGTATTGAAACAAATAAGGTTTCGGCAAGAAATATCGTACGAATACTGTTGAAATCACTCTAGCGAATCAGTATTTGTGGCGTTTGGCTGTATATCAGAAGTTGGCTGGGAAATTTTACCTTTCGAAAATTTCTAAATTTTCATCAGAAATAAATCTGGCGCAAAAGAGTTAACAAACAGATTTCTGTTGTCATTTCTCAACCAATCAGGAAGAGGATCGTCATTTATTCAAGGAACTCAGCCCCAAGGGAGAAGGGGACCCAGACAACGTGCAAGACCTCCTGGACGACGGGGCAGACCCAAACTCTGAAAACAAGGATGGCGTGCCTGCCCTGGTGGTCGCTACCATCAACAACCACGCAGAGTGTTTGCCTGTACTGATAGATGCCGGGGCTAAAGTCAACGCTAAAGTCTCTAGCAGGTATGAAAAGGGTTGCTGGAAGTTATGTCCGGAATCTAGGAGGGATAATAATGCAGAGTTTTAAACACGACTTGAAGCTTAAATGGAGTATATTGTGAAAGTTCCGTTCAACGAATACAGTGGGGTCCACAAAAAAATAATGTGTATTTATAAAGCGCATGTATCCACCAGTTTTGGTGCTCAAGATGTTACATCATTATTACTCAACTCATTGGGCCAATGAATCATTCCAAATACCATCTCAGCTTCCTGGGAGTATACAGCTCGATGCTGCCATTTCAGCGCAAAGCAGCTAAAATCATCTCTGCCTTCCCAGACACCCAATTTACTCACTTACTCATGAGTGGGGAAAAGCAATGAGTAACAAAGTGCCTTGCCCATAATCCCAGGCTGGACTCGAACTCACAACCTGCAGACCACGAATTCAGTGCTCCTTACCACGAGGCCACGGCACTCCTCAAAACATTGTTTTGGAAAGTTAAAGTTGTTTGATAATATTAATATGGCATTTCATTATTGCATCTGCAATGCAGTGGTGCTATAGTACATAAAATTTGGTAGCCGAAAATGGAGATATTTGTTATAGAAAAATGTTTGGTATAGAGGTGCTCTACTGTAGAAGAACTTGGGATAATTCTGCTATACCATTGGAATTGACTAACAAATGATTGGAATACAGTTACGATTGATATACGCCTAAGGCGCCTTTACATGCCTTCGGCTTGACCACGTTGTAGTTGCATCCTTCACAGTTCAGCTTCTGCTGCAAATAAAGATGACTAGCCCCCCAAAATTTTGGTTATTTTTATTTGTCCTTGTCTTAACAGGAAGGGCAACACAGCTCTCCATGAGGCCGTCCTCCTAGGACCCGACGGCCAAGAAGCCATCGAAGCCCTCCTGGAAGGCGGAGCCAACGCCAAAGCCAAGAACGCGAAAGGCGAGACGCCCTACGACCTCGCCATCAAGAACGGCTACAACAGCATCGCGGCTCTGTTTGCCTCCAGTATGGGCCAGGACATGCTGGATAAGATGTCCGACACTAAGAAGAAGGACAAGGGCAGCAAGGCGAAGGCCAAGAAGAAAGCCAAGGAAGAAGAAGAGGACAGTGAGGAGGAATTTGTTGTCAAGAAGAGGAAGGCGTACAGGGAGAAACTGCCACAGGTAGGTGTACAACGTCGGTCTGAGTTTCTGGTTTGATTCTCTTGAAGATTTGCGTGTTTGAGTTTACATGATTGAAATTCTGGCCTGATTTGTTCAAAACGTTATTTCCTGCTCTTTATGGGTCTTATATGTTTTTTCCTTCAGTTAAAGATGTATTCTGAAATTGTGATAGAAAGTAGATAAAAAGTTCAAGTAAGTTCAACAGGTGCTAGGATTCAAACAACATGAGCTGAGGTTCATCAACAGTCTGACAAAGTTCCTATTTAATTAAATGACCTATTTTGTTTTACAGGATAAAGGTTCAGTGGTGGCAGCATCACCATTTGATGCACAGTCAGATTCTGAGAAGCTTCGCAAAGCCATGAAAGGACTGGGTAAGACGAAAGCATTCTATTTTCACTTGTAGAACCTACATAGACTAACTGAGCAAGTAGTCATTTTTTAGAGTGAATACACAACATTTGCTTTTGCTGTAATTTTCAGAAATGGATGGATTTGGGGGGTTAGTACATGTATTTTATGGCAAAGATTGTTACACTGACTTGTTTGAAGGTTTGTGTTCGTAGACGCTGGAAAAACCAAGAAAAACAATCATGTTCTTGTAGTCTGGTTCGCTGCCCCCACTAAAGGTGAAACGGAGCAATTTAAAGACGTCGGGGAATTGTAAGGTCAGGGAACCAGTCTAACTGGCTGGTACCCGTTCATAGGTGTGTAATCGATTGCAAACAAAATGCGGACTAACTAAATATGGTAAATTGGGGGCAGTATTGCACTGGTCGGCCGACCAGCGTTGGAAAACAATTTCCCAACGATTGGGAAAAAATGTCCAATGATCATTCCAATTTCCAATGCTGGTCGGCCAACCAGCATTGGAAATTGATACAAAAATATTACTTTTCTTAAAAATGTCAGCACACCAGGTGCCTTAATTTTACAGGATGATTTACACTGTCATTCACTAACAGTCCAGAAAGGTATTTCATAATAATTTGGTGGTTTTGTTTTTTGATGTTTGCAAATGTTGTATATTCCCTTTAACCCTAAAGAGGTTTTTTTTAATTTCATATTTGTCCTATTGATTGTTTTTAGGTACCGATGAGAAAGCAATAATTGAGGTAGTGACGCACCGCTCGAGCTCTCAGCGACAGAAGATTTCCAAACAGTTCAAGCAGATGTTTGGAAAGGTAAAGCTCATCAACTGTTGAGTGTTATGACTTGCAGTTTCATGACCATGCTCTTCAACAAGTTTGAGTTTATTTCTTGTAATGAATTTCCAGTTAGAATGTTTTATTTAAATAATAGAAAGCCATAGTTTGTATCTCTTTTGCAATCTCTCTGCAATTGCAATGCTCTGAAACAAGTCTTGAAACAAACATGTCCAATGCACATGAGATATCATACACCTGAACTCTTGCCGTTTTCCAGAGAATTTGGCCATTTTGTTATCAGAAACCTGAAAATAGCAAAGGGAGAACAACTTTAAAGTGAATATTTTGTCATTTTCTGTCAGGATTTGATGAAGGAATTCAAGGGAGAGTTGGGGGGCAAACTTTTGGATGTTGTCAACGGATTGATGATGACTCCAGAGAAATTTGATGCCTACCAACTTCACAAGGCTATTAAGGTATGTATTACATATGTAAATTTATTTAAATATATTGGCGCAGAACGCAGTGGTGTTTACCGGCGGTTTAAAACCACCCATGTGACAGGGTCTCGACCAATAGGATGTGGTAAACTGTCTCAGGTATTTATGAATATGTGTTAAAATATTGTTGTATAGCCACGTTTTAGCTTTTAGTAAATTTTGCCACATTTTTCCTACTGGTACTACACTGGGAATGTAGTCCTAATTGTATTCATTTTCTGCTCAGCACTTTTGTACCATGAGGTTTCTGAGTTTTACTGTTTTATTTTCAATTTAGGGTCTAGGCACAGACGAGGCAGTACTGATTGAGATCCTGTGCACACGAAGCAATGCGTCCATCGACGCCATCAAATCTGCCTACGAAACAGGTTGGTTCACTTTTTGAACAAAAATACATTATTAAATTGCAATAACGATCACAAGAAATCCAAAAATTGATCGTTCAATAAAGTGGACTTTGTTTTAGTGTTTTTTGGCATCCAGAGCTCCGTACAATTGTACATAAAATATGGTTGCCAAGTGAATGTTTGTTTTAGCCAAGTGTTCTAGATATCAGTGATCTGTGTAACAGCATTCAACTGCTACTGCAGAAGTTTTAGACAAAATTAGGGGCTTCAATTTCTGTGTCCCCCCCCCCACGAAAAAAAAAATGACATTTCAAAAACACAATCAAATCTTTCGAGAATTTTCAAAAAATATTGTGTAATAAAATAAGGATGTGTCTTGGAAATAATGTTCACAAGAAATGGCCAAAGAGAAGGTCATCACATTATCTGAAATTAACACCTTTTGGTAAAAAAGCTGCACCTCGTAGTGTGACAAGTCGTATTTCATCAGCATTAACTCATCAGTAACCATAAGATCCTTAAAAAGTTACCAGGCTGTTTTGGATAATTTTGCAGGATTGAATATAATCCAGTTACTATTGCATTACGTGGGACTTGATACTCTTTGCAGATATAGTACAAACTATAGCTGCACCTCGTGTCTTGGAAATAATGTGATCTGTGTTACTCCAAGTCCCAAGAAACTCAAAAGTTGTATCTTCCTCCCAGCTTACAACAAAAATCTGGAGGAGGACGTTGCTGATGACACCTCAGGGAACTTCCAACGTCTCCTGGTGTCTGTCCTCCAAGGAGCTCGGCCTGAAGGGGATGAAGTCGACCCTGACAAGGCACAGGCTGATGCTATGGTAAGTCTTTTTTAGTAGATACTACCATGGGGCGTGCTCCAGTGGCCTTTAATCACTGGTTCTTTTTTTTAGCATTCTACTTTTTGCATTGTACTTGCTTGGCTGTCACATCCCTTCCATTCAATGTTGTAGTGTTTAGGGGAGTCAGGTTGGCGTAGCGGTACTTTCCTCGCCTTCCACCGCTGTGACCCGGGTTTGAATCCCGCCTGGGCCAATATGTGGATTGGGTTTTCAGTCCCTGCCTGATTCTGTGGGTTTTCCCCAGAATATTCTTCTGGGCTTTTCCTCCCACCTCTAAAACTGTAATTTCTTCTCATTGTCTTCTCCCCACAGGTTTCTTCAGGCTTGTGAGCTACAGTGCCTAGGGCGCTTTTGAGGAATCCTTGGTTTCATTACCAGAAATTATTAATAATAATAATAATAATAATAATAGTGCTGAAGGCTATACCTGCAATATATTCGTCAAGTATTTTGCCTCCTACTGCCCCTCTCTGGAACTCCCTATCCAAATTTTGTTTCCCTTCTATCTACAATATTTTACACTTCAAAAGAAATGTGAAGAGATTTCAAATATTTCATGCTTTGTACACACATAGTTGTAGGATGTATTTTAAAGGATTCGGTTTCTGGATGTAAATTGTAAGCTGTGTGGTAATTACAAGAAATAAGTCATGCAAACTTCGAAGAATCCACAAAGCTTGTATATACAAGACCCGTATGCTAACCATTGAACATGTTTTTAAAAAAGCAGAAATTGATGATTGGAAGAAACATGTTGGTTTGAAAGTGTCACGTTAGTGAGCACATAGGTTTTTTCCTTACTTGCTTCATTAGTGCACTTACTCTGAAATGTGCATTTGCAAAAATTACCACTTTGCCGCTCTGAAAATACCATTTTAACAAGAAGCCATTATGAGTTTTGCCGCATTTTTTATAGTCCCTGTTTTATCAATTATATTTCTCAAGGCCCTCTACAAAGCTGGGGAGGACAAGTGGGGAACTGACGAGTCGCGATTCAATGCCATCATGATGTCGCGTAGTTATGCGCAGCTACGTGCAACGTTTGAAGAGTACGGCAAGATCTCGAAGAATGACATTGAGCAGGCAATCAAGAAGGAAATGAGCGGTGACCTGAAGGAAGGAATGCTGACTGTAGGTAAGAAAATATGGAGACTGATGAGTGGAGGATCAGGTACCAGACCTGCGCATAGCTGCTTCCCCCGTCTTGGTTTAGATCCTGGAAGGCAGGGCAGTGTTGCAGTGTTATTTAAATAAAATGTATTGGTACCAGCCTATAGTTTACAATATTTTCCTGCATAACTCAATATTCAGATGCACTAGAACACAGAAATGGTAGTTTTAATATATTAATAGAGGTTGATTGACCACTTTCTTACAAACAATTTATTTGTATTTCTTTTCAGTGAGGTGTGTGCGTAACAAACACAAGTTCTTTGCTGACAAACTTTACAAATCTATGAAGGTAAGCATTTCAATTGAAAAAATATAAACATTGTTACAAATATCAACAGCAGTGGATTTACAGAAAGGTTAGGGGCTCTAAACCCCCCCCCCCCCCCACCCCCCGGCTGAAAACAAAAATAGGAAACGGTGCAGAAAAACCCCCACTCCTGGCAGCTAAACTCGCCTCTTGATCCAAACCTCTTGAGATTCCTTGTGTCACTAGGAATAAATGGCAATGCATTCAAAATTTTGTACTGACTGGATTGACCTGAAGCATACACATTCATAAGTTAGAGAGCCTGAAGTTTTAACCCGTGCAGAATCTTTCTCAAAAGTAAACTATATTCTTAGCTTTGTTCTTTTGTTCTTTTGTACACAAACTTAGCAACAGTGCTTGCTTGATTTCATTCTGATTGAGGGACTTTTTCGGTTACTTTCTCAGGGTCTTGGTACCGACGATGACACACTGATGAGGATCTTGATTTCTCGCTGTGAGGTCGACATGCAGAACATCAAAGCAGAGTTCCAGAAGGCCTACAACCAGACACTTGGAAAATTCATTGCGGTAAGTCTCTGATTGTGTTAAGATATGTCGTATGGGGTACCTGGACCGAAAAGTAATTAGAGGGACAATGGGACCCCACAAATTGGTCTATACTATAATTTGCCAAATAAAAGTAGAAGCCATTTTCTTGCGGTGAGACCACTTTGTGCTCAGGTGGTATGCACGCACTTCGGGCTCCTTCGACCAATGGGGTTACAAAAATGTTCACGCTGCATGCGAACAAAAGTCGTTACACCCCAAAAATGACTTCTAATTTTGTTCACCGAATTAGTTTTGTGAAGTCCAAGTGCCCCACATTTAGAAAGTTCATGAGTAACAAAGGAGAAGAAGGGTAGGGAAAAGTAGACAATAATGGTACCCCATGACTAACCGTAATGTGAGGGTGTCTGTGTGTGGTTTTGTGTAGGCTATTCACGAGCCAAGTAGGTGCTGATTTCATTTGGTCACAAAATTACTTGGCAAAACGTTACCAGCTCAAATAATCATGTCCAGTATATTGATTGTGGTTAGATCTCGTCTATTGAGCGCATGAATTTACCAAACAAGTCGTATATCAAGTCTAATTCCAAGTCCTCTTTTTTCTTTGATTTCAATTCGCACAGGGTGACACCTCGGGAGACTACAAAAGGATCGTGGTTGCTTTGGTTGGAGGAGAAAGCTAAATGTAGTTCCTTTAAGGTAAAGCAATAACTAATCATGAGGCAACAAGCCCAGGCTACAAATTCAGGGGTGATTTGACTTTCATGGACAAGGCAAAAAAAAGTTGAGTTGGTTTAGATAAAGTTGTTCTCCCTGTGCTTTTCAACCAATTTGACTATTTTCTCTTGATGAAATTTCTGTTTGTATGATTTAGTAAAAAAAAAAAAAACCTATTTTTTTGTATTTTTTTTTTCTAATAGGGCTTTTACATTTTAAGTTGCTTTTGTGCTTCAAATTCACAAAAAGATCTGCCTGAATTTATGTCAGGCCACATAATTTGAAATTTGGAAATGTATTTATCCTCAACTAAACACAGACCTGTTGTTTTGGTTTAATGTCTTATTCAAAAGTGAATCCCTTTTTCATATCCAAAAATGTATATCTTCCAAAGTGCAACTCTAAATAGCATGAGGAGACAACTTTAAGCTATGTATTATAATTCATGGATGCTGCCAAATCTTTTGGGGAGTTTAATTCACTTAAACCTGACAAGTACATTCCTTACGTCGACTTCAAAAGGACCGAACACCACACGCCCCGTAAACATTTCTGTATATTATCGTGTTAAATACATTCCAAATCATTATCAGGGCGGTTGCCTGGGATATATACAAACCTTGATAAAAAGTGGCAAACACTTTTGTAAAAGAATGTAAAGTTGTTTAAGATTCATAATTCATGTATTGAACTCAGTGAGGTAGAGTACTTAATAAGTATGTGGCAATATGATGTTACTAGTGCAAGTGGTATTTGTCAATTGTGATCTCCCATACAGCTGTAAGGCCAAATAAAAAATTAAAAAACGTGTTTAGCGTCCCAGCCCGCTTCCTTTTTGGAGGCCGCCTCCCTTTTTTTTTTTTTTACACGAAAAAATTATAAATTTTAAAGTGACATCATTCTGACCTCTTTGTCTGTTGCATTGAGCCCATATAAAGCTGGTATGTCATTCCCGAGTCCAAGTGGCGGCCATTTAAAAAAAAAGCTGGCGGCCATCTTGAAAAATAGCCCGGTCGGGCGGCCATTTTGGAAGGGGGAAAAAAGGGTCTCCTTCCCTTTTTTCAAAAAGCAGGATGCTAAATATTTTTTTTTTTTTTTTTTTTTTTACTTGGCCTAATAGATAGGAAAGGTTTCTTTAGTACTAAAGTGAACTTGTGTGTGAACCCTAACAAAATTTGTGTTAATTCTTTAATGAGGTTTTTCAATCCTTTATTTTGAAAAGAAAGTTCATATTTTAATTTCTAAAGAGTAGAGATACTTTGAATAGAGCCTAATGATTTATTTCATATTTTGTTTGTACAGGGTGACCCACAACAATGCAACCCTGAAACATGTGCCTGTTTTCAAAAACGTGAGCTGTGAATTTTTATGTTTTGAATATCAGATTAAAGCTGAGAGTTTTCTCTTTCGAATACTGAAAAAAAAGCAGGAAAACAGCACATTGGGTTGCTAAGAAAATGCCAGTTGTGTAACGCAACTCCTTTTTTGGTCCATTCCAACGGCATTACCACAGTTAAGGGATTACACTGTACCTATCTGTGCATGAAATGCATGTATCGCATTGTGTCCTAATCCTTACAAACAAAACGGCACACAATATGGGAAGAGTACAAATTAATTTGATGTAAATACCTTTTATTTTCCACCTGAACAGGTATTTTATCCTTTTTAATTCTATTTTAAACCTTTTCAGCATCATAAATATGTCAAAATATTAAAGAAATTGCACAAATGAAAGACAATTGCACAGTGGGCTTACAGTAACATGTTTCACTGTTTGAACCACCGTTGGAAAAGATGAAAAATCACTTCTTTTACATAATTGGCATTTCCTCAGCAACCCAATGTGCTGTTTTCATGATTTTTTTCAGTATTTGAAAGAAAAAAACTCTCAGCTTGAATCTGATATCCAAAACATAAAAATTCACAGATCACGTTATTGAAAAAGGCAAACGTTGCAGGGTTGCATTTTTTGGGGTCACCCTGTATTTGCCGACTTCAACACAATTATTTCTGTGCAAATATTCTCAAACTAACTTTAGGTCGAAATTATAAGCAAAAAAATTAAGTATCCAGAAACTGTTTTTCAAAATTCAGCAAATGGGATACAATGACTTTTAAAATGTAATTATTTTTTTAGACCTGAATGATTTCTTGTCCGTAGTTGCTAATGCTCTGAAATAAGTTATAGGTATCATTGTATTCTTAATTTATTTTCTCGTATTTCCTGGAAGCTTCAACAATTTTAGCTGTAATAGTCAATAATGTCTGTACATAAAAAGAAATTGACGTATTTTATTGGGTAACAAGTATGCGATGCATTTGTTTAATGTCAGTTTGCCAAAAGCTGCCGAACAAATCATTATTATGCTTAACCGTTCACAAATCTTTGCAATTACTGTTTTCATCAGGTGTCGGGTATTTTAACTACAAAAAATTGCAATTTAGCCAAGTTATTGAGACGTCAGTTTAAATGTATGTCTTTGTAGTGCAACTGGTGTATGTCTGGGCTAAAAGTAAGTCATAGAAGTGTAATACGAGTCGTCTTTGTTGCAGTTGTTTGATAGAACAAATGCTTGCAGTTATCACAAACCTGTGGCAATTTTAGTCAATGAGTATTTTTGAAATTGATGTACAAACTTACGGGAATACATTTACAAATGTACATGCAAAAGTTTGTACATATAGTCAACTCCCATTGATTTATAGTAGTGATTTCCACAGGCGGAAAATAGCTCCTTTTCTGCCCGAGCATGTTCAATAGATTTCTTAGATGATCAAAGGAAGCTATTAAGCGCATTCATGGCTACCATTATGGAAAAGACAAATCCATGTTTACTTACCCAGAAATACAATTCAATGATACCTGCTATAATAAAGACATCATTTTGATCAATTGACCCTAAATAAAAACAAAAACGTAACAGTGAAGCAAAGATAATATCGTGTATAATTTTAGCAGAAAATGGCAGGCTTTGTACTAGCCCACCCCTGGATCGACCAAAGACCCAAACTGCAAGCTCTAAACTTGCATGGCTTGTATGACATGAAAGATCCGGATGTGAAACGATGTGTTACTTCAGGGATCTTATAATAATTGGAGTTTGACTGCAATTTAGCGAACTGTAAATAAAAGACAAGTACTGCAGACAAATAGACTACTTAAATCAATTGTCTGTTTTATTTTACATTGTTCACAAATTCTTATTGCAGTTATTCGTCTTTACACTTTATGAGAGTCTCTTCAGCTGCTTCAGTAATATTTTTTGTACAACACACAATAATTATATTTTAGTTGGAAAATGTCTTGCTTCTTGGTCCAATGGACCATGGTCACGGTGTTTGGCTCGTGTGTGATGGTACGTGGGTTCGAACCCTGCCAGGAACATGGTGTTTGTGCCCTTAGGCAAGACACTTAACTACAGTTGCCTCTCTCCACCAAGGAGTATGGATGGGTACCTATGAGGGTAGAGGGCGGAATGTGCGCTGATATCGGCTGCTGCGTGGTCTCGTGGCCTGATGAACGGGGGAATAGTAAAAGTGCTTTGAGATTGTTGATACGATAGAAAGCGCTACACATTGTATAAGCATTACATTTTTTCTTCTTGTATCCAAGTTGTTTGTAGCACGAGGTTCCCTGTCTCTAATGTTAAGCACCTCCCATAAACTTTAACTATTGTCAGATGCCCCTTCCCCCCCCCCTCTCGTTGCCTTGACATTTCACCTCTTGTTTTTTACCTCCAGAGCATCTATTAAAATCTGAGGATGTCAGAGTGAAATGAAGGTTGGAAATAAGACATTTACTGACCTTTGACCCTATTTATCCAAATGAAACAAGTTCCTGAAAGTTAAGCACACTCAGGGCCCTATGCAAGTCCTGAAATACAGGATGTCCTGCTTGTTTATATTTTCAGATAACATTTCCAGTGTTATCTCTCGGACTTCACGACATTCTTTCAAAAAAATGTTGAAGTACACTTTAACATTCCTGGGCACTTGAGGTACATGTACATGTTTCTTATCACGTGCTGGAAGAGCCAACTCGTGTAAAATTCCTCAATGATATCGATTCCGTCATCAGTTCCTCCATGATGCGAATGGCCTGGAAAATGAAAGCGTTTTATCAGGGATGAATCTTTGAAAAAATTAACAAAAATTAATTCATATACTTGTAAAAAAACAAGTAAACTACGGTATGCAACCACTCTAACAGTGCTCAATCACGCAAGTTTAATCGTGTTTTTTTAGTACCCTTGTACACATCCATTATATGACTCTTAATTAGAAAATATGAAAGAACCTGCTTTACATGAAATGTCATATATTCAAAGTTCTTTTTACTTATCAACTCATGACAAACTGTTTCGTAAAACCAACCTTGAGTCCACCTTTGTTGGCAAAGCCTTGAAGAAACATCTCAATCATTCCGCCAAAGACTCCAAATCCTTTGATGTGGAGGCCTCCCGTTTGCTTCAGCTTGGTCCTATGAATTAAAAAAAAAAAGGTTGTGAGTTGAAAAATTGTGATCGGATCCCACAAAATGAGTCTTCTGGACAATTTCTCACTATTAGTTTTTCACATTGAGCAGAAGGCGCATATCTTCTCCAGCTTTTGAATTCTCACTCTCTGGTTAACAATATTGTTCCTGTTGATTTCCATTGTTTTCAAATGAACCACAAAGGTTACCGCAAACATAGGGCTAGATAGCTCAGTCGGTAGAGCACCGGAATGACAATCCGGAGGTCGCAGGTTCAAGCCCCACTCCAGTCAATTTCTTTGTTCAACTTTTCAAAATTGATTTCCATTGTGTTGGGTTCTGTCAAAAGGTCTTTCTCTCAGAAGAAGCCATGGCAACTTATGACTCTTTCTGTTGGGTTGGGTCACAAATATAGACATGTTCACAGGATTTTCTGAAGGATCACGCGTGACACTGCAAGTCCAATTTTGTCAATGACTACTGTTTCAAATGGGCTGCGACAAAGTCATTCCTTTGTCATTGTTCATGCCCAGTATGACTTGTGACTGGAGTTGACTTTTGACACACTTGCGGTCAACTCTTTTCAACAATTGTTTGATATTTAGCTGTGTGAAACACATTTTCTTGGTCAAACTTTTTCAGAGATATGTCCAACAAACTCCATTTGCTTGTAATAACTTAATCCTGCAGTGTTGTATTTGAATGTGCGATGAGCCGATCACAAGGAGCGGGGCATGAACAATAAGAATGGAATGCTTTCGTTACAGTTCCTTTGAATAACTTTTTGACTTGACTTAAGACTGAAGGAGTTGTGATTGACTCATACTGGCTTGTGATGGACTCGACTTCCACACTAACATCCTACATCTTATCTTCTCATCATACCAGTTTGTATTCTCAGAGCAAATGCTATATTCAGACTCCTCCCAGGCATCTGCGTATTTGTTCCATGTAAGACTCCGGCTCTTGACAGTGAGACGCTTGCCTCTGCGGTCGTGCCATGTCTCTTCTTCCAGATACACTGCATCCTCATTCAGTAGCTGGATCTGAAATGTCAAAAATATATAACCCTTCATTTCAATTTTTAACTGAGAATAGGGTTTCTTTTAGTGAAATAAACAAACTTCAAGGAAAACAAAACTCAAAGCTAAAGATAATCACAACAGTTTGACACTGCATAAATTGCATAAGAACCAGTGGTTTTGAGTCTCACTTTTGAGGGTTAATATAAAAAGAAAACGGAAAACAATTTTCCAGTGTCAAAATTTGTAATTTTATGATTTTTTTGGGCATGTGGCCGGGAGTTTTTTTTGGTTCGAATGAGGTCCCTTGAACGATGAGGAACAAATAAAAAATTTTGGAGTGATTGGAAAAGCCCAGAATGACTTTTGAACTGCCCCATTCAACAGGATCAGCGGTGAAAGGCGAGGGAAGCACACTCATAATATGAGTGCCAACCTGATTCCCCATAATTTTGAAAACCGTTGCATATTAACCCTCGCATTTTTGCTGGACCACTGCATAGAGAATGGATTTTACCTTTCTGAAAATGGACGGTAGTATGTTTTTACACGTGGCTACTCGTCGTTTGTATTCCACACCACTTTCTCTATCTGTGGGAAAACAATACATATGCACTGACAATGTTACAATCTTTGTATCAGTTTTGGAATTTTTCTTCTCAAGAATTAAAGTAAATTGTACTCTTGCACCAGTAGCCAAACAAATGTGTTAAGGGGAAAAATTGTACAAAAAATCCGAACTAAGATTGGTCAAGTCTATTTGAAAACAATATTTTCAAAAAAAAGTTTAAAAAACTGGGGAGGTCAGGGACAGGGTTTTGAGGAAAGGAGTGAGTTTTTTTTTGTTAGGGTGAAGGTTTCTTTTCAAAGGAAGGCAAAATGTCACATTCATTAAATTGGATGATCAGTTCATTGAATTGTTGCAGTTTTACCACCACTGACCACTTCAATTAATTAATTTTATAATTAGCGACGTGGCCTACAAATTAATATTATCCCTGTCCCTATTAATATTATCCAATATCTTACCTATTCGTTCTTCCACTGTTTTCATTCCAATGACATTTTGTTCTTTGTTGGTAGGATACTACAAAAAGCAAACAAACAAATTTGACTTCAGTCAATGCATAGGCAAAGATATCCCTTTACATAAACTCTGGTAATAGAAAATTCTGGTATTTTAGTGAGATCACACGAACTAACATGGGAGAAAACTTGACATGCTTATATTTTCTTACCTTTGTAAAATGTGTCCTAACAACCAGATCGAATGGAAACTTGTAAACATGATTAATAATTACTTCAAACATAGTCCCGAAATATGCAGCACACAACAATGGCCTGGGAAGCAGATGCTAGATGAACGTCTTTTGTCTAATTCTGCTCACTTTAAGGTCGCCACAAAAATTCTAGTGAAATACAACGCACAATGGATTGCGATCCATTCTGTACGTAGGATGCACCTGAGCACCTTTCACTGAAGACCAAGTATTATTGAACTGCTGTGCGAAACGTGTGTAGATGCAGGCAAATTTTAAGTTACGTAACAACAAAACACGAGTTACATAATCAGCTCAGATAATCCGACCCCGCAAAACATGATGCAAGGATCTCTTTGCTTCCCATACATGGATATTGTCTTTCCGGTTCCAAGACACATCCGATGCTATTAAGTAAGGAGAAAATAAACAAAAAGGTTGCTTAATTTAAAGTGAAACACCAGTCCTGAGCACTGAACAAAAATGAGTAAAAAACGTGCGCCGTCGAGCCCACTCTACGAGAACTATTGAGGGCGCTGTTCATGTGTTGCAAATTTCGCGCAATGCAAAACATGGCAGACGACGCGACGGACGTGTCTACCCCCGACTCCGACGTGAAACTTCTGAAAATTGAAGCGAAGTCTGCAGTGAACGAGGTGAAATTTGCCGTGAAACATGTGGAGATATCAGAGAAGCTTTCCAACACAGACGAACAGGCGTACCTGAATGTGAAGACTAAAGAAGGGGACGAGTTTTGTGTGGAGTTGACGGTGCAAGGTTTCCGGGTAAGTTCACGCACGCTCGAGTTCCACGTGTTGTCAACGTTCATTGGCGCTTTGGCGGGATGGCGATCGTGTAATCTGGTTGCGGGCCCGGTTCCCTACAATAAGGGGACCTAAATTAAATTACTTGACTTACCAAACTAGTTGGCGACATTAAGAACATGCAGGTATGTCATAGATAGAGGGCAGGGTTTGGAATTTTTGAGGGAAACTTGGGGGTAAAATAAAGATTACAACAACAAAACGCAACATGGAAATAAGGATGGCAAGGATGGTGATCACAGTGATGTAGGCCTACTGATACCGTGCAAGGCGTGCTAAATCACATGGCACCAACCGTAATCCTCGTACGAAAATAATTATTTCTACCCCAAGAAACTGTCCCAAATTACAAAAAAAAGGTGTCATTATTAGAATTGAGAGAAATCTGTTTTAGGTTTATTCACGGAGCTACATGTATAGCTCCATGGTTTAATATAAAAACACGATTGATTGACTCTAATTTGATCGAAACTTAAGAGGGGCCCTATGCTACATGATCGCCATTGAAGTATGGCTAACACTTTCTGAATGGAAGTTTTTTTCAGGCTGAATTATTTTGAGGCTGCCAAACAACCTCACAATTTGTGCAGTATACGTTAACAACTGAAGTCCCGCAAATAGAGTGAAGCTGGTGTTGCGATAAATTGTCACATTTTTAAGAGTAGGTAATCTTATTTAGAGAAATGAAAAAAATCTTTGTGAATTTTAAAAGTAAACAAAACAGTGCAGAATATACAGAGTGTAGTTGTGTGTGGAAATACAAGTAATGAATGTTCCAGTAAAAACAGAAAATACTGCCATCTGTTTTTGGCATTGTAGTCCCTTTAATTATAGAGAAAGGGCCAACACAGGAAATGAAGCTCTGCAATATCAGTAACTAGACACTGATGAATGCAGCATGGGAGTAGGAAGTATGTAGCAACGGATGCAGTTGTTTTCTCAGAAATGTGCACATGCTTACAACATTTCCTTTACAATGTAATGATGCGGTAATAATATGGGATTAACTACATGTGGTCACTGCAACAAAAACATCTGTTCTCTGTAATTTGACTGGAACATAGAGTAACACATCAAGATAAGTAGGCCTAAACCATAAAGTCATATATATTTTTTTTAAAGGAAGTGGTAGGCCCTTTTTTTCCCCTCCAAAATGGCGCCCGACCGGGCCATTTTTCAAAATGGTCGCCATTTTTTTTTTAAATGGCCGCCATTGGACTCGGGAAATGACATACCAGCATTATATGGGCTAGATGCAACAGACAAAGAGGCCAAAATGATGTCACTGTTTAAAATTTATCATTTTTTTCGGTTATTAAAATAAAAAAAAAGGGGAAAAAAAGGAGGTGGCCTCCAAAACACAAGCGGGCGGGGACGATAAACATGTTTTTTTTATATGGCCTGATATTCCTTTTTTTTCATAACTACTGTTTGATAAGTCACAGACAGTCAATAATTTGTTCCACTTCCCCTGCCATGCACTTTTATACTGACCAGTAAAAACAGTCAGATCACATTCGTGTTGACACTGTGACTAAATTCCATCAGCAGACAAAAGAGGTAACTGGTAGGTACAGCTGGCCTATCAATCACCTCCAGTCAAAGCATGGAAATCAAATTAACAAGGGAATTCTTAACTGTTAAAAACAGTCACTGAATTTGTCCATCAGAGAGGGAGGGTTACTTATACACGTACATGTAGCTGAATGAGGATTGTAATATTTCAGAATCTGTTTAGTAAAATATAGTTATGGTTCACTCAAAGAAAAGGAATGTGCCATCCCAACTACATTGTTGTTGTACAGTCTCACCGATATTTATGGTTAATGTTCATTGGCGTGTCCACATCACAATTGCCTGTGAAGAGATGCACTCCAGAGGCGACTTTTAGGGAGTGGGAAAGTACAATAAAGCTTGTAGGAGCTTTTGAGGGGACGCATCACTTGGTGTTTTCCAAGCAAATACTGCATTCCGCGCCCCTTTGTTCAAACTATTGACATGTCTGATAGGGATCTGATTTATGTGGGGTATTGGTTAATAAATGAATGAGCAAACACCAGTCTGAAGTTTTCGGGTTTTGTAGGGCAGAAGTTCATTTCGGTATTTAGACAGGAGTTCAGGAAAAGTAGGGCAAAACATCAATTTTTGTGAAAAGATTGAAAAGAAAATGTTCATTTAAAAAAAAATAATAACCTGGACTGTACATGTGTACACACTGATGATTTACTTGGATTTGATACAGTATATAGAAACAAAAGAATTTTTTTTAATTAAAACATTCCTAACCACATCAGTTAACTTTGATCTGTAAGCATCTCTTAAATGATCTGATTTTGTTTTCTTCTCCAGTTAGTTATAAATAATTTTCATCACCCTCCAGCTCAGTATATCCAAGACGTGCCTAAAACCTTGAGCCACCAATAAGTAAGAATCAAAAATGGTACTTGTCAGTTCGTTTATAAATATGTGATTTCATCACTTAAAAAGAATGAAAATGTTGTTTGGAAATCACTTTTTTTTTTGCTGCATTTTTCCAGAGATACATGTAAAAGCCACCCCTGTATGATAAAACATTGACAAAATGTACAGTGAATGTGCACACCCTGTGCAATGCTTAAAATGTATGCTTCCCAAAATGTGGTTTTTTTGTTTTTCCATGAAACCAGCTATTTTTTAATTAGCACACTCAGTCAGCTTTGTTGTTGCACCTGTCGCAAGTATCATTATTGCAGAGCTCTGACATGTATTTCTTCTTTTGCATTCAATTTTGCTGTAGATCAATTGATCCGTGACTGTCAATGGACGAGACCAAGTCTAGAATTTGAAGGGAATGTCATGTGAAAATCATTGCCATTGGGGAACATATTTTATAGTGATTTGAGTTTCAAATGATGGCGCATGGATTTGTTGAACACATGTTCTTGATTATTGCTTTTCTGGCAGCGATCCACTCTGCACATGAATACATTTTTTGGTATGCACATTTTTCAAGTACTTGAACATGTCTGTTTTACAAGGTTGTGTTTAAAGGAAAGGATGTACAATTTTAGTAAGTGAATATCAGACAGTGACATTTTGTGATAATTTTTTAATTAGTGTATAATTGTTATGTTATGGCTTGCCTTCGAGCGTATCTCATTTATGAAAACAATTCTAAATTCTTGTCAAAGTATGCAATTGCATAGATGACAGTACTTAAAGGGAATGTACAATAACATCATTGGCTTTTGCTGTAATTTTCAGAAATGAAATATTTAAGGGGTTAGTATAATAGATCAAATATTGTTTAACTGACATGTTTGAAGTTTTGTGTTCGAAAATGCTTGAAAAACCAAGAAAAACAAAAATGTTTAAGTAGTCTGGTTCCCTGACTCCACTAAAGATAAAATGGATCAATTTATAGATGTCAGAAAATTGTAAGGTAAGGGAACCAGTCCAGCTGGCCTGCACCCGTTCAAGAACATGTAACCAATAGCAAACAAAATTTGGACTGAAAAAATTGTAAATTTGGAGCTGTAGTTGAAAAATAGTTAGGTTTTTCCAACGGTGGTCGGCCGACCATCGTTGGAAATGAATACAAAAATACCATTTTCTTGAAAATGACTTCACACCAGGTGCCATAATTTTACAGGATGCTTTAGACTGTCATTTGCCAACATCTTTGTAAGGTATTTCGTAAAAACTTGGTAGTTTTATTTTTCGATGTTTGCAAATGTTGTATATTCCCTTTAAGCCTTTCCTCAGTATGTATGGATTGATTGTCCCCCTAGAGTTTTGGTTATTCAGAGAGTGGATCATTAATTCAACCAGAGGTACATTAAATATTTTGCACTGGTATGTAGATAGAGTGTGGTCCATTTATTACTTTCCTGTCCGGACTGATAGCTCATCTCGTGAGATACATCCTATGTGCTGAGTTTGTTGATATCTGTGGCTAGTCTTGATGTTGAGGGATGACTTTGTGTGTCGGAAGGATGGATAATTCAACATCTGGGACAGGAATTAATCACCATAGGTCAGGAGGGAGTCTAGCTGATGAATAGTCAGCTTCTGTATGTGTGTAAGTTCTGTCAGGGGAGGGTTGAGTGAACGTTGAATGATCGTGCAATTGACTACTCTCTCTGTGTGACCAGAATACACTGTGCATGCTAAGTGAAATTTATGCTTAAAGCTATAGTCCATCATTTGCAGCCATCCGAAATGTAACTGGCATAATTATTGTTGAAAAACAAACTTGGTTGAAAGATAGTAAGGGAACTAAACTCCCTGTGAAATTATTCTTTCTGGGAAGCTGTCATTTTGAAGTAATCAACGAAAGAAGGCATTTCCAACAGTGATTCTTAAGAAGCACCGTTGGAAAATTTAAATTAGTAGTTCGTTTTGTTATTCAGCGCAGCGCGCATAAGTATTGGAACGACGCACACGCGCGCGCGGTTGTTATAATTCGTCGGATCAGTGCGCGACGTCGTGTATAGCTGCAATTCAAAACAATTCAAAACATGATTCAGTAACATTTGATTTGAAATTGAGATCTTAGAATGCTGTTTTTCTCGGAATGTACAGCTGAAGCTTAGCTGAAACTTCATCAGGTTAGTTGCTCAGTATCCTTCATTAGATTTTGAACTCTTTTGTTGCTTCAAACGAACAAAATGCACAAATTACAAATGATGGACTGTAGCTTTAAAAGATACGTGTACCATTGATGCTATTTCAAGTTTCAGTCTGACTTTTTTTTGGATGTTTTCTTAGCGATTTAAAATTTGTTCACTTTTTATTGAGACATGGAATGAAAAAAATGGCAATGTTTAGTTAAATGGAAATATTGCTTTGCAAATTTCAAATTATTCGTGTCCCAGGAATAATTCAATTCTCGCAGGGTAGACTGGCTCCTGTCTCTGTAAGAATTGATAATGTACAAGGATTTCATTGCACCCCCTTGCCCCCCCCCCCAGAAGTACAGAGCTTGTGATAGTGTACAGCCAGAGGCATTCGGCTAAGCAATGGTCAACAGACTCGGACAAGTCTACAGTGCCAGATGATGAGAGAAGTATTCTCCACTTGACATACCAACTGCAATCTTACTGATAATTGAAATGAGGTCTGGTGACAGACTACAGTACCTTCCAACTCACACCAGCCAAATCATCTGCGTATCTCCATGGAGCAAGGAAAACGTTTTCCTTGCTCCATGGTATCTCCTACCAGTGCATCCCCCACTATGCCTGCTGTGATGACAGACGCACACAGTTCTTATCACGTTTCGCTCTGCCAATTCGTACTGACAGGTCACATGTGTGCCTGCTGAATATTTGCTGTTACAACAATCATCAAATGTCATCACTGTGTTTGGAGATCAACATTAGGACATTGACTTCAAAATTAGGAGAGATTTATTGTATAGACTGTTTTATCTTGTTTGGTTTGGGTTGTAGTATTGGTTGAGATATTGTCTTTAAGTGTATTGAATTTCACATTTTCAGTGCCCGTTGAAATATGTAGTACTCGAAAATTGAATGAAAAAATGACATAGGCTACATTTGTACATCAGTACAGTTTTTTGTAAACAGTTACATCTCGTGCAATTTGGGTTTTGTGTTGCTTTAGAAATACAAACATTTAATGACTTGTAGTGAGCATTGAAACAATTACACTGGATAAAAAAACACTATCATTGTAGTTTGCAATTAAGGTTTTGTTTTGCTCTACTAGAGTCTAGAAATTATCCTTAATTGTCTAAGTTCTGTATTTAATCTTACATTGTCATTATTTGTTGTGCACATTCAGACAATCACAACTGATAAAAACGCACTTTAATAATGTTGCTCTACAGCTTAAAATGTCACCACTGGCATTTTTGGTTAAAAACGTTTTTTTGTAGACTGTGCTTAAACACTGCAGAGCCATTGTACACGTTGCGCATTATTGTTCCTCCCTTGTCAATTAAAATGCATTGGTAGTGCCTGAGCTCATGTTTTATTCTTTAATACTACAAAAACCACATCACGGTCCGCTTCCTTGAATCCCATCAGACAGAATTATGCTAATGACCAGATGACAAGTGGCATTTGATTAAATTCAATTCTTATGCTGACATATCAGCCCTGTGAAAATGTTGGAGATAAAACAATTGTTTCCTTAGTTTAGTGTATTTTGTCGCCCCATGGTGAAATGTGGTTGGCCAAACCTGCTTCATTAGTGACTACAATAAAACAAAAACACATACAGCAAAGGTATATCATTAAATCAAGAAAAAGAAAAAAATTCATGTGACACTCTTCACTTAAACATGAAAAGAAAACTAGAAATATTACACAAAGTTAAACAATCACACAGTAAGGTTGACCTATAACGTCATTCAATTCTTCCCCATTTTCACAAAGAACCAGTTTCACATCCCTTACCAAACTCTAATCTTTTTGTTTCAACAGCAACAAATTGATTACAAGAGTTGAATATATTGAATTGTATTTCTACTCATTTTTTCCCCTCAGATTGTTGGCACCTCATTTGATCGCATTGACGACAGCGATGAGTCCACATACTACGAGACCATCTATGCCCTCCTGGACAAGCACAGTCCCCAGTATAGACTCACGTTTGGAGAGACCCTGGCCGACAAACTCCAACTGCTTCAGACGGAACGAGAAGATCCTCAAGAGGATGGAGAAGAGAACTTGAAAGATGTAAATAGAACGCAATGATGTTCAGCCATCGATGGACTCCCTGCGTGAGCGTGGTGCTTTGTCACCAATTGAGAGGGCACCAGTGGGAGGGACACACTGAGTGTGCGCACTGGTTCGCATGCCTACGGCGTGAAGCACCCAGGATGAATGTTATTTGAAATTTGCACAAACCTGCTTTCAGAGTCCTCGCGGTGGTCTCCCCCAACTTCTGCTGTGTTACTGTTGAGGGGCACTTGTACATCACGGAGCTCATAACGTCCTTAGGCCTAGCCCCACCGATGTGGAGACATCAGATGAGTATGTTTCATTTCAAGGAACAGCTATCATTTCTAGGCTGGTAAACTCCAGCTTCTTTAAGACGGAACAAGATCATCTTCAGAAAGGAATGGAGGAGAACTATGTAAAATAGAAATCATCACAACCTCTCTTGTTTTAGTTATTGAGAGATAGTTTGGAGAGAGACTTTCATTTATTTGCAGGTAAACTCCAACTTCTCCAGAATGAACAGGAAGATCAACAGAAGGATCGTGGAGTAGAACTTAAAGGCTGTAAATAGGAGCAAGTGATCTTCATTTTTTGTCAACCCATCAAATTCCTGTAGCCCTCCAACATGGAGCGATACATCGAAAGAAGACACCATCATTCCTTGACTGGTAAACTCAAGCTTCTTCAGACTAAACTTGTAGACCAACAGGAGGAGGTGCAGCAGAATTTTTTCAAACTGTAAACAAAATACATGTATGTTGATATTCAACCAGCCATACTCCCTAAGAGATGAAGGATTGCTCTGCACTGAAATTCCTTACTTAACCATTGACTCGGTACTGGATAGTGACAACCCTTCTTCTGCACTTCATGTGCTGCAAAATCATTGTAGCCCATAGAGTTTATAGCACCAACACTTCAAATTCCTTTGAAGTAATCTGTGGAGTATGGATAACACTTGAAATCCTTGCGCAATTTTTTAGTGAGGTTAATTTAAGTTCAGGGCAAGCGCTAATATTTGGTCATGCTTCACTACTCTCCACAGTGCTATTTTTTTGTCCAGTGACTCTCTGTCACAGTTACTTGAACACTTCCTCACATCCCTTCACATGAAACTGACCTGCAGGGTTTTAAAAGGTTTTACATACTGCTCTGAATATTGACTTCCCACTAGGAGGGTACATGTTCAATATTCTAGCTACCACAATGTACATGTACTAGACTTGATCAGAAATCCAGCAGATAATCCGACATATCTTGTGGCCTGGTTTGGTACACTCCTACATGTAATCATCTGCCACAGAGATTACTATTGCCACTCGTTTCTGAGGGCAGAGTTTTCCCACCGTGTGGCTCTGTGGCTTATTATACTGTACCAGCTTCTGCTAGTATAGCTTGCCTTTAGTCACTGGGTAGAGTTGAATGCTTCATTTAATTTCAATGAGCCAGAACATATCAGCTGGGCCAATTTTCAGAGAGTGACCGAGTAGAAAATGTTGCATTCTGAATGTGTACATGTATTGTGCTGACTTGTTTGTCATTTGTGAATCAATCACAAGTATGTGCATTGAATATAAGATATTGACTGGAGCGGGGCTTGAACCTGCAACCCCCGGATTACTGTTCAAGCTCTCTACCAACTGAGCTGTCATTACAATTGTTCAGACACAAACTGCAAAGGGAAACTGACTCGGTGCATTATAATAATTGTAAAGTTGAACCTGCGACCTCCAGATTTTCGGTGCTATGCATTCTCTTTTGCTTAAAAGCGCATTGAAATTGACCTAAGATTATACATTGTAGGTTTGTGATAATTGCTGAGTTGATGTGTTATTTCATTTTTGTTGTTTTTGTCGTTGTCTTATTATTCACCAAATGTATTTATCAAGAAGAAAAAACATATATGGGCAAGCAGCACTATACATTTTTTCCTGAAATACTCTGGACTCTGATACAGGCTTTCTTATAAGTTGTTACTAGCTTAAAATACAGTACATGTACATATAGTCTGTTCAAATCATGTATTATTTACAGTACATGTATACTGTGGAACTATTTTCATACTGACCTTGCGTGGTAAGCTACATGTAACTGATCATCCCTAATAGTCCTGAATCCTCAAATTTCAATATGATTTTGCACACCCCCTAGGGAGTTAGGGTTAACCATTCTCAAGAAAGTATTTTGGAAAGATGAGGTATAGCAAAAGCGCAGTGATGATCGTTTCTGAGAAGAGTTGTTTTGAACACGATTTTTGGTCCGTGTAATCGTATTGCTTCAAGCAATCCGGCAGCTTACCCGAACTATAACACCTTCCCTCATCGCTTTACAAATCCCCTGGGACAGCAGGTCCTGCGTAATTTCCCTCGAAGATAGCTTTGCTAATAGGGTTTCAAAGTACCAAACAGTGCAAAGCTTGCACTGGCAACAATTCTACCTTTTTGGTTAGAATGTCGTACTGTTCGTGATTGTTGTCGACTGCAGTGTTATCTATTGGCAGCGAGGGGAATAGCCCCATAAATGTGGCCAATTTACTGGACTACCTCCGTAAATAAAGGCCACACTTCCACCGTGTACAAAAAACATGTCGAACTTTGCCAATTTTGATTTTCACATTTAGGCTTAGTTTGTAGTTAATTTTTGCCTTAGAAGCATACTCACCCTCCTTATAGGCTAATCAGAAAGTGCTGCCTTTTTCAGATGTCTATTTTTCGTGAAATTTTCAGATTCGTTTGCACACGTTTGCGTATCAAAATTTCAACATTGAAATTTCACGAAAATTAGACATCTGAAAAAGGCAGCACTTTCTGATTAGCCTATACAGAGGGTGAGTATGTTTCTAAAGCAAAAATAAACTACAAACTAAGCCTAAATGTGAAAATCAAAATTTGACAAAGTTCGACATGTTTTTGTAGAAGGTGGAAGTGTGGCCTTTATTTACGGCGGTATTCCAGTAAATTGGCCACATTTATGGGGCTACGAGGGGAAGTGCATTTATATCAAGATGCCCGATCGAGACGTCGACGATTCTAACTTGAACGCTCATGGCTAACAGTGCGCGGTGGATATGAGAATGTAATGGTCTACTCATAAACCCCCATAGGGTAGATGAGCGTATAGACCTTGTTAGGCATGATTCTGATGTAGCCAGGATCAAAATCCGTTGAGTCTATGAATACCAAGCAAGGAATAGATCCAGGTAGCTTCAAATTGCTAACCTGGGATTTGGCTGAATTTGGCTTACCTATGATTAAATTCTTGCATAAGTGCACTCAGGATCATCTGCTGTATTATGTGCATACATATTTTTGCTGTGTTGAGAATTGATTTTTTTCAAGGAATAATGATCAGACTCTAAATCCATTGAAACTAATATTGAATGTGTATTGGAAGTCTATTTTTATTGAAATGGACGAATTATATCTTGAAGTAACTAGTACTGTATATCTCATCATGCTGGCTTGTGGGCACTTTGCTTGATTTACATGCACCTTGATTTGCCTTTTTAATTTCGTGTTGCATTATACATTTCTTTTCCTGGCAGGTTTTTATTCGAATTCAAATCCATTTTTGTTCAAGAGAAATCTGTAAAGAGAAAAAGAGAGCTGAACATTATCAGAATATTATAGTCAACAATGTTCCAGGTACAGAAATGTAAAGTATTGAAATGCAGAAAAGCGTCTCAAGTGATTTAACGAATTGTCAACTTGTCAACTTGTTTTGCAGGGAACCGTTATTTGCCCTCCGGTCCAATTTATTATTTGCTCAAACCTGTGAAGTCAAATATACTTATGAATGCATTGTGGTGGAAAATATTTGCCAAATACTTAACTGTCATAACTGACGGGCTGACGTTACCATGACAATGCCAATGGAAATATGATATGGATGGGTTCAATAATGCATGTAACTGCTTTCCTTTGTAGTTTATTTAAAATAAAAAAAAAGACAATCGTATATTTGTGTAATTGCCTTATATAGATTTGTGACGTCTTTGATTACCAATGTACTTTTTTTGCAGAATTATTTGAAATTTAAGTTATTTGCTTTGATTCTGTTCTCTGCCAACGAGCCATTGTTTGAGGTTTACAGACCTTGTCGTCGTTTTTTGCTTGCTATTTAATGCTGTTTTGAGCTGTTCTGAAAAAAAATTATCACGGAACTGAAATGTTAAAAAAAGAACTCGTACAAAATATCCGGCAAATCAGTGTTTATGTATCGAAGGATAAACTTTGAAAGATTTAAGTATAATTACATTATCATATACACTGCACGTCATTTTGCTCCTGCTGTTTTAAAGTAACAGTATTGTCCTTCATTTAACCATCCTGCAGAAGTGCAATAACTGGCAGTTTTTATTTCAAATCAGCTTGGTTTGAAATACATCTGGAAACTGCTCTTTAACCTCGTTTATTCACGGCAAATCTTACCCCAACAATAATCTTAACTTGTTTACTGGCAGCTTTCGTGTAAATGCTTCCGCAGAGGTTCACTGTAAATACATACACAACCTAACTGTTGGTATATAATTGGAGCGGTCATGCTTTTCATTGTATATAAAATAAATTTCGGGGAAAAAATGGTTTCTTTTTCAAATTTGTTTTCGTTTTGTGTTTCATCATTCTGTGAATAACGATCGGTTGGGTCGCCACTTCATATAGCACACAGGGGGGAAATATTTTCTTTTCCACGGTCACATTTTGTTTTGCAAGGGAGCCTGCAGCTAACTTCGCGTTGTGTTCTAATTTAATACATGATCATCACAAATCAAATCAGATCAAATTTCTGCAGGGGTAATTTTAAAAATTCCCCTTGCTACCCACTTCGTGTTTTTGTAGCATGTGAAAGTATTCTGACGTCTAATGGAAGAGTATTATAGGCCATAGGGGAAACATCAGTCTTGCACACACACACACAAAAATAGACACTCGTTTGTAATGGTAGAAAATGGATTTGTCTCTGCCGCTTATAAGCCGTTAGGAGCATTGTTTTCGAGGAGCAAGACCTATATAGGAATATTTATGAGTACATTTCAGTATCAATAATTATCTTGTTATTGCCTAACTGCTCAGTCTACGTCAGTGGTTCGCAACTTGATACATGTTTGTCTGCTGAGGGACCCAAAGCGTGTTTTCTTTCCTGAGATCGAGTTTCCTTCGGTTGCTCTTGGCACAACGTGAAGTGGAAAACAAACTGTCAGAATCATTAACGAAAGCGTCAAGTTGTTTATAGTCCTTACATTTTTTGTCTATGCTGTGCAGTCAAATTTAATAAATCCGATGTGAAATATGTTGTAATACATTGAAGGGGCATGCAGATTTTGTGATGGGCATGTCGTTGACCCACGGTTCGATGATGTCTTCAATATTAAGTCAAGAAATTTAAATCAAAGTGCAGCTCAGGTTAGACCACCTTTGGAAATCGAAAACGATGTGGGGGCTATTTGACTCTAGGGGGCGCTGTTCAATTGCATGCATGCACGGCTCTGATATTATGTACGCATTTTTAAAAGGCCGGTGTGGCAGGTAATTCTCCCCCCTGGTAAATGTGTCCCCCCGGACAGATCTACCGGGTCGTGACCCGGTAAATCTGTCCGGGGGGACACTTTTACCTAGGTAAACCTGTCCCCCTCTAGGTAAATCTGTCCCCCTGCACGACGTTAAATGTGTCCCCCCTGGTAAATGTGTCCCCGTGCAACGTCACAAGTCTAGCACCCAGACTGTATATTAGTGAAGTTATTAACTGTTTTTGCGCGGCGCCTTGCTAAATTTGGGAATGGTGCTTACGTCAAAGCACAACTCCCGTTTTGATGACGACTTCGGGAGCGAACGATTTGCATGGTGGGCGTGCGCGTGATACCGCACCTACGGGCCGCGCCAGGGCCGCGGCCGGGGACGGGGACAACATTGCACCAGCAGCAGGCCTGCGGCGCGGTGACCCGTACCCGTCCGTGTCGCGTATAATTTTGCCAATTCTCCTCATTGAAGTCCGCCATGACAGTCACACGCGTATCGGCGGCTGATGCGCGTGCGCGCTAGCGATAGGTTGAGTATATTACTACGCGTGCCTTCTTGCAGAAACATAGATCGGTTGATTAACATCGAAATGTTAATTTCATTTTGATAATTATTGATGAAGGGTGGAAAAATCTAAAAATGTATACCTGTGCGCTGAATTTATTATAATAACATCAATATAACAACTTATGCGTGCAAAACCAGGGGGGACAGAATTAACTGGAGGGGACAGAATTACCTGGAGGGGGACACAATTAACGGGACAGGGGGGACACTTTTACCTAGGTAATTCTGTCCCCCCGGACACTTTTACCGGGGGACAGAATTACCGTCCACACCGGATCATTTGCATTTATCCAAAAGTAACCCTAACGAATTATTATCCAAAAAAGAACTTAATTGGATTAAAGATCGTATCGTTGCTACTTAAACAGCCCTTGAAATCGTTCCGTCTGGCTTGTTGTCATTGAAGACACCAAGAAACGGTGATTTCCAGCGATCAGTCGGTTGACTGATTTTTTGGAATAATCTATTGACGAAATAGCGTTTCGTGACTACCAAGGGTGTGCATGGTATTACACCATTTGGGAAAAACTCGGCGCAAATTAGGCTCACTCTTTCTAAATATAACGTTATGCGCACTTCGATAAATTATTTGGGATGGGTAGTTGATGACATCAATCAGACAAATTTGCTTTTGGCTGTTAAAAAGAAAACCAAGTTTGACTTTGTATGCAGCGCTGACCATAAAAGTGCAAGGCTGAAAAGGGGGGGGGGGTGGCTGTTCAGGTAGATGCCTATAACTGCAAATGAATATACTTGAAATTCAACAACCAACACGCGACTTGCTGTTTATTGAGGGTCCGGGTGTGGACACCGCCAAAATGGGGGCGCTGTAATGCAACAAGGGCACTTGCAAACAATGAGGGCGTGATCTTGTTTCCGTGTATTGTCAACGATACTACAGCCATAGAGCAAGGACCTCGTCTTGTTTGGACAGCCTCCCACACGCAATGTATTATTCACAACCGAATAGAATAATGAAATCGTATAGTTTTGTTGACAAACGAAGACAAACGAACTCGTACTCCTTTTCCTTTATCACTGAGCTGAGCTCTGCAATTCAAACACGTTCTTGCAGTCAACTCTTACAGGGCTAAAAATAAACACCGTCTATTTGTTCAGGAAAGCTGTCTTGCCTTGTGAAAACTATCCATTAAATTAAAGAGCAACTTCTATCAATCGATCGTCTGCGCAAGGAGACAACAAATCTTAAGTTACATTTGCACCTTGCGTTTGACTCGAGCAAACCTTTGTTGACCAATTCGGGACGACAGTTTGTTGAGTCCAACTTGCTCTTTCGATTTATTGCAGTCTGTTTAATAATGTAATGTAAACAATGGTAAAAGACCCAAGGCTGTAAACCAACTTACCAACCGTATTTGATACCACCATGGGTTTACAACTCACTATTGGGAATGGAGGCAAGAAACAATGAACCAGTAAACTTTTTGAGGATGAATAAATGTCGTGACTGGAAAGTCTGGCCGGGGTTTTCCCAAGGACACGCGAATCGTGATGTCCTCTTTAAATACTGCAAGCAAATAAAAAAAAATCCCTGAAACACGACAATAATAGATCTCCGTGTATGGATTAATGAACTTGTAAAATTAGCGGTGGATAACGAAAGAAATTCCGCGACTCGTGAACAATAAATGTATACGGAGAGCAAAGAGAGGTTAATTACAGGCGGCATCATTTCAAGTGAACCACTAAAATATTTAAAATGTATAACTTTGTTTTTAATTAAAGACGTTTGACGTTACCGCAGCCACGCTGCACTCACGACGAGCGTCTACTATACAAAGTATTCAGCTATATATCATTATGTAATTACAAGTTTCGTGTCGGAAATTTTGGAAATTTCATGTACAATAAAGACAATCATGAAGCAGAGGATTATCATCGGAATTACATTTATTTACAAGTTGGAAAACCAGAAAATAACAGTAAAGATGTCTAATGAATGTGACGGTACGTTCAAATAATATTGAACATGATGAACAATTAAAAAAAGAAATCACGTTCGTTTGTTCGTATGGCTGAATTCGGACTACTGGAAAGTCTACTAATGATCTGTTGTGCTTCAGTAAAAGGGTTTATCAGGCAGCAAACTGCAGGTCTGGTTTCAAAAGAACAAAAACACCGTCATAGGCTACATAAACATTAACTTGATATCAAAGTTCAACTGAAACACAGATTGTCCAAATGTTTAGATAATTAATCAATATCGGGTCTTCATTTTCTTTGGAAGATATCGTGATAAAGTCACAGTGGGGGATATTCCATCCGTCAGAAAATTGGGAGACTTTGCTCAGAGTAAGATATTTCTTCCAGAATTATTAATTTGAAGGTGAAACTTACAGTTGGTTCTTAAATAAATATAGCACAACAGAGTTTGTTATGGTATAACTTTGATAATAATTCTGTGTCGTTACTTCACGTGTGTGTGTCCATCTAAATGGTCACATTATGAATTGTATATTGTACGAAATCAAAGCAGTATCTCCGTATTGATTGTCAAATATAGAGTGTAACAAAAAACTGAAAACGCAAAATGCTGCAGTCTACTTTGTGAGTATTTACAAATTATATATGTTGAAGGTGAAATTAACCTAAACAAAATGTCCGTTCTTTCTTTAGTGTATATCTGTTGAAAAGAGTGTACTAAAAATTTGTAAAAGCAAAATTAATGCTGTAGTTTACTTGGCAGTAATTGCAAAATATACCAATAGGGTTTTAACAATGAAAATTAGCCAAACAACACAAACAAAATGATTTTATGCGTGCAAGGTTTGTTGTTCGCTGTTTACTTGATATCTCCACGTGACCAAATTTGTAAGTAAAAAGTGCTGTAGTTTATATTTTGTGAATATTTACATATAATATGAGTGTTTTAACAGTGAAAATAAACCAAATTAAACCCCAAAAATGTGATTTTTTAATGCAATGTTATTTGGTGTTCTCCGTTTACTTGACGTAGTATCTCCACTTGACCAGGTCTGCTGACGGAATGCCGTGCCGTCGTTTCTTGTGGTCCGTACCCCGAGAGAAGAACCAGCCACAGGTGGGCTTGGCCAGGGTGGCGAACGGGGCCACCGAATTGGACTTGATCCCCCCTTGAACGAAGAGGCAGTTGGACCGTGCGATGGGGGCTTCATATGGAACCTGGTATGGAAGTATAGAATTTGAAACAAATGGAGGATGAAAACCCTGTAACTGTCCAGAAAATTTGGTGTGTTTTTTCAAACAGGACTTGTGATGACTATTGGTTATCTGACGCGGACGTCAAGGCAAGCCTTGGAAAGGTGGTCTTACTATAATGCACACAATAATTCTATTTGATTGAATCAGAATGGCTCTTCAATGAAAATGTTTCCGTGCACCTGGTCTAAACAATGGGCCGGATTTAGGTCAATCATTGGCGTGACGTGGTACCCCTATACGATAGCACTCCCGGCTCACAAATGACAGTCGGTGAGTGAGTCAGTTAGGAAGTCAGTCAATCAGTCAGGTATACATAAGACTGACTATAATTATATAGGCTGGCACTCTGGTACCAGCAAAAACACTAACTCGAATGCTTAATCCAGTAAAAATGTACCTCTGAACTCAGCGACCCCTTCATGCTGGAGTGAAGTTCGCCACCAACTGGCGACGCCGGAAGCCCAACCCCCGACAGCGGGTCACTCAAGTTGAGGTGACGGGAGTACTTGTTGCGTGAACCGCCACCGTGACGCGCAGATGGCCCGCTGCCCCCGATGTACGCGTGCCAGAAAGCCGGGCACGGCAAGTTGGTCTGCCCGTACTTCTCCCCCGGAGGGAAGACGTCCGCCTTGTTCTCGCCGTAGAAGTGCTGGTTGATGAGGCCCTGGTAGCCGGAGTTAGGCATGGTTGATGGTCGGTTTGTTGTTTTTGCTGAATGCAAAAGATGCCTCAAAGCGATGTACGGTACGGTACGGCACGGCTGTAGGTTTTTCCACCTCACTGCACACGCACGCAGGTCTGCACACACATACAGCCTTACCAAATCTGGCAATGAAGTCAACCAGGGTGGATTGAGTCTGAAAAGTCAACTTTTTCAGGAACTTGGTTGAAGTCTTGTGTGCTAGTCCCGTCCTGCCCTCATTTCCGGTGGAAGATGTCAGATTTGACCGGCAAAAACCGTCCAGTGCGGCAGCGAAGGTGGTGTAACTTCGCTCTCCACACGTAGTCCTCTACCGTTTCGTTGACAGTAAGGGGGGTCTAGTTGCTAGCCGTGATGTAATGACAAGACAACTTATTGTACAAATATTGATCCCCAATAAAAACTCGCGGGAGGCCGACCTTGTACAGTGTACATCAAGTTGTTTTGTGAAGAACCAACAAGCGAAACGCATTGAATAAACCAACGCTGGCCGATTGTTGTCCGGTCTCTGCGCGTCCTCATTACGCATGCAAGCGTGGTAACCGCTGGCAACGTTTCAGAAAGTTCAGAAGTTTCTAGTGTGCAGTGTGCTGCGCTCGTTCAAACATACTGAGGTTGGATATCTCAATTTTATTTCACGCCTAAACGATCGAGACAATAAAATTAAGGGCTGTTAATTGGATTAGCTTTATCATACAATTGTTTTCTTATTATTAATTTAAACAATACTAGAATAAAATTTTGTTTACGTCACTAATATTTTTTTTATAAGTCGTTCACATTAATTGTTACGCACGTAATGCGTAAAACAATAGAATGCAAATGAAATGTGACGTCATAATCATTCCAGAGAACACACGCACGCAGAAATTCTCGAGACAACAGAAACGGTTTTGACCATGAACGCAGTGCACGTGTATGCAGTGTGCGCTGGATTCTTGAGGCGTGCGCACGTGAATTCTTGAAGCTTTTCAGTGTAGCTTCCTTGTACGAAAGAATTGGAATTTTTGAATTGCAAAATCGGAACCTTTGGGGTTCTGATGGGGGGTTGGGCAAGATGGGCCCAGTCAGCGAGGATAACATTCCATCCTCAACCCAGACTATAAATGTCTCACGAACCGTGCAGTCAACCGATCTGTTCACTCCATACAGAGAGCCAAGAGTTACATTGCCAACTATTGGGTTTGTACAAGAACACATACGCCACTCTCCCCCACAAATAGATAAGATAAATATTCGAAATTTTTAATACTTGTTGTTTGCTAACGTAACTGACGCCATATTAAAAATGTTGTTGTATTTTTTAGCAAGCTCAAGTTTATTGTAGACTACATCAAATGAACGGCCTTCATGTTGTGCAAGTTTAATTAGGCGTGAATTGTTAAGTCTGAGAATTCGTTTTACATGCACCCGCTATTGAAACTTTTGGGAAAGGAAATTTGAATTTGTATTCTATAAATTACTGTCAGTTTAAATTCTCATTGTAAGGACAAAATATAGGTCTCATTGGTCTGAAGACGTAGACCAAGGCTATACCATGGAGCCATAGTGGCAACTTTTGAGATTTAGGATTTCAGTAACTTTCTCATAAACGTCTTCGGTTCAGTTATACCTCTCGATCATGGTTCGCTCTGTGAATTATCGCCCCTTGCCTGTATTCAGGACATTCCAGCAAGACGCGCTACCGTTTGGCGGGAAGTACTGGGGCGGACCCTTGACGGAGTATGGCGGGATCGGAGACTTGGCTTTCATTGGTCGGCAGCGAGTGAGAGATTTGGAAGTTACCAGAAGTCATAGACATTACCGGAGTGGATTCAGCAAATAGTACGTGAGAACGTTTGTTTAATTTATGAAAATCTTATAAAAAATATATTTTTATCATTTTGATTCTTGTGCCGATTGTGCATTATGGACATTGTTTGCTAAACTTTAGGTAATTGCTTTTAATTATGAAGTTAATATAGACATTTGAAATTAGAGTCAAAATGAAGCTCTCAGATAGAGGCCATAATACGAGGGCTTTATTTTTTTCACTCCTCGTCACAAGAGGGAGAACTAAGGACCTCTGTGTCGATGTTAATTTGAAATAGTCTGTTGGGGGTTCCGGTTACGGTTTAAATCTTCCCCTTACCTCCCCCTCCCTACCCTCGGTCTGCCTGAGATATTCAGTGTTCCGTAGCCGAAATTTGTTTCTCCGGAGCAGTTTATCGTCAGTTTTGTTTCGAGAAAAAAAGTTTGATTAAATTAAAACCAATTTCACTGTCCGATCCATAATTTTATACTTTTCTCTTCAGTTTGGCCGAAATTCAACCGTATCGACTGACACAACTTCACCTCAGCGAGTGCCGAATCAATGATCAGATGTAAGCATATGCGGAGAAAATACGAAGTTTTCGTTAGCACATTTTATAAACATTGTGCATGTATCACCAACCAATTCTAAGAAATTTCGATTTGTACTTATTTTGCTAGACTGCCTTTAACATTCTTTTAGGCCGGTCCATCCCAACCAAATTCAACGCCCTTGCAATTGTGAATAAGTCTATCAGTTGCTGCAACAGATAATGTGTGAAACATGAAAGTCGTCAGTCTAACATTTCTTTCAGTTCGTTTTTTTTCTGTTCTTTTTATCCATAGACTTCCACCTCCACTTCAAACAGACATCAGCGGGTAAGTACTTACGCCATCATTGAAAACATCTTGAAGTGAACAATTTGTCTCATGAACCTTTATTATATCAAGTGTATTGAACATAAAATTGGTTAAACATTCTTAATTTACCCAGGACTTTTTGGTTGTAAATGTTGGGTTGTTGTTTCCTCCAAGGCTTAATTGGCAGCGAGAGGACCCCTGGCCCAACAGCCAAGCTTACGGGACTCACCGCTCAATATTCGAGGTCTTCCCTTCTATCAAACCAGAACCATCGCAGCAAGACCGAGGTACATTCTTATATACCCCTTTAATTAACCAAGGTCCTGCAATTTATTTTTTTTCTTTTAATTTCACCACTATACCAATCCAGCCAAGTTGGCTGACTTACGAATTAGTTGGCTTTGCACTGTGGTACTTTGCTCGCCTTCCTTGCACCTCCTCAATACAGATTGAATCTCTCTCAGGCCGACAAAGTTTTCAGTCCTTGTGAGATTTCGTAAACTTTATTAAACTTTATATATCCTATATACCGACCTTTAAAACTGAACACGTTCTTCATCATCGTCCGTCTATGGGCTTCTTAAGCCTTCTGAGCTGGAGTCCCTTTGTATTTCACGAGGAACCCTTGGTGACGATACAAGAATGATTTAAAAGAATTTAAATACACAAAAGAAATTGAACCAGCGAAAAAAAATGTCCAAACCCGCTACCATCCTCTTTATATCTTTCCACTTACTTTACTAGCCCTTCGTAACCGAAAGCCGAAGTCGTACGGGGCATTGAGAGGAGACTTCACAGTGCATTGCTGATGACGAAAATAATCATGAAGCCTTTTGAAATTGGATTTCACTGGGTCGTTGTTCAATTGTCATAAAGAGTAATGTCTTATACGCGGAAATCAAAACGTGGCGCCTGGCCAACTGGATTTTTATGAGTCGAATCCCATCATGCTCTTTGTATGGAAAATTTAAGCATACTTATTTCAGCTGCATGCTTTAATATCAGAGGCGGCTAGGACACTGTTTCTTTACTCTTTATGAAGACTAGGCTACTATATTTTGTATAATTCATCCTTCTTTTTTTGCAGAGTCAGCGTGTAATTTCAGGAGCTTCAAAGCACAGGTGAGCGTGTTGTACATAACTTCTCAAAACTTTATAAAAGAAAGTTGGCTGACGTCCATTGCAGCCGGACGTTCCTGTGTTGTGCCGAACGAAAAGTACCGGGCGACTCGGATCTTTTGGGGTTCAGACATGTGAACTATTATTAACTATACGCTAGAACCTTTCGGAACAACTCTAGTAACAGTCGGTCTTTTGACGACTTGCGCGGCTAAAGCCGCTCCATTTTTTTCGGTTTATAAGTTGAACTTAATTCAAATCTTGGGAATTATTTGTCATATTGGCTCGGCCCGAGAACGCCAGTCTGAAACGGGTGTTAGCAGCAAAAAAAAAATTCGCAAGGAAATACGTGTATGACATCGTTCTTCAACCATCACAGTATTTCAATATTATTAATAGATACAAATGAGGTGTTTCATGTTCTATCTTGGATTTCTCTTCCTATTCATTTATAAAGCCGCTTGGAAAGGCGACCCAGAAGGCACTTCTTGATCTCAACAAGAAACTCTATCAGACGACACGTTACGTGGATTCATACCGCAACTACTGTTCCTGCCAAAAACTCGACCAGCCGATGCCAGACGTGCCTGATTCAGAAGACGGCACTGATGCAGGACAGACAAATGACGCAGATGATGAAGACGATACTGAGGACAGTGAAGATGAGGAGAAAGAAAACGAAGAAGTATCAGATGAAGAAACAAGGGATGGTGTCAAAGATGCTCCTGACAAGTCAGAATCTAATTCGAGTCTCCTCAAGAAAACTTCCACCAAGAGCGTTACCTTCAATGACGCCCCACAGATCATGGACGAAACTTTTCATCAAATGAAGGTCATACCGAATAAACCAATGGCAGGCGTCGGTCCACGCTGGCCTCCTGGTGACAGTTACGTCATCGATAGCATCAATGGTTGTCAGTTGGTCGAACGAGCCGATATTACCCAATCACAGCCTGCGTACTATGGCGTTACGGGACCAACCGCAGAAACGAAACCACCGCGACTTCTGTCTGCCAGAGCTAGACTTGCCAAACAATTCAAGGGCAACCTTGCTCATGGTCAGGGCAGAGGGCGCGCTCCTACCTTAGTTGCCTCCCTGAAATCACAAGATGCGTTTTTGAAAGAGAGAATGCCAAAGTTACATCATGCAGACGGGCAGCATTATTCAACCAATCAGAGACAAGATGGCACTGCGTCGGCCAATGGGATTGCATCTTGTTGCCGAGCAACTGACGTAGTGAAGAATTCAGGCATCAAACTTCCCGTGGTTCGGACCAATCAGACCATTGACCAACCCTTTCTTATACCACCGAGCTTCCGTAAACCATCGCTGGTACTGCCACCAGCTCCATTGGCTGATTGCCTACCAACCACTGGTTCCCGTACTCCACATAAACTTGGCCTCCGATACAAGTCAGAAGCACACAAACGGTATTTCTTCTTTCTTTTTTTTTTTTTTTAACTGAAGTAAACTTTAAAGGAAAATCTTCATCTAAAATTTAAAAAAAAAGTGTAATGTTTTTGTTTTCAATTAATTTTTGGATAAGTTAAATTTCTCCAAGATGTCCTCCGACACAACACTGATTTCTAAACTTTTTCATTTCTCTTGCAGGTACCATTTAATGTATCCCGACAACATACCTGACCTCAGAACCAACCGAAAAGAAGGGAAGAAGTATTTTTTCTGTAACTTTCACTCCTCAGTTTTTAGAGGATAATTTTCATCAATGCGCGCTCTGGAACATAAAAAACAGTTATGAGTCCTTAATACAAACAGTTAATTTTGGTAAGAATCTATAATTATTATTGATAAATCAAAACCAAGAGCGCTGGGCGTTATTCAAAGCATCCCCATCCTTTTAAAACGGCATCGGATAGAGGGCGCCATACTGAACAACCACAACATTTAAGAAGACTTATCAAACAACAGAGGGCGCAATTCCTAATGCAAAAAATCGCTCTCTGCAAGAGTAGAGGGCGCCATACTGAACGACCACAAATTTTAAGAAGAATTATCAATCAACAGAGGGCGCCATTAATATTGTAAAAATAATACGCTCTGGCTCTGCTATACAAGTCTAATTAAACTAGTTTAAAAATATATATAATAAATTGCAGTTTCAAAGAGCCCTGTGATATTGTTCATAATTGAGTACTTTTTACTTTTTGCGGTTTTTGTAATCTTGGTATGGTGTATATTGAGAGAACATTTAAATTTGATACAGTATAAAATATACCAGCTTCATCCCAAAACTTATCACGCACTTTGGGCAATTTTATTTATTTATTTTGAACAATATTATGTCCCTAAGTACATTCTGCTTCTTTTAGGACCAGACCTTTGAAACACAATTACCGTCATCATTTGAAAAACAGCATCTTCAAAATTTAGGATTAAATCAAGATGAATTATTTTTTAAAGTTTTAATCAATTTATATAGTCTTTTTATGTGTACAGATACTTATTGTTCGATCTACTTGTCAATTGTCTTATCTGTTGCCATGAATGTAGGCATTGTAAATTTGATATTCCAGTCATGCATTGCCTTGGTCTTAATAATGGGGGTGGTTTGTTTGGTTTTCTAAGAGCAATATTTTTTTCGATGGGATTGGGTATTTTCTTTATGAACATGCATATGTTTCTGTTTTCTTTGTACTTGATTGCATTTTAGGGAGAGCCCCCAGAAAGTGATTAAGTTCGCTTTTGGCAATCCTTCAGGGATGTTATCAATATTTTTATTAATTTTTTTTTGTTCTTTGTATTTTTGTTACACTGGCTTGTTACCTTAAATGTTTGTATTGTATTCTGTGTTTACGTGTGTGTTCTTACCTGAGAAATAATAAATGAAATGAATGAAAATCTCACGGGGCCAAAAATACGGGTAGATGTAACAACGGTACAGAGGGGCAATAAAACTTTTAGTTTTGGAAGGGATCCGGATCCTCTAAATTGTTTTCATGCAAGTTAATATTTTCCGTCCCATCAGGCCATCACGAGTACCGTACCTATATGCATATCAAGACCAGCAGCTGAGCGCTGATCCCTAAATTTCCTGACCACCTGTAGATCGATAATGTTGGTTGCCCCACTGGCAAAGTAACAGCCATCTAAATCCAAAATGTACACAATCGTTTACGTTACCCATGCACGTAGTGCAGTGCCTTAGGCCTGCGTGCAAGGCCTTTTTTCATATTGAGCGATTTAACGTCAACGCAATGATGCGTGACGAGCTTTGTTGCACGCTTTGTGCGGTTTGACCCTTTTCAAAAACATGTCACATTTTTCGTCGGCCTGTACGGTAAATTCGTCGGTCAGAACTCTCTTCTGAGGTGGTTTAAACTTGAGGAAATTAGCGAATTCTACAAAATCAAAGGTAAGTCAGTGTTTAATCGGTGTAATCGAAATGTGAACTGTGTAGTGACTGTGTACGTGAACGCGGCATCCATGGTGTGTGGTGGTTGAAGAATTTTTTGGCAAGGAGTAGGCCTATATTGTACAAAACTTAGTGCAATTTTACAAGTTGAAAAGAAACAAACGTAAGGTTTTAATGCCAGCTCTAGGTTGGTTCATATAATACGAATGATAATTTATTTACATGTAGGCCCTACTGTATGTAATTTATCATCATACATTGTTGTATTACATGTATTACTTGGTACGTAGCCTACTACAGAGACGAAGAAAAATTACCATGATTACAGTAGAACCTTATAGTTTAATACTATTACTAGTTATAAAAATCTGGACAAATTAGTTTGAGTATACTATAAACTCCAGCTGTCAATGTGACATGCTCGTCAGAAATTCACATGTAACTTCCTGATGAGCATTGGAGCTGGAGTTAAAGCTACGGACAGATCACCTTTGTATTGTAAACATTTGATCCTGAGGTCTACAATAGAAAGGCTATTGTGCAGTGTAGGGCCCCTGTTTTGTTACGATCAAATTAGAATCAAGATTTTTTTATTAGGTAGTGGATATTTTGCCGGAGGTAATGACGGCAAACTAACGATTACAAAAGGTTTGCCGGCGGTAATCCATATCAACAGAGGGCGCTGTACTCTTTAAAATAGGGCTGAATTATAATATGTATTAAATTCCCACCAAAAGTGTGTAGCACGTATGGTGTAGTGGTTAAGCAAAGGCTCTAGTAAACGGAATGACTCGCGTTCGATTCCGACCGCACCACATTTTTAAGTTTCTTTTTTCTCATCCCCAAATAAATAAGAATATTCTTCTTTTATTATTTTAACATGTCTCAAACATTTTTGCAGAGTATTACATTTTCTTTTTCAAATTTGTGGCTCTGGAGGATTTTTTTTAAAAGGGAAATAAAGTCCGAAATTATAAAATGGTCTGAATCCCATCTTGTGAATACGAGGTAACAACGATAATTTTGGCATGGAGCCAGACTAAAACTTGTCACCGGAAAATGTTGTAAGTACAAAAAAACAGTAACTGCGCATGTTCAGTGCACATCCGGCAAACTAACGTTTACTAAAGGTTTGCCGTCTCCGGCAAAATATACACTGCCTTTTTATTACTAAAAAAATTACATTGCCAACCTAAAGCAGACTTCTCTCAATGTAATGACACCTTTTTGGTAATTTTTGAACAGTTTCTTGGGGTAGAAATCACGATTTTCCTATACGGTTTTCGGGTCGGTTGGCATGGTTGGTGCCCTGCAGCACGACTTGCGCGTTTAGGGTACATCGCGCGGTGTCATCGCAACCTTTTATATTTTCGTGAATTGCGTTTTGTTGTCATCGTCATTTTACTCCCAAATTTCCCTAAAAAAATCAAAACCCTGCCCTTAAATTCATGGTTCCTCTCCTTCCCAATTTATTAAAAAAGATGCCATGTCATTGTCAGTGTTGGAGGCATTTGCTTGAAATCTTAATTCTGATTGGCCAATATTTATAGAATACATTCATATTTAAATGAAGAAGAGATTCACCAAATCGTTCTTCATTCCGATAAGCTTTATCCGGTAAGAGTCACATTTCTGATGTAAAATAGAAATTGAAATAGTTTGACACACACAAAGCGGCCTTGAATGACCTCCACAGTTCTTTCACACACACAAAAATGTTTTTGTGTGAGGAGAACGTGGGAAAAAAGCATTCCTCGCTGATTTCCTTAGAAAAATTCAGTGGTCTGTGACGAGTATGCGTAGGCATTGTCCGATGCGTTGGCACTGTAGGCCTACGTCAGACTGTCGAAACCCTTGAATAATGGCCTGTTTTGTACTGGAGAGTGTGGGCAAGCAAATGAAATTTTTACCCTTCAAGGAATATTACTGAATATCTAGTTAATTCTCTCCATGAGGTTAGCTTGTCATTCATTTGTGAACTCAAAGCAAAAATACTGGAAAATGTATGAAAGAAAAGACATGTATGTATTTAGCCATACACTACATGTGAACACATTAATTAACACACTAAATAAAAAAGGATGATGTTTTGTATATCATGTACATTTTTTAACCCTCCTCCTGTTTTAAAAGTTTCCTTCCATTTCCCCTGATATACTTTTAACAAACCAGTGGGTCAGGTCACTTGGCCAATATTGACGCAAGTACCGGTAACTAGACTAACAGCGTGGCTCAGAATGCAAGTTTCCATAGGAGGGTTTTTCTGTCATGACAGAAATTTTGAAAGTACTTATTAAAATAAATGTGTGTAATTTACGCATACATGCTAACATTTTGAACATTCTTAGTCTGTGTAGAGTGATACGTGTCTAGTTTGTCATTTCAAATCTTGGCATGTGCCGGTACATTGTGTCATTGTGTGTGTGAGTTTAATCATTTTATCATTAAAGTGTACAAAGAGGCCTCTATTCTATGGGACAATTTGTTTTACATGTTTACTTACCACTGTATGGAGGCGTTAACAGTTTGTTTACAGTGAATTTGATTTGAAGACACTTGCATTGTATTCTGCCAATGATGACTCACACTGCAGGTCAATTGTACATTGTACGGTAGTTGTTGAAAACACCCCAATTGTAAATCACACAGCCTGCCCGTTTGAGAAATATCTGGACCTTGGCATGTTTCTTCCAACTTTGATTTGTCATATCTGCCTCAATCAGGTCAGTCGTTTATCGCTGAATTGTTTGAAGTGCAACAATTGTGACTTCAGAAGGAGGTTTATCTTTATTGTAGGTGATTTATGGTTGGATTATGACCCTTATATAGTGCAGTGAAGGTTAAAAAACAATTGTCTAAAAGTACGAAGTTCCAATGTTATCAACCCTAGGCGAGAAATCCCCGAAAATTTTAAGTCTTGGATTGGTTACTTATATCCTATTTCAAAGGTCTGGTTAAAAGAAAACTAACCCACATACCGGTACATGTAATGCATACCATTCCCATGAAAAAAATATAAAACAAAACCTCGTTTTTTTTACATTAGACGCGGCGGACATTTTGTGGTATACACATACCTACAATTGTATTTCCAGCCACCTAAGTGTGTATTTGCCTGCAATCGGGGACCTCCTATTGTCCCTCTTTTGTTTGTACACTAAATTTTTAGGAAGACTTCCCATATGTTTTGTACACGAATCCAAATTGGGGACCTCTCGGGAATTGGGGACTCTGTTAAATGCAGAGACAAACTCATCAATGTATGCTACACATTTTGAGTTTGTCTTACATACGCAGTGTGGACTTCCGAACAAAAGACGTCCACATAATGTAGGTAGCACCGACGTTGTGTGGACTTACCCCACGTCCACACAGTGTTTCCCCATTTCTGGAAAACAGGTTTAGAGGCATTTTTGGGTTAGGTTTATCTGTAGCAGAATGAAGAGAAACACTAAAGGGAATCATAGAAAAAAAATTGGGTTGAAAGAGTTTTCACAGTTTGAGAAAAATGAGTTTTTTCACTGGTTTTTCTTAACTACACGAAAGCAATGGAAAGTCCACACTAGTCATGTGAAACAAGTATGGGTGTGTGTGTGTGTGTGTCACATAATACACACGGGACGTCTTTATAGTCCGAAATCCCATTGGTCCGAAGTCCCATTGGTCCGAAGTCCCTTTCGTCCGACATCCCATTAGTCCGATGTCCCATTGGTCCGAAGGCCCATTGCTCGTTCCATTGGTAGTATTAACGTCCCATTGGTCTGACGTCCCAATGGTCCGAAGTACCATTGAACCGAAGTTCCATTGGTCCAAAGTCCCATTAGTCCAAAGTAATTGGTCCTAAATGGTCCGACGCCCCATAGGATTAGTGTTAGGGTAAGGGTTAGGGTTAGGGTCAGTCAACCTGAACAAGTGGCAATAGTATAATGTTTCGGACCAATGGGACTGCGGACCAATGGGACGTCGGACCATTGGGCCGTCGGACCAATGGGCCGTCGGACCAATGGGACGTCGGAACAATGGGACGTCGGACCAATGGGACGTCGGACCAATGGGACGTCGGACCAATGGGACGTCGGACCAATGGGACGTCGGACCAATGGGACGTCGGACCAATGGGACGTCGGACCAATGGGACGTCGGACCAATGGGACTTCGGACCAATGGGACTTCGGACCAATGGTACTTCGGACTATCGAGACGTAACCAATACACACAGCACTATCACACAAATAATGTTTCTCACACGTCCGCAGAATGCAATGCACTGGTATGTGGCAGAATTTACAACTAGTACTCAACAGCTCAATTTTTTTTTTGACCCCCGAAATTCATTCTCACATGGTTCTCGCAAGAATAACACAAAAACACCCAGATTTTAAAGGATGGCTGTGTGGACGTTTAAATGCTCTTTTTTTTCCCCGAATAATATTGTTTCGTTTAAAACTGTCATATCTGTGCCATGATAAGTTTGTAGCGTGTATGACAGTT